CAAGAAGTGGCCGAGAGACGGCCTGTTCGGGTCGGTCAATGAGTGATCATCGGAATTCTGCCATCGTGGTCACTTTCATGGGATAAAAGAAATAATTGATGACACTGAGCAATAACGACCGAGGTTGGTTTTGGCCTTTGCTATGCTTCTCTGAGGAGCGGTAGGCAAAGGCTTGAAATTGCTTGAGTACGAGGAGACCAGGGTCTCATAGGACTGAACCTGGCCGGACAGGGTTGTTGAACACGGGTGGCGGTCTTGGTCCGTCTCGGCCTTTTCTGGGCACTCGAGAAATTAAGTTTCTCCTCACCTGATGAAATGTGACTTAGAGAGATGGATTATTTGGATCATTCCCTGTTAGGATTTCCCCCTAATTTTCCTCCAATGACGCTCACGTCACCTTGAGCCGACCGTCGCGTCTGAGTACCCCGGAACTTGGAAGAAAGGCGCCAGACGACCTGGATACTACCTTAGTATCGTTCCTAGTCCACGGATCACGTTTCTGGTTGGTCGAGGCGGTGGGGAAACCCTTCTTCTCCGCCATCACGTTGATTAGACCCGACCAGGTTAGCGAGTGCCATTGCGGGATGGATCCAATGACATAGAGGGTACGATGATGCGGTCCCAGGCCGACCATAGGACCGAACGAGGGGACAAAAAAGGCGGGACAGGTCATGGGTCCAGTCGTCGTCAGGTGGTGTGGAGGGTAATAAACGATGGTGGTGGTCCATCAATCTGCCCACAGGCACCTGGGAAAGTGCATTCCCAGCAAGGCCAGATAAAATAATATTAACTCGGAGATCAAACTTCATCCGTCCACATTACTTGTCGAATCGCGGACGGACGTGGAACCCGCAGGAATGCTACTGCCGCAACGCACTGTCCAATGTGTCCATGGTGAGATCGGAAACACGCAAGGGATGGTGACCACGTCGGCATGTCTCCCACGAGTTGGGCGGATAGGGCCGAATCGCATGTTTGGTGCACCCACTTTTCTCTCCCCCCTCTTCCTACCCCAGTGTCCACACCGGGTGCAACCCCCCCTTTCCCTTTTTTACCCTTTTCCCCAACCCACAAAAAACCAGTTGAAATCCGGAGTCCCCAAAGTCCACTTTCTCCCGTCCACTCATCCCCGGATTGATGTTTCATCGGGTGGATATTGGAGCCGTGAGGCCCGTGACCGTCAAATGGACCCGATTCTAATACGACGTGCCCCGTTTGGCCCGACTAGGATTCCTGTATGAGCCATATTTCGGGATGTCCGGACAGCCGAGGATAAAATCAATCAATCAAACTCAATCCCCGTGCATGGAGGCCGTTGGTCTCGGGCTTCTCGAACATCCTTCGATCAACCCTTCTCCTTCCTGGCGCGATCGCCCTCTCATTTCTGGTCTGTAAGAAACCGGCTGGCGGCATGCATCCCACTAAGGGAGTAAGCATTAAGAGAAGAACGGGAAAGTGAGCCGTCAGAATAGAACATTCGACACGGATGAGGATCCAGCTAGAGTAGACACCCTCCATGTTCTATGCGACTGCGAAGTATGGAGATCGTCCTGGATCCGGGTTACCCAGAAATGGCTAGCCCTAGTGCCTGAGAACATCCAATCACGGGATGGGAAGTAAAACCTGCCAATGGCCAAACTTTCCACGACGATCTTTCTCTCTCTTCTCTCTCACTCTCTCTCCGTTGTTTTCGTCACCGTCATCAACCACCTATCCTAGTCAATGGACTGGGTCATTCTCACCATGTGGGGCCTCGCTCTATACTTCCCCCCCCCAATCAACTTGAAAGAACGAGAAAGAGAGACAGAGAGAGAGCCCCAACATGCAATTCAAAGGGACTAGCTGAATAGTACATGGCATGTTGCACCCGATTCCATGACATTGACACCACGGTCACCAGTGGATACAGATGTCTCTCGTTTATGAAGCCATCCAATCAATGGATCGGCACCTGGGATCGTTGTTCGCTTGAAATGCCCTGATGGTCCCGTTGCTGGCTGCATCTGGTAAGGTGCTCTTCCATACCTCCAGGTTCCCTTGCACCAGTCAGTGTTGGTTTCCGTCCCCAGTTCTTCTCCAGGAATTAATTTCATGTAAATAATAATATGATGCGTTATTAATACCGCTATGATGTTTTAGACTCTATTCATCAACACCTCACCTTACTTGGACTTTGATCCTACTTTGAGCATGGCTGTTGGCTCGTCCTTTTAAACCCGGCCGCATCCCCTCCCCTGTCCTACCTGCCTTGCTGATCTGGGTTTTGTTTTTCCCTTTCACTTGTTTCCCCATCGTCTCCATTATTCAATTCCATTTCCCTTCTTATCTCTTTTCTTTGTGCCCTCCCTTTCGGGATTGCCTTTTGATCGATCCTGGTAATCGTTTACTGACACCTCACTGGTCGCGTCCGGCTGTTGCGCCAAAATGCCGCGTTCTTACTTGGGCCTGCAGGGCCAAAAGCTGCAGATCGCTATCGGCATCATCGCCGGTATGGACTTTCTGCTGTTTGGCTACGATCAGGGTGTCACGGGAGGTCTTTTGACCCTCAAGTCGTTCGCCAAATACTTCCCGACAATTGTTCAGGTCGGAGATGCGTGGAAGGAAATGCAGGAGAACGACCCGGCTGCAGCCAGCGCCCAGTCGACTCGTCAAGGTGAGTCGCGAAGCTGCTACCAAACCGCACCCATGATGGAGCCCTCACTGACCTTTCATAACCCTTAGGTATTGTCGTCGCGGCTTACAACTTGGGCTGTTTTGCGGGTTCCATTCCGACGATCTGGGTCGGTAACTGGCTGGGTCGCCGCAAGACAATCTTCCTCGGTTCTTTCATCATGGTTATCGGAGCGCTGCTGCAGTGCACTGCGTACGATCTGTCTCAACTGATCGTGGGCCGCCTGGTGACTGGTCTCGGTGAGTACTCGAACCCACCGCGGAGGACCTAGGAAACGGAGGTAGGGAACTAATCGTCCGATAGGAAACGGCATGAATACGTCTACAGTACCCACTTGGCAGTCCGAGTGCTGCAAATCGAATCGTCGGGGTCAGCTGGTCATGATCGAAGGCGCCATGATCACGTGTGGCATTACCATCAGCTACTGGGTCGACTACGGATTCATGTTTACCGACCCCAGCGAAGTTTCGTGGCGTTTCCCCCTGGCCTTCCAGATCTTCTTCGCCGCCATCATCTTGGCCTTCGTCATGTTCCTACCCGAGTCGCCGCGCTGGCTCATCCTCAAGGGTCACGAGGACGAGGCCGAGGAGGTGCTAGGTGCTCTTTTGGGTGAAGACACGGACTCGACCTTCGTCCAGACCGAATACACCGCCATCAAGGCCACCGTCCTGGAGATGGCCAAGGGCTCGTTCAAGGACATGTTCACCATGGGCGAGGATCGCCATCTCCACCGGGTGATTCTCGCCTACGTCAACCAGATGTTCCAGCAGATTTCGGGCATTAACCTCATCACCTACTACATCCCGATCCTCCTGGAGAATCAGCTCAAGATGGACACCCAAATGTCGCGTCTGATTGCTGCGTGCAACGGTACCGAGTACTTCATCGCCTCGTGGGTGGCCGTCTTCACCATCGAGATCTTCGGCCGGCGCACGCTCATGCTGTTCGGCGCCGCGGGCATGTCCCTCTCCATGGTGGTCCTCGCCATCTGCAATGCCATCAACACGCACCCCGCCCAGATGTGTATGATTGTCTTCTTCTTCGTGTTCAACACCTTCTTCGCCATCGGCTGGTTGGGCATGACCTGGCTGTATCCCGCCGAGATCGTGCCGCTGAAGATCCGTGCGCCCGCCAATGCGCTGGCCACCTCGTCCAACTGGATCTTTAACTTCCTGGTGGTCATGATCACCCCGGTTGCGTTTGAGAACATCGGATATAAGACCTACATTATCTTTGCTGTCATGTAAGTTTTTGTCCCTTTTTTTTTTTTTTTATGATCCATTTGACATCGGCTGACCTGTCCAGTAACGCGGCCATCTTCCCCATTACCTACTTTTTCTATCCCGAGACGACTCATCGTTCCCTGGAAGAAATGGACCGCATCTTCCACAAGACCAAGAGCGTCTTCTCGGTCGTCAAGGTGGCCGCCACGGAGCCCCACATGTATGGCAAGAAGGGTGAGCTGCTGCACACGCTGGATGATGTCGAGGATGCCGCTGTGCACGCAGTACGCCGGCAGAGTGTGGTGAACCACGACCACAAGGCTGTAGACAGTGATGAGACCAGCACGGAGAAGTAGGAGGCCATCAGCGGGGTAGGGTAGGCTGGTTTGATTTTCTTCACTCTGATTTTACGACTTTTTTGTTTCTTTTTTTTTTAGCTTCATCGGTCGCCGGACTCGATTCTGATCGGCCCGTCTCCGAGCGGGTGGACAATATACCCAAACGGTTCTGTAATTAGGTTTTATATCCGGGCGCGAGTGGGTCTTTCAATACATTGTACACATTGCCTGATCTCGATCACGGGAGTGAGTACTGGGATAAATTACCTTATCTATCTATCTCCACGATTCAGCCCTACGACCTGCATTGGGGGATTACACATCGTACATATTAGGATGTCTACCACTAGACCGAAAATGTCTAAGGATGGATGTGAATGCATCGTCGATCATGTCAGCTGACTGCATAGTCTTCTGTAGCCCTAACAGGGCCTTCCTGGCCTTTATTTATCCGCTTTGTTCCTACTTATGGAGAGATGAGCCTACCCTTGTTGATTGCAACTTGCATAGCATATTGCTCTGACAAAGGAATCAATCTCCTTACTCTAAGAAGGAGACCAATTCCATTATCCTAACAAAGAGATCAATTTCATTACTTCAACACAGAGATCAAATTCAATTCCGATTCATCATACCTAACATATAAAACAAGACTACTCCAAAGCCCCATCAAACCCCACAAACAAATCTATCAACCTCCCAGCTAAGCCCAACAGCCTTAATACCCCCCTTTCCCCAAAACGGGCCAAAAGGCACAAGGTCAACAAACTAGAGATCCCCCACAGCCCTCTTGATATACATCTCAGCATAGTTCAGCATCGCGCGGTCGCCCTTCTCAACCACATGATCGGGGAAAGAAAAGCAGATCCAGATACCGCCGCCGAGCCCGCCGCCGCCGCGGACGGGGCAGGCGTACACCGCGCGGCGGGACTCGGGCCCCTCCTTGTGGATGGCGTAGTGCAGGGAGCGCTTGATGGCTTGCAGGAGCTCTTCGTCGGAGTCGATGGTCTTGTTGTGCAGCGGGATGAAGAAGCAGTGGGTTGTGGGGTTGGAGGGGTCGGGCTTGATGCCGAGGGTGGAGGTGCTGTAGAGGATGGTGGTTGAGGAGGTGAAGGTTAGGGGTTTGGGGGCGGTGGTCCAGGACTTCATTTTGAGTGGTTTTTTTTGGTTGTTTTTTTGATTGGATTGGTTTGCGATTTGTGAGCGGAGTGGATTGGTAAAGTGGATTGGATTGGAGGATTGGGTTGTGAATTGGATTAATTACTGTGAGGACATGTTGGGTATTTATACTCTTCGATCTCGAAGCTTCACTAATATCTTTGTCGCGTATCATGCTAATGTTCATTCTACTGCATACATGGAAGATGCCTTCCCCAGTCTTTGTGCAAGTGTACACCGGATCAAAGATTCGAGGTAGCGGAACAAAGAGTATAGCTAGCGCTTTGTCATTATGAAGCTCATGAGCTCTATTGTGGATCCTTACTCTTGTGCAAGGTGTTTGTGCAAGGTGTTTGTCCGCTCTATGAAAGACTCGGGTGGGACTTTTGTATGAAAATGAAGTACTTTGTTCTTTTATACATGGTGCTTGGTGTGTTGGCTTTGAACATAGGTTTATTTATGCATCATAGTTTGTGGTATTAAGTCAGATGCTGACGTCGGAAACTGCCAATAAGATGTGGGCCGTGGAATCAATGCTGGAAATAACCCTATGATGGCTGTTTATGCCTATAGAAGGTATTGTTTGAAGGGATCGTGTGTGGTTTGGCTATCTAGTTGTAGATTGGACGACATTTGATCAGTAGCACAAATGCTCTTTGTCTATATATAGGTTATGTCGTATTGGTCATAATGTCTGCTAATGCCCTTTCATAAGGTGGTTTAGATAGATCCATCACAACATGGATGATGAAGATAAAACATCTAGGGAGAGTTACACATACGCGACTACGCCTTTGATGATCTTGCGTCATTGATAGTTTATGACAATCATGCCTCGATTGCCACGCATGTTAAACAGGATTCGGAGTGCTTTGCCAATATTGCCGAGAGAGACAATCCTGTTAGGATGGCTGGACCTCGCATGCCACGTACGATGAAGCTATGTCTATTCAAATTCTCAGATTCAGGCCACACAATCCTCCAGGGAAGTAATTAGAGTTCTCCCTGAGAGCTTGGATGGAGGATGAACGTACCGAATCTAATGACGATATTTCCAAGGATCATGATACCTACCACTGTCTATGCAGACTCTACTGCTTGAGAACTGTTCCGTATCATCGGATTACAAGAACAATATCAGCCAGAATGAATGATAAATGGATACTATGAAACCTGAATGCAGTGATGTATATATTGGGTCTCGCCCCTCATTGGCTGTGGAAGGGTTGCCCATTCCGGAGGTATTTCCGCATCAGCTGACCTTCCCCTTTCTCATCTTCGGTGAAAAACCTCAATTGAAGATCTTACACTTCTTTCCACTCAAGGGAAATACCTACACAATCAGTCGTTGCGTGACCTCCACCGCCTACCATGCAGAGATGGTGATCGACAGTCGGTCCGTCTTATCAATCTACCCTTGTTAGCCTCGGAGTCAGGACGATTAGAGTTACGCCGTCGCGCCATGCCATTCCCCTCTTTTTTCTTCAACATTTTTTTCTTCTCTTTTCTCCTCACATCCCCCCTCCCTTCGCTCCCTTCGGATTAAGCTATTTTTTTTCCTTAGCAAAGCCATCGCTATTATACTGCAATCCTGGCCTAATCATATCCTGATCCAACCCTGAGCTGTTCCAGGACCGGTGGTCCTGCGCGCTGTGGGGCAACCCGCCGCCTCCAAATTTCCTTTGCGGCTGGTTTTGTTGGAATAAAACCCGGCTTGACCCTGTACGTGACGGAAAATACGGCAGACGACAGAAGTTCCGACTGGACGATATTCTCCTAGCGTCGTCATGTCGCAACTCCAACCAGACCAGGCCATCTTCAAACAACCCGATCAGCCAAGTAGTATCCGGGAACGTTCCCCGGACAGTCACGATGTAGAAACGAACGAGCCGGATGTGGCTGAGGTCGAGCGCATCTACCGGTATGCTCCCCACACCCGCTGGCCAAATTGTCATTTGTACTGAGACACCTCAGAAAGCTGGATCTCCGGATCATCCCCGCGTTCTGGGTCCTCTACTTCCTCTGCTCGGCCGTCCGGTCGAATGTTGGTCTGGCGCAGACGATGAACACGGACTCGGAGCATGATCTGGGGTCCGTGCTGAAAATGACGCCTCATCAGGTCTCGACTGGTCTGGCGTTGTTCTACGTGTGTTACGTCGTCTTCGATCTGCCGTCCAACCTGATCATGACGCGTTTGAGCCCGCATGTTTGGATGAGCCGCATTGTCATCAGTGTGGGGGTGATTGGGACTTGTCTGGCGGCCATGAAAGCCGCCTGGAGCTTCTAGTATGTCTCCCATTTCCCCCTCTGCTCTTGTCCTCACGACACAAGTCGTTGAGAAAACGAGAACGAAAGCTGACCAGCAAGTCTCCTCCGTCTTCTCCTGGGTATTGTCATTGCCGGTATGTGGCCCGGGATGGCCTACTATCTCACCCTCTTCTATCCTCCATCTCGCACCGGAAAGCGCATCGGCCAATACTACACCGCTGCGCAGATCTCCGCCGCGGTCGTGGGCTTGGTGTCCGCCGGGTTCCAGAAGATGGACGGCGAACGAGGCTACGTCGGCTTCCAGTGGATGTTCCTGGTGTATGGCGTCATCACCATCGCCGTTGGCATCGTCCTGTTGTGGTGGTTGCCTGACCGGCCGACGATCCCCGGGCAGGATCCCGAGACGCGCAAATACCTCCGGTGGATCCCACGCAGCGCCCCTGCGTTGACCGGGCGGGACGCCGAGATCCATTACTATGATCTGAAGCGCGCTTACCACCGTCCGCGATGGACGCTGAAGGACTTGCTGAGGGTGTTCATGGATTGGCGGCTGTGGCCACTGCTAATCATGTACTTTGGAGTGGTGGGGGTGGGGATCGGCGTGCAGAGCTACGCCAGTGTGATCATCAGCGCAATCAATCCGCAGCTAAGCGGAGTTGAGCTGAGCTTACTGACGGCACCGATTTGGCTGGTAGGTCTTCCTTGTTCCATAGCCCTTCTCTCGCCCATCTCTGCGCATATCCATGCAAAGAAAACAAGCTAGTAAGGGGAAAGAAAAAAAAAGCTAACAAACACAGATGGACCTGGCCGCTATTCTCCTAGTCACACCATTCTCCGACCGCTTCCACCAATACCGAGCCGTCTTCTTCTCCATCCCCGTATGCCTCCAAATCCTAGGTCTCCTGTTAACCACCTACGCCGGGACAGAATCCAACCCATGGCCACGGTACGGCGGACTCCTCATCGTCGGCTTCGGCCTCGGCCCAACAGTACCCATCACCATGACCTGGACGTCGGAGCTCTTCCAACCGCGGCACGGCGAAGTCGGCGTGGCAGCCGCCTCGGCGGTCGTATCAGGCTGGGGCAACCTCGGCAGCGTGGTCACGACGTACGCCCTGTACGAAGGGTGGGCGAGCGACTCGGCCGCCACAGGACGAGACAAGTACCGCAGGAGTAACCTGGTGATGGTGGGGATTCTGTGCGCTAGCATTGTCGCGGCTATCACGATGGAGGTGCTCTTGAAGATTATGCGTCGCCGGAATGGCGGCGACGATGACGGCGAAGACAAGATTGTGGATGGGGCCGCGCGGAGAGAAGCGCAGCAGCGAGGCCTGCATGGGCTGGGATCGAGTCTGGTCAACCATGTCCGGGGGAAATAATATCCTATACTATACTTCCTTGCCTTGTTATGTGAGCCATATCTGCTCGTTGCTCTACGGGGGAGGTCCTTGCATGATCTGATATACTCCATCTGTCCACATAACAATATACGAAATCAAGCCTTTTAATTCTCGCCTTTGCATTCACATAAGAGTACAGGGAAACCCAGTCTAATAGGGAAAACCCATACCAAGGCGAGACAAGTATTCGCGCAACGATGCGCGCGTCGCCAGACCCGGGGGATATAGCAGAGCTTGTTGGAATGTGCCGACTAAGACAAACGTCGGCGGGTTGCTTTTGAGTGAAGGCTGAGTGACATCTGGCTTTACCTTTTGCTGTTTTCCGGTTTGCTCTTCCCGGTGTTGCTCTGGCGTCGTGTCGGGTCATTACTGGAGGTTCTGGCCTCAGTGGTCTCGGTATTCTCTAGAATGTACATAAGCTGAATGTACACTCTATTAATAGGATGTCTTAGTTAGCTGTATGCGTGACATACTCTCCGATGGATAGATAGACTTACATCCTGTTTATGACCCTCTTGATCAGTCCCGTATTCTTAGTATTCTCTCAGATGAGTAGAAATCCTCACCCCTATTCATAAACCATTTCTATTAGACCTATGTTCTCAGTATCTTCTGGCAGGTAAACGAACTCAAATCCTATTCAAAAGTCATCGTAGATTACTCTGTATTCAGGTATTCCCACAGAAGGATAGGCACTCCCATAAAGTATAGAATTACTCAGTTATCTTCTAGTTATCCATGTTCCATCTCAGACAGCTGTGCCGTCGACATTTCCTCGTAAACATCAAGTTGGCCACTCACGCACTATACACAGCCCATCTTGGTTAGCTCTGTACCCTCGCATGTTCGCATGTTCTCTGACGCTAGACTGTTGGACTTCCGTCCTGTTTAAACATTATCTCAATTGATTCTGTGGCTTGGTATTGTTGTCCTGAAGTGTCGATCCACTAACGCCTTGTTTTTGAATCAGTTGGTTAGTCTGCACTCTTTGTGCTTTCTGAGATATATGGAACGTACTCGTCAACTGCATAAAATTTATCCTGGGTAGTCCTGTATGCTTAGTATTCTCTGAGATACCAATAAATCAAATCACTCACAGGCTACATATAAAAATATTGGCTCATATGCTTCGTGTTCTCTGCGATATTGGTTGTTCCCTCTCCTCCTTTATACAAAAAATCATGGTTACTTTGTCTGGTATCATATAAAATTCTCTAGCATATAGTAAATCACTCGCATCCTGTAGATAAATCATCTTGGTCAACCTGTCTAATATGCTTAATATTCTCTAGCACAGCCTGATCATATCCACTATAATCACTTCTTTATTCCTAACATATGTCTCAAAGCATAGATTAATCACACACAAAATACCATCCATAGTAGCGTACCTAATAAGTACTTCCGCAATACAAGCCAAGCCAATGGGCGCATAATGTGACGCCGTATGTACATAAATACTGATACTATAGGCGCATCACCGCACTAAGTGTATTAAAGATCGGTCTCGGAGATAGTCTCTGTATACTAACTACAATTATCATGGTGTCGACGCCCGACGCCACCCCACATGCTAAGCTACATCTGGCGCGGATGCTAATGTAATAATCTAATTTAATGTCATGCATGATGATCGACGCGGGTGGACGTGCCATCTATATCACAGTGCGTTCTGGCGGACTGAAAGGTGGCTGAGGAACTTTTTGACATCTCCGATAGAGATCTATTTTTGATAATATCCATGCTGAGCTAATTATACACATGATTACTTGATGGGCGTAATCAACGAGTGATTGAATACACTAGTACTATCCTCCCACTCCACGGCCGTCGGCCTCTTCTATTGACATAACACATAACCACAGAAAGAAAGGATGAAAAGGGAAAAACTGATGCAAAGCACGGGATACGAACGCAAGACACCCTGGCTCCCGTTCAACCGACCAGGCTGCTCTGTCCACTCCCTGACGCCGGAGGGTATACGAGCGCTAAAACAAAACACGATCTAAACACCACCGCAGAGCTAGACACAGTTAGTATGGTTGACTGTAGAGTAGTGAATGGAGGAACGTACAGTCTCAACGATGATACCAGTGATCTGGTAGGGGCAGGCGTTACTGGCCGGACGGCGGTCTTCGAAATAACCCTTGCCGTCCTTGGCCGTCTGGCGGGGAATACGGATGCTGCCACCACGGTCGGCGACACCGTAGCTGAACTTGTCGATATCCCCGGTCTCATGACGGCCGGTGAGACGCTCCTCGTTGCCCTCTCCGTAGACGGCGATGTGTTCGACGTGACGCGCCTCCAGCTTCTTCATGCAGGCCTCGATGACCTTCATACCGCCCTCGGTACGCATCGACTCCGACGACACGTTGGTGTGAAGACCGGCTCCGTTCCACTCACCCTTGATGGGCTTGGGCTCGAAGGAGATGCGGACACCGAACTCCTCGGCGACACGGTGCAGCATAAACCGGGACATCCACAGCTGGTCACCCACTACAAGACCGTTAGTCAAATCTCCACGATGCATATAGTAATGACTAAGAAAAAAACTCACTCTCGATTCCGTCACAGGGGCCAACCTGGTACTCCCACTGGGAGGGCATGACCTCGGCGTTGACACCGGAGATCTTGATGCCGGCGTACAAGCAGGCGCGGTAGTGGGCCTCGACGATGTCACGGCAGTAGACCTTACCGGTACCCACACCACAGTAGTAGGGGCCCTGGGCGCCGGGGAAGCCACCCTTGGGCCAGCCGTAGGGCCAGCCATCGTTGCCGAGAAGGGTGTACTCCTGTTCCAGACCGAACCAGAACTCCTCCTTGGCGTGGGTCTCCATCAACCGGTTGGCATCATGGCGGTAGTTGAACTTGTTGGGGGTTCCGTCGGAGTCCCAGGTCTCACAGAGGACGAGGATGTTGTCACCGAGACGGAAGGGATCGGGGAAGATGGCGACGGGGCGCAGGTAGACATCGGAGTTGTCACCGGGGGCCTGGGCAGTTGACGAGCCGTCGAAGTTCCACTCGGGGAGTTCGTCGACGGACTGGACGGGCTTGGAGAGAGTCTATGGAGACGGGGAATTCGGTTAGTCACGTGGGCGGGTGGGTGCAGATGTAGCGTGACATGCAGAGGAAGATCGATCGGACAGGGATCCAATCCGAGCTCTCCGGGACGAACGGGAATTATAGTATAGACATACCTTGGTCTTGCTGCGGCAGCCACCGTGAGCGTCAATCCAGACGTACTCCGCCTGAACCTTACCACGCTGGTCAAGGTTCATGTATTTCATGAGCTGTTGCCAAAGGCATTTAGTCAGTATGGGAAGTCTTTCGACCGCCACGCCATCTCTTTCGAAATGACTTATGGTTTTTCAAGAGGAACGCACATTCTCCGTGTTGGAGACGGTTGTTGATTCAGAAGCCTGTGGATATGAGTCATCGGTTAGCCGATCCGGTTTTTCGGTGGCGAATCCGCGGGGCACACTGGCGACTGGAGGGGGATCACAACGTACCATGACTGATGAATGTGAATTGATGATCAACTAAAAAGAGTTGTTTTTTGGGGTAGAGAGAGATTGGCAAAGCCAGTTAGAGAGTTCAATTGCTCGACAGAGACGAGATTGAGACGCGATCGAGATCAGAGATCGATTGATAGAAGGATTGACCGACAGCGAGAGAACACTGGGGGGATAGACGAGTGATAAATAACACGGTAGAGAGTGAGATGAAAAGACGAACGCGGAAGAGAGTAGAAGGAGATGAGAGGATGAAGAAATAGATGGAGGTGGGATGAAAAGGATGTTCAAGAGAAGAAGCTGGGATTGTGGGTGGGGGGGACATCCGTTCCATTTAAGAAAAGCGTGCAAGCATCGCTTTGCGGCAAAAAATTCAGGAAAAAAAAAAAAAAATTCAGGAAAAAGAAAATCATAAAGGAAAAAGGCGAAAGTGAAAAATACAAAGAAAGACTGGTAGGGTTCGGTTACGGCCCACCCGGCGGTAATTTTGTAATTTTGTAATTCTGGTTATTTTTGGTCATTTGGATACGGTTCCAGACTTGGTCTTTAGTTCATGCCTGACTTGATGCCTCACCAGGGGTTCTTCTGTCTCTGTTTCAGGCGTTGGGCAGACCTCGGGATCCCCGATCGATGGCTGGGACTGGAACCAGATGGATGTTCCAATAGGAGTGATGAATCTATTTCTAGACTATGGTGCAGCTATAGTTTTTGCTATGGTATACATGAATCTATATCACATAGTTTTCTATAGTATACCAAAGCACAGATCAGGATATATCATGGTGGCTAAGAGAACAACCGTTGACTTCATTTGGCGGTGTACAATACAATACGGGCCCCAAAAAAAAAAAAAAAAAAAAAAGGCAAAATCCCAAACAGGAAGTCAGGTGTCAAAAATGCCTCCCCCTTTCTGGATCACGTTGAATATCAACCTGGAGTGACCCAACAATGATTTCTCTCGTATAGACTATACTAGTATGTACTAATCCAGGCATCAAGTCAGTCATCCCCAGAAGCAATATCTTTCATCGTCTAGAAATTTCCCCAGAATGTTCACCGTTCTGCGGTTCCTCCCGGCTATCGCGGTCGCGGTCACTTGGTGCACGGTCTCTAGTTATCAACAGATGGATATTTCTTTTTATTTCATTCTGGTTCTATTTCTATTTTGATATACGTGATAGATATGTATCATTTTAATTGACTCTGCATGCCAGATACAGAGTATAGACATTGGTCAATGGTATTATAGAAGAAAAAGAATATCATCGAATTGGATATCGATAGACTTATCGGCTTATCAGCGTGCCCCTCGACCCTCCCCGCGCCATGCAGCCTCTGTCGCGTGGTGGAAGGATAGCGCGCCTGCCGATTGGATTTCTCTCCTCTCCCTCTTTCCTTTTGATAGAACCAAGAGTCTAGACAGTTGAGACCATTCACCTCTTTCCCCAATCCTTCGATTTCCTCTGATCTATAACCATCCATTATAGTGAGGGCTATAGTGAGGGAAGGAGAATACCCGGTATTGCAAATACCACCCCAGGGAAATACCGCAGTGGGGAATAAAAAACCCGTGGCAAAATGCCTCCCAAGAGCGAGGGAGCCGCCCGTAGTCCCGAGACCGGCCTAGCGCGTGACCTGACTAAGTACTCCGTACTCTTTCGCCGTGCACCGCCTCGTCCAAGTGCAAAATGGTCTGGCGCTTGTTCTGGACCCGGTCTCGGACTCGCCACACTGTCTATAATAAGTATCTCTCCCGGATTATATTTAGATCTTTTGTGTGAAACTGTAAACCCCCCCAGCCAACCACTCTGGACGCCACCGTCCCGTTGGCTCGGTTGGGGTGATCCAGGTCGGGCTTCTCCATGTTTGATGCTGTACGATATGATACTTTTCGGATCGCGAGGGAACATAGTTCAAGAAAGGGAGGGAATATTGACTAGTGACTAGTTCTAAACTACGGAGTCTTGACAGGTGCATCCTATTCGGGAGAATCAGGAATTGCTTGTGACTGGCCAAGGTTTCCAACGAACGTGATGTCAACTGGTGCATAGCCTGGTAGACGACATCACCACTGTCCCAGTCTCGCCAACAAACGAGGATATCCATCTCCGTCCCCATCCCCCTTCTCCTCAACACGATTGGACGTCCCCTCCTCGCCAAGCCAACCATGAGGTTTGGCGCTGTCCACACACTCTGTCTCCTACCCCGGATCCCAAGACCCTGTCGACATCATCGAGGATGAATGCCATTCATGCCAATTAATTCATATCCCTCCTCGATCAGCCCTCGGGAATATCTCCCGCCTAACCCAATCAGGGTTAGTTGTCCTCGTGCGTCCTCGTGCTCGGCAAATCACCGTCCGATTCCTTTTCTTGGATGTTGTCATGGGCTTGGATACTGGGTGCCTTGCCTAGGCTATGACATCGTTACTTTCATGCGTCTGTCTTTCTTGTCGTTATTGGTGTCGCCTGTGAACTGTATTTGTACTCGGTATGCCATGGAGGTTTCATCCGTCATGGCTAGACTCGGCGTACACAGACTCGGTCCTCCGGCGGAATCGACTCGGATGAGTCACAGTCGGGTAGCCCCAGACTCGGCATGATATGGACATATTGATATGATCGTGATAAGGACGTCGCAACTCCACTCAGGATCAAAAACGGAAAAGTTACCCTGGTATTCAATATTCAATAATTGCAGTCGGAGATCCTCCTAGGTATCAGGTAAGTACAAACCTAAGGTACCTCACAGGGATGAGGCATATGTTTGAAAATGGTGAAACTGATCTTCTCGGTCCACCAATGAGAAGCCGTGCAGCCCGCTCCTGGCCGATTTCTTATCGCTTATCGCTGATTGGTGGATAGACTTGCTCATGACAAACGGCGCTGACTTAACTGTCTGTGTATAGATTCATGAGATACATTGGATGTAATTGGGGAAATACTATATCTCTCATACTATAGTGATCTAATATTTATCAGTCTTAATTCCGATATCTATCAAGTTAGTATCAACAAAGCCACAGAAGTTCCAAAAAAGGATAGATCAATACAATATCAAAATGCCCTCGACTGAAACCACGATAAGCAGAATACAATAGTACCTACAAATCAATACAAAAAGAAACTAGTCATTGAAGTGCAGTAATTCGCGCAGTTGATCAAGCATGGGATTGAGAAATTCCCCGACTTCTCTCCCTTAATAGTTTCAGACGATGAAACCTCTGCCTGACACTGCTTAGTACCTACTTACTTGCATTCAACATTCTTGATTGTGATGTTGATCTGCAGGGCGCCGAGGTTGGAATTTACCGTTTTTATCAAAAAAATAATTTTCATGATCTGAATCTTTCTTTGTGTTCATCTGCTTTTCCAAAGTCCTTTGATTATTGATTATTGGTTTATCTATCATCTTGAACAAAAACTTAAATTAGAAAAAGGATTCAGATAATACATAATAAAAAGCATTAACCAAGTGGAAGACACTATGTACAGTCATGAGGGAATAAACAACTGAATTATTTGATCAGTCAAATAGTTCTTTCCTTTTGCGTCAATCCTGCATGTTAATCCCTCATACTCTTTTCTTCCATTTTTCATCTTTTTTCCAATCCTTTTTTTCTTTCTTTTTTTCAGTCTGTGTGGATGCTCGTTGTTTACTTGTTTTGTTTCTTTCTTGTGGGGTATTTTTTATACCAACCTACCTGCCTTGTGTTTATCACTACTCCTTTTATCCTACGTAGTAGTCTCTTTGTACTAGATGCTCTGTACTACTCTATACTATCCGTACCTACTATAGAAACAACGTCTACTGTCTACTATCTACTATCTACTATCTCAGAAAAATGCGGTCTTATTTTTGATATATTTGTCCATGTCTATTCCCTGTCCATCCATTCATCCAGCTAAGTAACCAGGTAGATTCCCGATCGTCCAACACAATGCAGGTACACCCCTTCCCGCCAGATAAGGTCCTGACGATCCGATAACCAACCCTGCACTGAACATCATATCATAGCAAACCCTATCTAGGTACACCAGATCCGATCAGATCGGATCGGATCTGTTACAGAAACAAGGGACCCCGGTGCTGATCGTTGCTACCCGGTCGATGACCTAGCTACCCCGGCCGATCATTGCTGTCGCCGTCTCGCCCATCGCAAGATCCACTCTACCAGGACCCCGATGTCCTGCGAGATCTCTAGCACGTGCGCCATTTGGCGCTGTAGTTGGATCGCCTCGTCGGTGACGGTGTCGGCGGTGGCGTCGGCGTCGTTGGAGTCTTCTGGTGTGGGAGAGTCCTCGAGTAGTCCGGCCATGTCGATGACTGCGATCCGTCCGTTGAGGCCGACTTCTAGGCTGATTGATACTTTCCGTGGGGTGGTGCCGCTGGCGCTGGTGGGGAGGCCGAGCTGGGTGTCGGTTACGGTGAAGAGGAGCATGATGACGGGTGGGTGGGAGAGTTGCGTTCGGAGGGTTACGTCTACTTTGACGTCGTTGTTGGTGCTGTTGGTGTCTCCCTTGCGGGGGGAATCGGTGGGGGTGGTGTGGTTGTCGGTGTTGGTGTTGCTGCTGTTGGCCGAATTCAGTAGCCAGTTGAGCTTTAGCTCGTTGGGGTCGTCGTTGCTGAGGACGGTGTTCGTAGTCTTGGTGCTTGAGAGATTCTCGGATCCCTTCGGGGACGGGAAGCCGTTGGGAGACTCTTGCTGGATCTCCTCCGGGCGGTCGTTGTTGAAGATGGAGCGAATCATGTTGGCGAGGGATGCGTATTGGCGCAGAACCTGGATTTCGCTCGTTAGTATGACATCGAAGTGGGAATTCGGAGTAAGGGAGCATACAGGGAAAATCTCGGCAAGCTGGCGCGGATGCGCAAAGACAATATCCCGGATTGTTCGGCCCTGCGTGGACTCAAAAGGCTGGAACGTGTAGGTGTGCCACTTCTTGTATGGCTTCCCGTCCACGTCCACGGCAGACACCGACATGCGTCGCCGCTTTCGGCCCAACTGGTATGCATCTTCCAGCCCCAATCCCATGGCCGTCGCGGCGGACACGGGTGACCACCCGGGGGCCAGGAGCCCATCGTACGTGATGCCGTCGTAGGTGACTACCCGGAACTCCTGCGGGATGTCGAATCCCAACTGTCGGTAGATGTCCGAGCCGACGATGATGGGCACGTCGAGCGGGGGCTCCAGCCGCGCGACGAACCGCCGGTTGGGTGCCGACCCCAGCATGTTCGCATCGAGAGCCATGGCATCCGGATGCCCCTGGCTGTTGGTTGCGATTGTCGCGGGGGGGTCCGTCCAGTTGACTACCATGTCGGGCTCATCCGCGGCGTTGTCAACCCGCGTCAGTGGCTCCGGCCCAACCCAGTCTTTTGACACCCGGAGCGACGGATAGCCCTCCTCGCACTCGACGGCGACGCTCCACCTCCCCTTGAGCGACTCCGGCACGTCTTGCGAATGGTCGATCTCCATGTCATCCGACCCCTTGCTCTTTTTACACTGAGCGTCCACGACGCGTGCCTGCCACACCCAGTAATCCAGCCCCAGCCCGATCCGACCTTCCTGGTGGAGGAACGGGCGGCCAACATTTGCTTGACATAGACGTTCGTAGACCCCGGGGATTTTGCCTTGGCTCCCCTCAGCGTCCCACACCCGCCGCAAGCTCTCGTAAAGCCCTTCAATCGCCTCGAAGCAATTGACCTCCTGACTGAGCCGGTCATGCCGAGCCAGCCACTGCAGATTCTCATGGAACCCCGCAAGAGACTTCCAATCCCCGCGCTCCCCGTCTTCAGACGGCTGGATCAGGCCCCGCTTCAACACGGCGGTCGCCTCGTCGCGACTCTCCCCTTCCGTCGCCTCAGGCGTCGCGTACTTCAAGCTAACGTCCAAGACGGTATTCTCTCTCCGGTGGAACTCAATCTCCAAGTCCACGAAATTGCCCGCGATATTCAAGCTATCTTCCTGCCAGATCGACTCGAAGCCCTCCAACTGGCCCAGCCGCTCAATACCCTCTCGACACACCCCGCGGCCCGCCACCCGCGTGCGCAGCAGCTGCACGACGTGGTCAATGTTCCGCCGTCGCTCCTCGTCGCTGTCGCGCGGACCGCCCAGTTTCAGGCCGTGCATGCCCAGCGCCTGGATGTCGCTCTCATTCATCCCCGCCGCTGCCACCAGTCCGTCATGGCCGGCCGGCGACGGCGTGATCCCCGCGTATCCGCTCAGCGCTAAGAGCGCGGACGGCGAGCTGAAGGTGACGGGGTCGTCGATGACGCCCCCGGCGGCGACAAGGGGTGTCGCATACAGGTGATTTGAGGACGGTGGTGGTCCTTGGAAGGCGGAAGGAGTCCGTATTGACGGGGACTTGTGCGAAGCGGGGTGAGGTAGGGGCCCCGAGGGACGGGGGGAGGAAGTCAGATGGGTGGGAGTTGCGCCGGGATTCGGCCTGGAGGACGGTGTCGCCATGGTGTGAGATTGAATGTGAGAGAGTATAGACACTACGCGTGCGTCGCGTAGTCCACTATCAAGGCTGTTTCCTAAACACAGTGCGAATCATGCGCCGTTGCCTCGTCTCATCGCTGTGTGTAAAGCTGCGCCGGCAACATAATCGGATCCACCAGGACAGAAACCAAGCAACAAATGCTAGTCAAAGAGCGAAAATGTCCGAGAGAAACTGGTTGACGAGAACAGGGGTATAATCTGGAATGGGTGTTGACGAGAGTGTCCGATCGATCTATGATTCCGATCAATTGACGGAGACCGAAAACACGGCGTCACGTGAGTTTGTCCTGTTTGTCTGTTATGTCATTGCTGAAATTCATCCATCTCGTCCATCTCAACCTCATTCTCCCCATTCTCTCGACTAATCTCGTCTATCCTTGTCCTTGCAATTCGCAATATATAGAGACCATGTTTTCCCTCGCTACCCTGACGCGGACATCGCGCATTGGCCCCCGGTGGACTCAACTGCGCAGCGTATCAACCCTCGAGAACAACCCGCACATCGTCCGTCGCCAATAACCTCATCTCATCTCATCGGACCCCCACTAACATACTGTACAGTATGCCATCCCCTCCAACGGGAGTCACATTCTCTCCCTCCTCCCCACCGAACCCCCCAACACCTCCCTCGCCATCGGCACCACCACCAAGCTCCCCCCAACCACCGACTCCCTCCGCGAAAACCCCCACTTCCTCGAAATCCTGCAGTCCGTTTTCCGCGAGTACGGCCACCAAGACCCCGACGCTATCTCCCAGGCCCAGGTCATGGTGTCGACCTCCGGCGCGAACCTGAGCTCCGGCGGCGTGTTGATGACGGGCGCGCGCGGCCGCAGACGTCGCGAAAGCGCCGACTCCAGCGGTGGCGCCAGCGGTCAGGGCGGCGCTGGGTCGGCTGGTCGCGGCGGCTGGATCCATATGTCGGATGAGCGGCGGGCGCCGGAGTATGGCCGGATCGCGTGGCCTGAGGATATCTTTGGGAGTTTGGAGGTGGATGCCGATGGGAGTTTTGTGGGTGGGAATGGGAATTATCAGCCTAGTGGTTTGTGATCCTTTTATTTATCTATTGTGTTTCTGCTCTTGCGGTCTTGGTCTTGTGGGATGCGTGATAGCTGACTTGCTGGTTATAGGTACATATCGGCTTGTGACGAGGGATGGAATGTGAGTCTTTCTTTGATGGTCCCTCCGTAGCGTGTGGGCAAATGCTAACTTGGATGACAGTTTGGGACTGAGTCCGTTCATGCGACAGAAATTGGTCCAGAAGCTACGTGAGATGGAGACTCAACAATGATTATGATTCTTGGATATGGATCGTGTACAATACTGTATCATATCGTGTGCATTAATTATCATGACTAAACTGCTGGACGGTTGGCGTTATAGATCACCTTCGTCCGAGTAGCGGCTCGGGTCCAGCCCGGTACCGCGTTTTTCATGTCGAATAAGACTCTTCGCTTTTACTTCCCAAAGAAACTTGTGATCCGCTGCGACCCGTCTGTCGGTTTAGCATGTCCCGTCTTCGCATGCTGGGCGGAGGTAGCACTACGGGTTTTCCTCCCGGGCGTCCCTCCAATCTTCTTCTCAGACGACCCCTCGGTCTTGGGCTTCTTGGGACTCTCCTCCGACTCAGACCGATGCTCCCTTTTGACGGGCGTCACCGGTGGTGCATCAGCACCTTTCTTCGCTCCGCCCTCTGACTTTACAGCACCATCTAGGTCCGGGTCCGGGTCCGGCTTCTTCGCATTGGCGAAGAAATTCGCAATGTTGCTTTTGTTTTCCTTGCTGCTGACGGGCACGATGAAATCCGGCGAGTTGTTTCCGACTTTGCCGACGTCCTTGGATACGGGGTAATACTCCAGCTCGCCGTCGTAAGGCTTCAGGATAGCCTGTAGCTCTTTGGACCACGTCCTGCGATGGGGGTCCAGCCACGTCTTCATCGCCTCGCTGTTGGGGTCCAAGATGACCGGCATGCGGTCGTGGAGGAATCTCAAATCGGAGTTCGTCGACGTGGTGATGACCGTGTAGCTGTAGAGGCTCTCGTTGGATCCTGTCATCCAACCATCAGCATCAGTGGTGTCTACAACAAAAGTCGAAAAACGAAGGGGAAAAGAGAGGGAAGAATTACCCTCATAAGTAACATTATCCCACAACCCCGCAAAATACATCAAGTCACCGTCCTTACGCTTCACAAAATACGGCACCCTTTCCCGCCCCCCAGGCCCCTTCTTCAACCACTCGTAGAATCCCTGACAAATAACCACGCAGCGCTTGGTGCGCTTCATCGACGTCCACATTCCGCGGTCTTCGCTCAGCGAGTCGTCCCGGCAGTTGATGGTGCGCATGAGCGAGCCGTAGTCCGGTTTGCGCTTCGTCCAGAAGGGCACGAGGCCCCATTTCATGCTCTGGATTTTGTAGGTGGGTGTGTCTTTCTCCGCATTCTGTTCTGTCTCGGGTGATGACTGCTGCTGCTGCTGCTGCTGCTGCTCCGGTTCGTGGTCGGGGACACTGTCGGAGGGAGCGGGCGACGGGAGCTGCGCGCAGTAGACAGCACCGTTGTTGCCCGGGGCGAAGTTGAAGGTTTCTCGAACGTCATCGTCGTCGGGAGCTTGGTCGACTTGGAGGCCTTGTTGTTGCATGCGATTGCGGACGTAGGCCATGCGCTGGGGTATGTTAGATCGAAGTAACTATATATTTATAGTGGCTGGTGGGACTGGGGACACACCACGCCTAAGGCGTATCGGCCACACATTATGATTTGTGGGTGATCTACAGAGGTTGAAGATGTAGAAAATACGTGAAGTTAATGAAACAGTTGAGATGGAAGTAGGCAAGAATGTAGAATGAGAGGAGCAGTCAAGAATGTCGAGCAGTGGGATGAAGTCATGTCATGCGGGAAGCTTGGGCCAAGAAAGTCCGCGGAACAAATCCATCTTCGTCTTTTCCGACTTCACTTCTTCCACTTCCACTTCCCTTCATCCTCGGCTCCACCACGTTATATCTTACGACTCATACTGTCACTAGACCGATCTTCCAACTATCTACACATAGACTCACATAAAACAACTCAATCCCACAATGCTGGGTACCGCAGCCCGGCACACCAGCCGATCCCTCACCCACAACCGCCACCACCTCACACGGCAACCCTTCTCAACACGCCTCCTCCAAAGACCTCAATCCGCACCACGGCAAGCCCTCTTCCAAAACATCAAAACCGCCCAGTCAATCCGCCCCATCTCACAGACCACCCACCGCTGGAAGCGCGGCTTCCGCGAAGCCTCCAAAGGCATCTGGCGCAAGAACCCCATCCTCCTCCCGCTAGCGCTCTTCTCCCTCGCCGGCGCAACAGCCCTGTTCACCTACGTCGCCTATGTCGAGTACACGACCGTCGGGCCCCAATACGTGCGGTTCCCGCCGCCGGTGGCGGACGCCCTGCGCACGGGCGTCTACTACACCGAGGTGGACATAAACCCGCCTAGGGCGCTCCAGGCTTACAAGGATGCGCTGCGCATGGCCCTCGAAATGGGCATGCACCCTTACTCGGATGAGGTGCTGGGCATCAAGTTCCAGACGGCAGCGATGTTGGAAAAGGCCGGGCTGATCAAGCCTGCGATTGAGGTGCTGGAGCGCGTCAAGAGGGAGATCCTCGAGTGGGTGGAAATGGGACATGCGATTGCGGGAACAGGCGGCGGCGTTTTCGGCGTGGGCTTGACTGGGGAAGATAGCAAGGCTGTCACTGCGCGGCAGCAGCAGCAGCGGCGACAGCAGCAACTAAAGGAGCCGGGCAAAGAATCAAAGTTAGAGATCAGCGGCGACGCCTCGCAGAACGTGGAGGATCTGCTCAAGATCGAAGCCCACGAGAGCGCCCTGCGCGACAAGGCCTTCAAAAAGGCCGTCGGCATCTGCATGAAGCTCGGCGAACTCTACGCCAGCGACTACATCCAAGACGACAAGGCAGCCGAGGCGTCCCAAGAAGCCGCCGTCGAGCTGTGCCTGAAGGAGCTGCAGCGCCGCCAACACCTGGGTCTCCCCATCGGCCGCAGCGGCCGCCCTACATTCTCTGTCATGCGACAAGCCCCGGCGAACAACAACAACAACGACGACGACTCCGTCGACAACGACCTCGACGACAACCACATGGACCCCTGGCTCAACCTCGCCGAGATCGCAGCCGCGCTCACCCAACTCGCAGACACCTACAACGAGCGCGAGCAGTACGAGCTCGCACTCCCGCTCTACGTGCGCGCCCTAGAAGTCCTCCGCACAGACGAGCGCGACGAAAAGACCAACAAAGACTACCCCTCATGCCGACAGGCCGTCCTCCTCAACGACATCGGCGGGACCCTCGCCCACCAAGCCCAGCGAAAGGCCCCCACCGCCACCGCCCAAGCAGCCATCACCAAAGCCTTCCGCACCGCGACGAAGGACAGCGAGACCGAGGACGCAGATATCACCCAACGCCGCGCGTTCCTCGCGCGGGGGATCAAGTTCCTGCGCAGCGCGCGCGACCTCTCGCAGCGGGTCCAGCCGCCGCTGCGCGACGAGGAATGCGACCTGTCGTGCTTGTTCGCGACGCTCAATCTGGGCGAGTTGGCGGGTGTGCAGGGTCAGCGCGAGGAGGCGCTCGCGCTGTTCCGCGAGACGGTGGAGATGGCGAAGAAGATGGGATATCCTGATGTGGAGAAGATCGCGGAGGAGGGCATGGAGAGGGCGCAACGTTTGGAGTAGTTCTTCCCTTCGCTTCTCCGTCGTTTTTTTTTTATATCTTTTTACCCTTCTTTTTCTTGTGTTTCGTAGAGGGTTTGTGAGGGATATTTGATGTAGAATATATATATGTATTTGTTTTCTCCATGTGGATTTGTACGGTGACATGGAGTAGAATAATAGACTATTGATTCCCTTCTTCGGCCGAGTTGGCTGGTTGAAGAAATTACGCTAGACTTTATTCCATATAAAAGGATATATCACCCACCTTGAAACTCATAATATATATCTACGTATGAAGATGGACAAAGAAAAGAGGAAAGAAGAGAAGTACAGGGTGCTGCTTCATTGCTCATGGACTCATACAACAACCAATAACACAGCCATAGTGTTCCTTTTTTTTTTTCTGTGACTTATTTTGATCTTGTTCCTTTCTTTAAAAAGTAAATCAAAGTGAAAAAAAGATATTGATATTTTTTTTTCTTTGGGATTCCCTCTTTCCGTAACGGAAAAATATTAAAAAAAAGAACAAAAAAACTCCCTCCGTCACATAAACCGAGCTCCCTTTGTTTTACCAACAAAATTTTCTAAGCCCGCGACATGACACCCCAGGCGCGGATCTTGTTGTCGGTGTAACCGGCGAACAGGGTCTGGCCGTCGGCGCTCCAGGCGAGAGAGACACACTCGGGCTCGTTGCTCTTCTTGCCCTTCTCGATGTACTCGGGCTTGAGCTCGTCGACCTTGCTCTTCTTCTCGAGGTCGAAGATGGTGATGCTGGTGGTGGTGGCGGCGCACAGCCAGTAGCGGTTGGGGGAGAAGACGAGGGCGTGGATCTCGTCGCCGGCGTGCAGGGAGTACAGGTGCTTGGACTCGTTGAGGTCCCACAGCATGGTGGTGCCGTCCTTGCCGCCCGAGGCGCAGAGCGATCCGTCGGGGGAGATGGTCACCGTGTTGATGTAGCCGGTGTGACCGATGTGGTCGGTCTGCAGACGGCAGGAAGCGAGCTCCCAGACCTATACAAGAATTAATATCTTTCTCCCGGCATCCCACTTCTTGTTATGTTCTTTGCTCCTCTCAAGGAAAGTGAATATCCTCAGGCATTGGGTGAATGTTGGTCTCATGGCCATTGGCTCTGAAGTAGCAAATACGTAGTATGCAAACATCATTGGAGATCTCACTTTCCAAGAGAAGACAAAGCGGCAGAAAGATGATATAACATACCTTGACAAGCTTGTCCCAGCCAGCCGACACAATGACGGGGTTCTGGGGGTTGGGGCTGAAGCGGACGCAAGAGACCCAGTCGGAGTGGCCCTTATCGGTGATGGTGAACTTGCAGTCACCGAGGGTGTTCCAGAGCTTGATGGTGCGGTCACGTGAGCCGGAGACAATCTGGCGGTTGTCGGCGGAGAAGGAGACGGAGAGGACGTCGTTGGTGTGGCCGGTGAAGGTGCGGGTCGACGCGCCGGAGGACAGCTCCCAGAGACGGAGGGACTTGTCCCACGAGGCGGACAGAGCGTAGGCACCGTCGGAGGAGATCACCTATGTTCCCTATTAATCATCCGTCTTTCATCATTCCACCTCCTCGTCCACCTCATTCCATGTCGGTTTTCTTCGGGATCCGAGGAGAAAGGTGAAAAAAACGTACACAGTCGGACACAATGTGGCTGTGGCCAACGAGCGACTTCTTGGGGTAACCGTAGGCCTGGTCGTCGCGGGTCAGGTTCCAGACGATCAGAGTCTTGTCGCGACTGCCGGAGAGCAGCATGTTGGGGCTAAATGCGAACGAAAGAGACAGAAGATCGAGTCAGAAAAAAAACGTGCCCATCATTCCAATCGCATATCAAATCAAATTCAATGCTCAAAATGCCCCTCCATCAATCACCCCGCTGAATTTTTCTTCATTCTCCAACTCCATTCCAACTCGTACATCCAAACCAAGGGCAGGCAAAAAAAAAAACATCACACCATAATGAAAGAAATAGAGATCCTTACTTCTCCAGAGAGGTGGCAAGGGAAGTAACCCAGCCATTGTGGCCCTCGAGGGTGCCGCGAAGGACCAGCTGCTCAGACATGATCGGAGTTCCGGACGTGACGATGGGGAGGAGAGAGGGAGGAGGGGGGGAAAAGGGGAGTGAGGGAACTGGGAAAAAGATGGCTCGTAACGACACAGTTTCGGGATCAGTATTGGCGATGAGGGAAACGCGGGATTGAGCCCTAGTCCGGTCCCGCTTTGGTTTGGGCTGTGCGTGGACCAGCCCTAAGCTTAAGCGAGTCACGTGTGCTCTATACAACTGCCTCTATAGATCCCTAAGTATCCCCATTTGATATCTCCTCTGATATCTCCGTTTAATATACAGAATTCACCCAAATTACCCCATCACTACGGACTACCGTAATCTAGTCAAACACCTGCACCTGAGGCATCCGCCCCAACCCCTTCCCCCCACCCTGCTTCTTCTCCTTCGCCGCCTGGAATCCCGTCGCGCTGTTATCCCGCACATGCCGGCGTAACATCTCCAGGATCTCCGACTCCTTCCATCGCGACGGTACCGGTCGGTACGCCGCCTTGAAGGCGCCCACCGTCTGTTTCCACTCGCCGCTCTTGGCGCCCGTACGCTGCCACGTATCCGTCAGCGTATCCTCCTTGGGGGAATCCTCCGTGGGGGGATCCTGCGTCGCCCAGTAGTAGATGTCCCAGTCATTCTCGTCCAGAAACCGGTCGTACTCCTGCAGCTGTTCACGCGACATGCTGCCGAGGTAGGCGTCGGCAAAGGTCGACATCAGCAGGTCGGACTCGAGGATGCCGCGCTTTCGGCTTTGGTCTGTATTAATCAGCATCTATCTGTCTATCTTCGTAGTTGAATCGCTTTCCCCCCGGGCCCCCCCGGGAATCATCGGGGTAAGTCAATGGGTCTTCCAATGTTGTAGAGGTCCCATCGCCTTTCCCTCGGGTACCAGGGTACATTCCCAGAAAACATGAGCAGGGAAATAGTAAGGAAGACATACACAACAACCTAGCCCTCATGGTGGACACATCCTCGCCGTCCCTCTTCAACGGCTCAACCTTAAACGTAATGCCCTCCATCTCACCAACGCCCAACTCCGGCTTCTGCGGTCCGCTGCCCTGGCGGCCCCCCGTGAAGTGCTCGACCTTCCCCGGGTAGGGGTCCGCGGGTCGGTAGTCCGGGTCGACGGAGCTGAGCATGTCGGGCGGGGCGGGCTTGTCGCCGACTTTGGGAAAGTCCTTTGTCATGGTTGAGGTTGTGTTGGGGATGGCTTGGTTTGGTTGCTGTTGCTTTTTCTTGTCGTTGGAGTCACTGTTGAGGCGAGGGGCCGAGGTGCCGAAGGCGCGGGGGAGGGTTGCTGTTGAGGCTGTTGGGAGGGAAAAGGCAGCAGGCCGGGCGAGGCGGCTGATTAGGGTCCTGGAGAGGGACATCTTGGTTGGGTGTGTGATGTGTAATTCAATTGGAATGGTATAGGGAGAGAAGATGAGTTGGATGAAGTTGGGGAGACGGAGAGTCTAGATAATTTCGGGATTGACATCATCCGGAGAAATGCGGGTGTTTGTTTGGTTTGTTTGATATACACCAACAAGCATTGCGGATTACATATAGGATTTCTTAGGCTAGTTACTCTGTAGATCTATTGATATACAGATTAGCATGTCTATAATAATGCAAATGCAGAGTCCAGCCTACTACACTAATTACAACGCATAAACCAATATACCACATTCCTAGCTAAGCATCATAGGTATTGAAACAGTGTACCGTGAAGAATATCCGAACTACATAAGGCTCCAAGCCAGACCAGAGTAAAGACCCCATCAATGCATCGAACTCCGCTGGTTATAAGCCACTCCTTCAACCTCCAACCAAAAGCAAGGTGGGTATAGTCCTCGTCTAGATGAGATGCTTGGATCTGTAAAATGTTAATTGCCGCTTGAACGGGGCCAGACGGAAACGAGGAGAGAAAGGAGAAAAAGAGAAGGGGAACGAACCGGAAATAAGCCCGCAGATAAATAACCTGCCACACGCCCAAACCCACCAGCATCCCCATAGTGCCAAACGCGAACCACTTGACCCGCTCATTCGTGCTCTCATTCGTATCACGCAGCTTCTGCTCTCTCGACCGCAGGTACTCCATCTCGCTCACAACCTCGGAGACCATCTCCTCGATGCGGCGCAGGTCCGCCTCAACGGGTTTGAGCTTCTCCTGGACCTGAATGCTGGACCAATCGCGGGCGTCGGCGCCGATGTCAACGTCGAGTTCGATCGCGCGGCGGGGGTTGGAGTGGCCTTCTATATGGGGTTAGTATTGTACCTCGTCATGAGATTCCCCAGCATCCAAACTTCAACATTCAACAAGGAGTGAAGGCGTCGTTTCAAAACGAGAGGGAAAAGGGAATACGCACGCTGCGAAACAAGCTTATTCTCAAAACACACATCAAACGCCGTATCAGCGGGCGACGTAAACGCCTGTCTCGTCTCGCCCACCACATCCTTCGGCCTCCCATGATCATTACCCAGCGCATCCTTAATCTAAACCCAACAAACACAGCCCATTAGCAGACCGCCTCACTACACCCCCATCAATCATCCACAACTAGTGGACACATAGAGGACTAAATAAATCTGGAGTAAAAGGGAGAACATACATGCATATTAACAACCATCCCATCCCCCTTCTGGCCGTCCACAATAGCAGTAACAACAACCAGCTGATCCTTCATGACGAAGTTGCGAATACACCGCTCGTTCTTGCTGGTCGAGGCGAAGAGGTCGAATTTCAGGGCGGACGAGAGCTGCACCAGGAGGAGCAGCGTGAGGCCCAGGATGGACCTCAATGAGAGAGTGGGGGTCCCCATTGTGGACTGTATTTGCAATGGGGGTGGATTGTGTTGGAGAAATGTTGAGGGGGGGTGTAGTGAAGGGGACGGAAAGACAGCTGGTCGGGAGTCGTTATTATTATTGATGCCACGCCGCGGCCAGCCCGTGGAGCAGCCTGTCGGGGAATTGTTGTTCCGGAGGTATGTATACCTGGCTCTTTGATATCTAGGTATCCAGGCACCGATCTTCATATGAAACTACAGTGATAAAATGACTTGAGGAAGGATTTATGTTGATATCATATCTTATTGAAAGTTACATCCTATTCGCCCAAGGCGAGTTTCGTCGTAAACAATGGAAATAAAGTAAACAAATCTGGAGGCTTCCGCCCATATCCACCACCAATCTGTAGCCCTACCCAGCTCCAGACCTATTTCATTCAAAAGTAAAGCAACAAAAATAACAGAGAGGAGAATAAGGTATCAATGTAATAGATACATAGCGAGCGAAATCATGATCGAGTCGGGTATGTGTAGAAAAGAGTATCAATAAATAAAGGGGGAGATCAGAGTATGAAGGAGAGAATTATATCGGGAAATAAATCAAATCAAATAACCAAGAGCAGTGAGATCATCATACGGCTCAGAACGCTGGAAGACACCGGTCACCTGCAAAGCACATAGCGATTTTGGGTTTGAAAACGGAGGACGCGATCAACAAAACTAGGGACCACTCAAAGGATGTATGCCCGTTTTTTAAGCCTCAACCTTCTTGCGGCGCGACAGGAACCGTGAGAGGCTGCTCGATGACGAGTCCTTGCTGCGGCCACCATAGGTCGACGCGCGATTCGCAGGCGGCTCCGGGGGGCCGGTGTTCCGGAGGAAGTCGGCCAACCCACCGGTCTCGGTCCTTCGTTCCGACACGGTGGCCAAGCCCGCGTTTCGCTCCATGCCCACCTTGGTCGCGTAGGTGGCCGGAGCGGGCACGGGCTCGGGTGGCTGCTGACGGAGGGAGGATCGGGACGATTTCGCGGTCGGGCCACTGCGAAGGATGCGGGATCTCATACTCGACGCGCTGGACATCCCACCGGAGCTCCTGGGGGGAGCGGTACTGGAGTTGATAAGCAGCGGCTGCGGAGCGGAGTCCGCGGGTGGAGGCGCGTTGCGCAGGAAGTCAGCCAGGCTTTCTTCCTGAGGCGGGGGCTTCGCGCCCTCCATCAGGAGCTCTTCGAGCTCTTCGTCCTCGTCGCTGAGGTCAATCGCGTAGGGGTCTCGCACCCGTCGCTGGGTGCGCATGGGGAACGGGTTTTCTTCGGAGATCGCTTGGCCGACCGGCATGATACTGTACCGCTTGGGAGGACCGCTCTGGGTCGTGGTCCGGCTGGAGGATTCCACGAGCCCCGTGCGCGACCCCGTGGAGCCCGTGGATGGGGCAACCATAGAGTTCGCTCGGGTGCTAGTTGCAGACGAGTGGGCCTGGTCGGCGGCGCCGTGCTCCAGGGACTGCAAGTCGTCCGAATCCATGGTATCCCGGAACGGTGCGACGGTGCGCGGGATGCGATGCGCTCCCGACGTGGGCGGGCCCTCGCGGATAAAGTCGATCAGGTCGGACGTCTCGTCCCCCTTCGAGGTCGCCGCGGAGCGGGCTTGCAGCTTGGGGCCGGGAGCACGCGCGGTTGCGTTCGACGTAGCGCTGGCCGGACGAGAAGAGAGCTTCCGCGATAGTTCTGTGGCGTCGGAGAATCGGCGCAGTTTGTTCGACTTCGTCTTAAAACTGGCCCGTCCGCTGCTCGGGCTAGCTGGAGAATCCGGCCCCGCCGATTTGAAGTTGGCAGAGTCACGGGTCGACGATGAAGGACCGGCCTTCGCTTCCTGCCCGTGGGCGCCCGGCCTTGACTGCGAGGGCACCCGGGGCATGATGGGCGTATGCTTGGGCCCCTCGGACGACTTGGCGGTCATCGGTCGCGGCACCGCCTCGCCGGGAGGAGCAGTAGTCTTGAGGAAATCGGCCAGGTCGGCCGTGGTCGATCGTTGAGGTTGCCGCCGAGGCGTATAGTCGGGGAGCTCCATCTCTCTCACGCTCTTGGGGGTCAGGGTATAATGGATGGTCTCGTCACTGCGGATCAGGTCGTCCAGCTCGGCGTCGTTCGTGGAGTGCTTGCTCGTCTCGGAGAATCGGCTCGTGTCGGAGGAAGTTCGCGCACGAAGCGAGCTCAGACCCCTCAGTCGGTTCGACCGCTGGGAGCTGGACGATTCCGCCGTCAGCGGGCGCTTCTCGCGGCTACTGCTAGCACTGGTGGATCGACTCAGCTTGGCGGGACCGGTCGTGGACGGGGCGGGAGACTGGCGCACAGGCACTCGCTGAACGGCAGCCCGCTCCGTCCGGGAGCTGGCGACGGATGGGCTTGAGTTACCAGATCGGTGGTGCGATTCTAGAGCGAGGGGGGCGGGCTTGGGTCGGGTCGAGCGGTCGGAAGATTCCAATGATAGCGGTCGGGGAAATTGGCCCAGCGACACCTCGCTCGTGGTGGATTGGGCGGTGGGCGGGGCGGACGAATCGGTGACATATAGATCGGTATCGGGAGTTTGGGAAGCGCCGCGATCGACAGCCGCCCCTTGCGTCGCGGGCTGGATCTCGATCACCGTCTGCATCATTCGCTCCGGGCGGCCACTCAACGTCTCATCTTGTCGAGCAGGGTAGTAGGTCGACATGCGCTTGGGCCGCTGCATGGAAACCAGCCTCGGTTTTTCGCACTGACCGTGGCCTTCGATGACTTCTGCCTCCACCTCAGGCTGGATTCGATCGCTCAACACGTCCGACGACGCGTCGTTCGACCCGGCCTGACTGGTCACCACCTCAACCGACGCCCCGGACAGCGATGACGTTGTGGCTGCCTCCGGAGCCGCGCTAGCCTCCGTCGTTGACTCGTCATGCAGGTTCGCGACCGCGGACTTCGGGGCCGCGGATTCCTCACCCCCCGCATCCTCCTCGTCGTGCTCGTACATGGTCTCCAGACGCCGACGCTCTTCGGACGCCGTGGGAGACGACCGCCCCGCGGGTTGTTCGGCGGCTTCGGCCGCGTCTTCGGCGGCGTTCGGGAGCGAGCGCGCTCGAACATGTCGGTTAGGCTGGCCACCCTGTGACATGGGTGTGATGGGCGAATTTCCACTGGAACAGGGCGATCGAGGTGGCAGAGTGAGGACCATCAGACTGTGCGGCCGCACCTTGTGGGCCACCATCGCCTGCACAACCTCTCCCCGATCCATGTCATGCGATCCGCGGGAGCCTTCGATTTCCTGCACGTCGTGGTCCCCCAGAGGTAACGGGATCATGGCCGGATCCGCCGCCGCCGCCGTCGCCGCCTCCTCGCCGGCCGCGACGCTGGACTTGGGGAGCCCGGGCATGGGACCCTGCATAGTGCGGCGTCGGATCGACTCCTTCGAGATGGCGCGCGACAAGGTGGGCGTCCGGACGCGCTTGCGCCAGGTGCGCCAGAGCCGGCCCAGCGTCGGGTTCAGGGCCAACTTCTCCATGTCATGATCCGCCACCACGAGCCGGTCGATGCTGGCGCGCGGGGCGCCGGACTCCGTCGCGGCATCGTCGTGGGCTTCATCGAGCTGCGCGGACAGTCGCGAGCGGGCGGTCTCGCCCGCGATCACGAGCGCCTGTTCCGCGATGTATTCGAGGATGGCGGTCAAGAAGATGGCGGCGGCCGGGGTGATGTTGCCCACGTGGTTTCCAAAGCGTCGCGGGGCGCCCGCGTCGTCGCCCAGGCCCTCCTGCTCGATGAACTCCTCCTCGTCGTCCTCTTCCATGTCGCCCAAGCGAGTGTACACCATGCAGCGCAGGCGGGTCAATTTCCACGCCCGGACAATGTCGAAGTCTGCGCTCAGGGCGCGACCCCCGCGAAACTCCAGGTGCTCATCTTCGGGACCCCCGAGGTATTCGCTCAACTCGTCGTCCGCGGCGGAGACGACTTCCTTCGCCAGTCGCGGCTTGAGCACCTCGGCCACCGCGGGTCGGAGCGCCGCCAACTGCGCCGATTTCCCCGCGGCGAGGATATTATAGAGTAAGTGATCGAGAAACCCATTCAACGCGACCAAGGCCTCGGAGGTGACCAAGGCGCCGGAGGGGTTCTCCTCGTTGTCGACCACGAAATCGGCCGTGTTGAACTCTTGATCCGAGGTGACGATCTGGGATGCGGCCGACGCGGTGACAAAGGAGGGAGGGGGAGATGCTGGCGGCGGCGCGAGGAGGGTGGTGCGAGCAAATGTAGAATCGCTAGACATGCTGGTACTGCGCGAGCGCGAAATCGCTCTCCCGATCTCAAAGGGCTCGAGGCCTTTACTTTGCTGCATACTTTCTTGACCAGAGAGAGGTCTCACATCCAGCAACGGGGAGCTGGCCTCTCGATTGGGTAAGGCGGGGGAGGGAGAAGGGAAGGCAAGGACGAGTCGGGATTGGATTCTTTTTATAATGAAAGAAAGGAGCGTTCAAAGGCGATCGGGGCGGGGGGATGCTGATCGGTGGGTTCGATTGGGGGACTTCAATGAATGAGGTCAGATTCTAGAAAGGAAAGGCTCTATCATCCTGATCATCCTGTCAGCATTAACGGACACGAGTGATGCAACTTATACACAGCCCTGTTGGGGGCCCTTTTCTTCCTCCGTCTTTTTTTATTCAATCTTCTTCTTTTCTCTTCCTTTCTTTTTTCTTTCTTTTACTTTCTTTGTCGTCCTCAATTTAACCCCGCCTGATCGAGGCATTCAGCCATTACCGGCGACAGGCCCAAAGAGGAAACCGAGGACAAGAAAGAGAGCCAACCCCACGATACTTCGCCACGAATTGGAAACGAGACGGGGGATGCAGTAGTGGGTGGAGTGTCAAGGAAATGCATGGACATACCCGTGTAACGAGAGCAAGGGAGGAAACGAGAAATACGGGGGACCGTTCAAGGCCAATAAGCGGCATTCATAGCCTCGGCGATGATGGAGGGGAAGGGAGCGGAGTGTATGAAGCGAATGACGAAAAGAATGGAGAGGATGGAGAAGAGAATGAAGGAGGGAATGAAGAGAGAGAAGGAGAGGAGGAGGAGAAGACTGGAGAGGCGAAGAGAAAAAGGAATCAGGAGGAGCCGATGCGATGGAGTGTGGAGAGAGAAGTTATTACTATTAGTAGTAGGACTGAGGGCTCACTGCTTCGTCTACGGGGTACTCACCTGCCATTCTTCTGGATTTACCTCTATTATTTTATGATTTTATTATTCGATTTGATTTATTTGATTACATGTTATCCATTATATTTATTATCGCATTTATTATAATTATTCCAAATTAATTAAAGAATGTATTGGATCAAGTATAAAGACAACAAATCCATCGGATCAGGAGACAAAACAGCGTCCAATGACAGGCGGTAAGATAAATTACCGATACCGTACCAGGGCCAACCGAACCGACTCCAGGGACCGCACGGGCAACCGCAGCACGGGGGATCCACTATATCATGGGCTGTCGCTGGGAGTGTACGGATCAATACATGTTTCATCACTGTGCCGTACCATACTTCAAACACGTAATATGATATTCATTCTCTTCTCTTGCAGAGTGTGAAACGTGCAGGTATTCCGTGTCTATCATCCTATACAGGAAACATCTGTCTCTTAATCTCAAAATTATCATCGACTCCAGTCAAATCCACGGGAAATAATAGAATGATAATAAACCCAGATGGCAAAAAAGGTTATCCCGATTAAGAAGGAGGCAAAAATTAGATATCTTAATAAGAATAATTTCGTCCCCCCCGACGATCTCCAGCAACTCCAACAATGATTAGGATTAAGCCCCGCCCCACCAACTAGTTGGAAGAAAGGGGGGATCAATCTCCTACTATCCAGTCTGAGTTGTCCTTCGGCCTCCATTCTCTCTTCTCGTTCGCTCATCCACTTTTTCTTTTCCTTTTCTTTTTCCCCACTGGGACTAATGCCGTACGAATCCACTTCGGAAAATTTGCCCCCCTCAATCGATTAGTGTTAATGTCGCTGACGATTTTGTTAACTACGGAGTATGGGCACCAGATCACTATCTGAGTTTCTAACAACATTCACCATCCGGACAGTAACATGCGCTGTGGAAAATGGAATCCATTTGTTTTTCTCTGTTGGAGATCGAGAATCAAAACTCTGTTGGTGACTATTGACGGGCCCTCGGAATGCTGATTCGATCGGTTCAAGGGCTGGTCTGACGCCCGGTCCACCATGGGTTCTCCTCCTGGGTCCTTCTGGGTCCTGGTGTGCAGAACAGTGTTGGAGATACTGTAGCACAAGGTAGTACACACTACCCAGTGTACCTCCTGCGTACTGTGGTTTGTACGTATGGATGGGGCAGACAGCGTCTGATCGAACCCTGGTTCACCCTTGGCTGGGAAAGACCCCCCTAGCCAGGCCACGAGGGTCTACATCATCCGATACATCATCAGCGGAAAGCGGATGATGTACCACTATAACCACCCCAACACCTCCCTACCAATTGTGAGAGTCAGTGGCACAGAGCTAAGAGTCAGCCATTTCATGACTAGTTACCAGGAAACCACGTAGCGACACCATCCAAACCCACTAGTTGGTGATAGAAGCCTAGCTCTGACAAATTCCAGAATGCCCTAGCAGTCACCACGCGATCGATAGCATCCCAGAACCCAGTCTCCTGGGATCTGAGCGGATGAGCCCTTTGACCAGTGTATCACAGAGCATACTGCCCAGTTGGCCAGACCCTACTATTACTGTACTATTATTACTATTAATGCTCATTTGCAGATGGTGTGCAAGTGGATCAATCAGTTGGGACCACCCTGTGGTTGTTATGTGCGGTTCGTGGTTCGTGATCGCCCTGCCGTGTACCGTGGTTGCGTCGACTGTGACATACTCGGTTGCTATAATTGCTATTGGATTGCTAGTCTTTTGGTGGTTGGGTGGGTTTGATTCTATTTATTTATCATTCCTTATATTATTTGGACTCGACTATTGCTTTCTACTCACTTATTACGTAGTGAGTATCAGTCTGTACCATACGTCCGCCGTAGTGATAGTGTGCACATAAGTCATCGATAACCAATACCAAAACTTCACACTGTCTACAATATCATAGATAAATAGGAAGGCAGTCACTTAGGTAGGTACGTGTATACCATCAGTCATGAGCCAAAAAAAGATATAAGATCTTCCAGAACCCTGCCGAAGGATCCCGCCAACTACCCACATCACGCTGACAGACGATAAGCTCGCCCCCCGGTCACATTTCCAACTTCCCCAGGCTGTTCCGTTTCAGGTTGTGCCCGGTCGGGGCATGCACTGATTATGCCGGTGGAAAAGCCTCGTATATGTATATCTCGCTATATGTCGCCTTACTCCGCCTAGTTGGGTATGTTATAGTCCGGATTATATACAGCATTATATACAGCGTTACAGGCTGATAGTGTAGGGCCCAACCAACACATGGAATATCAGAACGTACCTTTGTAGATAAGTAAGTAAAGGAGTAGTGCGTAGATCAGCAATTGACTACCAGTTTATTGAATAGAAATAGATGTCTTTATGAGAAGAGGGTTATTATGACTTAACGGCTAACCTGCATTTCCCAAGTACAAAGTACCTTGATACACCCATCCATCCGAGACTGACTCAATGTCTTTCCCCGGATGGAGCACTGAAGAACCTACGAAACAGACACCAACATGCAGAAATTGTCAATACCAATACCAATAACCATAAATCCCCCTTACAGAGCGCAGACTCCACAAAGAGCGGTAAATGAATCATGAATCACGACCTAGCCAAAAGTAAAGAAAGTCAACTATGACCACCTCGGATAAGTATCATGATCGACAAAGAGACGCGGGTCGGCATCTCTACTTAGTCCTTAGTATTTACCACCTACCTACCTGTCTGTCTACCTACCTCCCTATGTAACAAGCTATCTACTGACCTACCTACCTCCTTATATACATAGCTAGCTAGCTACCTGGCCAATACCTACTGCCTATTTCGTCCCAAGCTTGCCAAGTCTCGCTGTCTACAGAATACGATCTAGTGTCTAGTGTTTCTCTGGCTATGGCTGGTTGGTACGGTCCGCGATATAGGTGGGCCGGATTGATTGGGATGCGCGCCCTGAGGGGACATACCCGGCTTTGGCTATTACGAGAATAGCATCCTGATGGATGCTGAAGGATTGTGGATTAGGGGGTATTTGCCTACTCCGTACTTAGTAGGAGCTTAAACCATAGCTGATGGATAGATACTTTAGGTAAGTAGATAGGTAACGACTAGTTATAGGTAAGTAGAGATCGATCGATGACTTGTCAGGTTCACGTGGCTCCTGAGTTTTCTGTGTTTTGTGGAGCTACGCTGAAGAATGTTGGATCAGGGGTTGGGGTGGTACGTGCACTTCTATCCTACTCTGTAGTTGCTACTGGTTTGATGGTTGAGGTTGTTGTTTTTTTTTTTTTTCATGTTGAATTGCAAGCTATTTGAGAAACCACAAGAAATCACTGATAAACCCGCTCGTAAGCATTGACATTCCTTTCGTAACCAATCGTGTAGAGGATCCGGCCTGATAAAAACGCGGGACATGGGATCCGTTGAATTTTGTGTTCCCTCGTGGGAACAAAGAAAAAAGAGAAGAGAGAAGGAAGAAAAGAAGAGGAAATGAAATCATTTTGATCACCGTCCAAGACACGTTTTCCAATTTTCAAGCGCATAGGCGATCCCCCCGGCGAAGAAGCACAGCTCGTCCGCTCCGATGGTGACTCTGTCACTGCCGAGGCGCTCCGAAAGAAGGTGCTCGATCTTTCTCACTAGGCCGTTCTGGGTGCGTCGGTCGGCCTTCTTTTCGTCACTCAACCGCATGAGCTCGTCCAGCTCGCCAGCGATGAGGATGTGGGGAAATGTCCCAATCACGTGGTTGAGAGCGTGGTCCAGATACACCCCACACGGGCTGTCAGAATTCAGATACGGCGACTGCACTCCGCCGGCGACGATGTCCTCGACCTGCGTGTGCAGCCGCGACTTGTAACTGGAATCGGTCACTCCGTTGATGCCGTTCATGTAGGCTGCAAAGAGTCGCTTGTCCAGGTCGACGATGTCACGGCTGTGCTCTTCGGGTAGCTGCCGGACAATGTCGTAGAAAATCGCATGGGTGTCATTTTCGATATCGTCGAGATCGAAGTCATCAAGGGGGTCCTCCGATGCACTCTGGCCCAAGGCGCGAGCGCGTTCCATGATCTCATGGCAAGTCATCCCGCTATCGGCATCGGTTGTGTCCTCCAACGCACATTTGGGGGCCTCGATATAGACCACGTTGGGATCGAATCGTACGTTAGATTCGAAGGAGATGAATGAACATTCCATAGATTCACCATCATCATCATCAGCATCCTCCTCCTCGTCTTCGGAGTCGCTCATGGCGTCGGAGTCGGAGTCCCACGCCGTGATATAGTACTCCTCGTCTTCATCTTCGTCCTCCTCGTCCGAGGAATCATCAAATTCATGGTCAGTAGCCTCGGAGGCATAACCAGACTCAGACTTCTCGTCCTCCTCTATTTCCGAGTAGGGTCTTTTCAAGATTGATTTCGGGGCGGGACGAGGCGCCTCAAGGGCGGATGATGAAGGCGAAACGGTCGTAGTATTCACCGAAGTTGGGTTGGTCGACGCGACAGATATCTCGTCCGAGCCATAACAGCTGTCCTGGGAGAATGAGATCTCAAGGTTGGAAAAGTTCGATGACAGAGACTCCCAGGACGACTGTTTATTCAATAGTTGGGTGCCCATTTTGACGATCCGGAAATCAGGCACTTGATGCAAAGTGTAATCAAAGATAGGGTCACCAAGAGAAAAGATGCAAATCGTAGACAACAATTGCCCCAAAGATACACTTTCCTTGGCGTATAGGATATTATTTTTCGAGTTCAAGAAATGTGTTGTGAAGTGTTGGTTGATTCAGCGGTTGGCTTCGACTGCCTCCAAAAACGCGGGAGAGATCCATATTGAATCGCAAGGGTGAACACAGATTCACCTAATGGGAGCCGACAACGGCTCCGTTAAACGAGATAATCTGAGGGTACATGGTGTTCATTTGATAAATTGACAATTTGATCCGTTGTTGCTGTTGCACATGCACTGAGGCAAATTCTGGGCCTGTAAGGATGAAACCGAAGGCAGGAACCAACTTTTCTTTTTCTCGATCGGGGTTTTGTGTAGAGGCTGGCTGATGTGATACATATAGACCGAAGGACGTGAGGGGTAAGCGTAAGACTATCGGGAGGGTGAGTTGTATGGTATCCGACTCCGCTCGAATACCTCGACGCGTCAAAATTTCCAGACAGACAACCTCGATATGACCTTCGAGGACTGAGGATCCAAATTCTAGACCTGGATTATAGTTTTGGTTTCGGTGATCGTAGATAGAGGCGGAAGAGGGCGGCTTAGACAGTCATACCCACTTTTCGTGGGATGTTGGACAAGAGACGTAGCGGGGGGGGCGAGAGGGGTAACCAGCGAAGCGAGGCGTTCTGTTTCTATAGACAGTGTGGATATCACACCGGACTCGATGTGTCTCGTGGGAAATGTGTGGGTATATATATGAGAAGCACAAGATGCAGTGCTGGGAGGGAAGAAAGAAGGAAAAGAGTCAAAGGCCGGCTGACCGTCAGACCGCAATCAGGTTGCCGTCATCACCCACACATGACCTAAATCTTCCACAATAAGCATCTGGTTCTTGCATAACCCGTCCATTGTTACTCAGCGACACACACAAAGCACACAACTCGCCCGGGATTACCCGGGACCGCTATGGAATTACTTTGTTCCTTTGTCCATCAGAAATTTCTCGGAGCTTCTTTGTGCCTGAGGTCAAAACATTACTCAGCCATTGGTCTTTCCGTAATAAGTTAGTCTACTCCGGTCCGTCCATTTCGGATATTCTGGATATTCTGGGGTATTCCATATCCTCTCTTGCTTACATCAGTACAGATCACTGAGTAGAGAGCATCAACATCGACGTTAGGAGGGAAAAGACTTCAATGTGTCTATGGAGTGTCTTCAACTCACTGAAAGGACAGCACAATGACACTGCTTTTTCAAATACTCACTTTCTCTAGCCTCATCCGGACATCTGAATGTCTTTCTAATGGGTCCTAATTAAAGCAACCATACAGGAGTGCTGCTGCTCGTTGGGTTACAAACATCCATCGGGGCTATGTCTGGAGAGAACACCTCCTGGTGATGTTTCAGCTCATTGATACTGTCTTACGCATTACAATGAATTCACCAGGATAGCCTCTGTTCCTGTTTCAAACCCCTGTTCTTCGGTCCTCGTACCTGTTCCTATTTCCAGATCGTCCTTTGTTGAGAAGGTCTTTCACCGTTCATTCATTCCATGCAGGAACCCCAGGGTCGAGAATGTTCGATCATGACTGTTATGCTCCCTGAAAGAAGCGTGTGCATTCTTCTCGGTGGCTTACATTCCCCAGGAACCCCAGCCAATCATTCGGGGTGGAAATCAATACCACCCACCACTGGGGAGCATGCTGCTTCCGGCTTCACAGGGACAAGAATTCTTTGTCATCTATTTTTTGTTTCGATTTCTATTTCCTCCTCCATTCTTCACTATGGTGGTCTTCAGGGGTGGCTCGTTCCCCCTCGAGCCTTGTGGGGATTTTCGTATCAATGTAGGTGTTCGTGGCCGAGCTCCTGTCATCTTTTCATGGTCTGAGCAAAACGTGGGAACAAAGAACCTTGAGGGCTTCTTCGGTCGGTTCGTCTCAAACTCTATGCGTATTTCCTCTTCCCTCGTTATGGGGATTGGTCTGTTTGTTGATTCGCACCGAGTCGCAAGACAAAGAAGACGCGCCACACTCGGCCCAGGCCCCATACATACAAGTTCAATGGCCGGATGACCTTCTTCATTAACTGAGTCGGATGACCTAGTGCAATTTTATCCTCTTCCAGACCTTTGTTAGGGACTGAACTGAATGCGAATCGAGGGGCTTCCCTCAAGGATTTGTTTGGCGAGTCCCATAGCACGGGATAATTATAGAAACTCCCAGCAGTGCAGCAAATCAACTGCGCGAGAGTCTCTTTCACCTTGACTGGTTCACTATTTTTCTATTTTCTTTAGGTTTTGGCTAATTTTCTCCTGGGTCGTAGATGTGCACATGGATTTACCAAGGCCGTGCATATTTGCGAGAGGCTTGCGTACCTCCCAGCCCCGGCATACCCATGGCCATTCCCCGTCAAAGCATTTGGTATCCGAGCAGACCCTGCTCCACCATGCGACTGGAGAACATTGGCATTGAGCAATCAAATGGGCAGAACAACGGCGTTGATGCGGATCCTCAGGGTCACATCCTGGTGTTCGAAGGGGCAACCCTCGATGACACTTGCACTCGAGGTGCCCACCGATTACACTAAACCCCTTCTCTCCACAGGAGCTTCTTCAAAGCTGCGGCGCAGGACCCAAAGTAGTTTTCATTATGTAGCCCGCTATCCACGCAGGGCGCAGTCCTCCTGTCAGACTGTGACGATATCTCGCCGTGCATTGGCTTCGCAGGTCCCCCGCCAGGACCCGCCCAATGCCCTGTCCTGCTGATGCCCCATCCCGGCTGTTTCGGGCATAGTGAAGGTTGCATTCTAGCGGGTGGCCATCCGGAACTCATACCCACTACATAGGAGTGTGGGTGAAGAATGGAGCATTCGATCAGCCATTGGACGTCCGGTCTCTGTGATTGGCAGGGGTGAGACCTGGTGGTAATCTTGTCAAATCAATCCATCAGGATGAGGTGGGCCATATCGACCCAGGCATTGGCCCCTCCCCTCCCCTCTGTACATTCTTTACCCATCTTTGGAGCAGATGGAATGCCAGAAGAATCCCAGAGGCTGGCGTCCATCGCAACGATTCAAAAAGGGCCCCCTCGGTCTGTTGTTTGTTTGCTTTGCCTGCTTTGCATCTTGTGCAGTGTTTTCCTCGATTGTCTAAACATCAAACAGTGCCAAACGAGCAAAACATTCCATCTTGCACCCAAATCCTCCTGTCCAACGGCTCCCCGGCTTGATATCCGAACCTTGCTTCGAATCAGACTTGTTCTCCCGCAGAATTTGGCGCCAATCACCGTCGGAAATCTGCCTCTAGTTGCAAGTTGGCTCCCGGCCCATCCTTTGGCAGAGCTCCCTCCTCGTCGCCGCAAACGGAAGGCGATCCATCCCCCGACCCACCATGTTCGCCCACCCTTATGACCATTCGTTCAATGACTTATTCAATCAATACGTCAACATGGATACGTCAAGTACCGATGGTAACAAAGATATCTCATTCTCCGGCGATCTTGACCAGATGTTCTCTCTGGATCCCCTACCCAGCGACTGTGGCGAACACTCTCCCTCCGTTTCCACCTCAAAGCAACCCCAGCAGTCACCCCAGCAGCAACAGCAGGCCTGGGGAAAGGACGTGTGGTCTTTGCCGCCGGATACCGCTCCCTCTGCAGGTCCCGGCCCCCTTGCATTTCAAGACTCGATCCAACCCTCCGCGGTCTCCGATCTGAATGACAACCTGGACATTCCTTCCGCCGATCACCACCCCCCTGCCGCAGACACCGGCCGTTCCTCGCCGTCCACACCCCCGCAGACTCCTAACCGCAAGAACAAGAGCGCATTGCTCACTCCCAAGTCGATCCGTCGTCACCGCGAGCCGAATGGCCGTGGGCACCTGCGCAAACAGAGCTTCTCCCCTGGTTTGACGCGCACCTCGCAGCTCCAGAAAGGGAGAATGGCGTACCCCGACGCCTGGACGCAGCGATTGCAGCAGAACTTCAACTTCCGTAGTGCCGATGATCGTCTGCCGCTGTCACCGCCGCCGTCCGATATCCTCGTGCAGCAGGAGAACATGGCGCCCGCTGACAGCTCCGCCATGAATCCCGCGGGGGATTCGGCCGAGATGCCTCATCACTACGATTCGGGACTCTTCCACCCCTCCCCCGCGATCTCCATGCCTTCGCCTTCCGCGAATACCCTGGCTCGGCCACCACCACGGTATCTCAGCCAATCCCACAACTCCACCTTGACCTCCAGTCCTCCCCCGGCGGACGACATCTTCTCCTCTCCACATTCCTCCGACCCGCAGTCCCTCTCCTCGTGGCATTCTGACTCCCTTGGCTCGTCGACATTTCCTTTCACGCCGGATCTCGGTAGCCACGATGCCCAGGCATGGTGGGCGTCCCCCATGGCGGGCCAGGTTGCGCCCCGACAGCCGTCATACCAGCCCATAATTGCGTCCCCGACCCCGCAGCGGCCCATGCAGAACAACCAGCATGACATGCTGCAAGGGGGTCTCATGATCCAGCTCGACCCCTCCTCCTTCGATATGTCCACCGCGAGCTCCTCTTTCCCCCCGTCGACCATGCCGACAGCCCCTACCACCCAAGATACCCACGCTTACCACACCCCCGCACCTCCGTCCCAAAGCTTCGTGGACTCCTCTTCCTTCACCACGCCGAACGGCCAACATCCGTCGCGATCGCCGTCCATGTCACCCGGGACGGGTGGGTCCCCCGGAATGGGGTCCACCATGTCGAGCAGCATCGCCATGAAGACGCCCCAGCGCCGCCCTCACGGCCGGAAACTGTCCGGCCAATCGATGAGCGCACCCCGGCCAGTCAAGGGTTCGAGCCCCAAAAATTCCAACAAGTCGGTCACCGTCTCGTTTGTGAACTTCACTCCCAGCGATAGCCGGAAGATCCTCGGCGGGGTTGCCCCCAGCGGCAGCTCCAAGACGAAAGCCCGACGCGAGCAAGAGGCCCGCGATCGACGGCGCAAGCTGAGCGAGGCTGCACTGCAGGCGGTCCGCAAGGCTGGTGGGGACGTGGATACTCTCGAAGCCATTCTATACTAGTCTTTTCTCCCCTCTTCTTTCTTCTTTTCTTACTTATTTTCTTTTTTTTTTTTTTTTTTCTTTTCTTTCCATTTCATTTCATTATTGATTACCTCCTATCTGTACTATGTTTGATTTCCCTCTCTGCACCATCATATGGTCTCTCTGCTTGGTTTGGTGAACTGGCAACGGTCGTTCAGGTGTTTTTCGGAATTCGGGTTTTGTTCTCTTGTATTAACCACAGGCCAAAAATCGGCGTTGGGCCCTCAAAATTATAGAATTGTGAGTATTGGAGGCATACGGCATTATAATAATTTACTACAATTAATGTGTCATTCATCTTATCTTTCTTCTTGCACGGCGCGTTGCATTCATTTCAGGGTTGAATTTCATACTGCAGGACCCTTGAATGCATTCCAGGTTGTACATATTCATTAGGAGTATAGTCACAGTGAGTTGAGTTTTGACACTCAAGTTATGTATATAGTACATGCAAGAACAAACAAACTCTATCTAAGCGCCGACTCTGTCGACTTTGGCTGCGTTCCGCCAAAACGTTCCGTGCCGAAATGATTTGGTCGGGGATATGAATCCATAACCGACCATTGTACCAATACCAATACCCCGGGAGGGATGTATTGACCGACATTCGACCATTCAGCAAGACGGTGGAGCCCTGCGCAAAGTTGGTCCGAAATAGCCAGCCGTAGCCCAGTGTCTCTCAACGGATTGTCTATCACCCGGTTAGCGCCTCGAGGCGCTACTTTTCCCAGACACGATATTTCACCCCAGGAACACGAAGATGTTTTTCTTATTGTTTTTTTCTTTTTTTCTTTAAAAAAAAAAAAAAGGTCGATCACCGCCGGGCCGCACTCGGCGTCCAAGGTGCTGGCTCCCATTTCTCGCTCGGTCCGCCCTTGCCAGCAGCCGCCCAGGGATCTTTGTCTTTCTTGGTGGTGGTGGTAGTGTCGTCCGTTTTGGGTTTGGTCTCTGTGCCAGCAGCGGGGTTTGTCTGTTGCTGAGGGAGACTCTCCTGGGCCGCAGGCGCGTCGGGCGTCGATGCTGGTGCTGCTGGTGTCGCTGCCGGTGCTGTTACTGCGTCGGCAGGGTTGGCAGTCGCAGGCGCAGGCGTAGCATTCGTCGCAGGCTTATCCAGATAAGAGGGCTTGCTAGCCCAGCGCTCATCGGCCAGACGCGCCAACTGCTTGATCTGCATTTGGCGGAGGACATCCTGCTGCTGTTCTTGGATGGAGGGCGGCTCGCGACGGACGTGACGGAGCCATTGGTGCCATTGCGCTAGATCAATCGACCGGTCTCAGTTTGTGATTCCAAAAGCCGATATACACAAGGATAGGGTTGGATGGAACGTACGTGTCACTTGGACATCGGCGAAATGCGTCTTCGGGTCAAATTTCACGATGCGCCGGAATCGTCCGGCGTTCAGCGCATCTTTGAATTCCCAGAATGTGTTGCCTCGCAGGTCTTGGCCTAGATAAAGATGAGCATTAATAGGTATGGTCTTCTGTATGTAATCCGTGGGAAATTGGGGTGGCATACCGACGAGGAAGGATTTTCGCCACGGGAGGCGGAGGCTTTTCCACTTGAACCAGAGGCTGCTGATGGGGCTCATTGAATCGGGGGGTGTAGATCAATCAGATGAGTATAATCGTAGGAAAGACCAGAGTCGAGGGCAATCAATGGGGTGGTGGACGTAGCTGGGGTGGAGAAAAAGACGAGGCTGAAGGAAGACGAACGAACGTCATCGCCAGAATTATCCCTTCACAGCCAGTCAGCATCCTTCCTACATAAGCAGGCATAATTACTGCCCCCCAACGACATTCTTCACTCTCACTCTCTCTCCCTCTCTCTCTCTTCTCCCTGTCAACTTTCTCTTCACTTCTCTTTCCTCTCTTCTTCTCTACTCTCTCCTCTCCCCTGTATACTCTCCCATTTTCATCAACCCATCCTGCTTTGTCACCGATCTCCATCGAATACCTACTTACTATACTCCTCCTTCCCCTTATCCCCCCGCCCCACGGCCCGCCCCACTACTGTCCGCGCCGTTCTCCTTAGCAATTCACTTCCTTCTTCTATTCTTCCATTTCCTTCCATTTTCCTTGCAGTATACTACATCCGTTCGATCGACCGGTTTAATCGAATCATCATGGCGTCCGTGACGTCCTTGGACAAGGACTTGCGCAGTCTGCGCCTGTCCCGCTATACGCCGCAGGCAGCCGCGGAGGTCCGTGACTGGATTGAAGACGTCCTGCGCGAAAGACTGCCTTCGTCCGACCTCTTGGAGGGCCTGAAAGATGGTGTCGCACTCTGCAGGTGAGCACAGAAACCGCCCCAGATGGGCCTTCTCCCCTCGCCCCAGTTCACGGTGATTGACGAAGTTACTCCCTAGACTCGTAAACATGGTCGTCTCTCCCGGCCTCAAGTACAAACAATCCTCGATGCCCTTCGTCCAGATGGAGAACATCTCCCACTTCCTCCGCGCGTGCCAGATGCCGCCCCTGAGTCTCCCGCCGCATGACGTCTTCCTGACCGTCGACCTCTACGAGGGCAAGGACCCCGCGCAAGTCCTGCAGTGCCTGATGGCCTTCAGCCGGAGGGCCAATGCCCTGCAGCCGGCTAAATTCCCCCGCGCGATCGGCGTTCAGAGCAAAGGCGGGTCGCTCAGCCCGAATATGACCGGCTCCAGTGCAAGCGCGTACAAACCGGCCCGTCCGCGCGGCATCAGCAACGTCAGCGACGCGAACTCCAGTATCTCCGGTGCCAGCCCCGGCAAATCTCCGCATGTCAGCAGCTGGTCCAAGAAGTCCGACGAGGTCGCCACCTCTCCGGCCTGGAATATCCATCAGTACGGGTACATGGGCGGAGCGAGCCAAGCCAACCAGGGGGTCGCTTTTGGCGCTCGTCGGCAGATCACCAGCGCCTCGCCGCACGTGCCGAGTCTGGCCGAGAAGGAGAAGCGCAGGCGCGAGGAAGAAGAGCGCGCCATCCTCGAGCGCCAGGAGGCGGAGCACAGGCGTCAGCGCGAGCTCGAGGCGGAGGAGCGACGAGCCCAAGAGGAGGAGGAGCGTCGATGGGAGATAGAGACGGCCCGTTTGCAGGAGAAGGACAAGGAGCGGCACGCGGCCGAGGCCGAGCGGAAGCGATGGGAGGAGGAAAAGCGGGCGTGGGAGGCGGAGGAACAGCAGCGCGCACGGGAAGAGAAAGAGGCCGAGGTACGACTCGAGCAGGAGAGGCACCACCATCGCGAACTGCAGGATAGCCGACTCAACGGCCAATTCCTCAGCCAGTACCAAGCCAGTCACCCCAACCCCGGTCGTGCCTCGCCCGACGAATCGCAGGAGACACAGCGCATCCGTCAGCTGGAGCGCGAGCTGGAGCTCGCCAAGGAACGAGAGCGACAGTACGAGCAGGGCCGGCAGACCGGGACCCCTGAACCACCCGCGCGCAGCAGCAGCAATCGCCCCGTCCCGGTACCGCCCAAGCCCAGCTACAGCCTGTCGTCCCTCGAACAGGAGCGCCGACTGCTGCGCACCGAATGGCAGACGCACCACGAGGAGGAGCCGGACGTCCCTCCCCAGCCTCCGCGTCCGCTCCCCGAGCCAACCCGGTCCGAACAGCCCCCATCCCTACCCCGCCGACCACTTCCCGATCCCACAGCAGCGGAGCCTCCCGCGATGCCGCCACGGGCCCCCCTCGAAACCGCCAACCACGCCACAAACATGACCCCATCCCCGCGTCCCCTCCCAGACCCTACAGCGACGCATGCCCCCAAGCCCCATCTCCCCGCCAGCCGCGTCGACCAATACCTCTCCTCCCACCGACCCCCAGTCGCCCCCAAGCCCGCCACCCACCGCCCCCAAGACTACAGCACAACCACCGAAGTCGACGCCGAGAACGCCCGACGCGCCGCCGCTCAACAAAAGACCAAAGCCGGCGGCTGGGCCTCAAAGTCGCTGTTAGAGCGCGAAATGGAGCGCGAGCGCGAACGTCAGCGCGAGTGGGAAGAGGGCCAGAAGCAGACGCAGGAGGCGGCTGCGCGCGGCCTCAAGGACGGAACGCTGGGCTCCGGCCCGGGACAGGCCTGGGACGTCCATCAGTATGGGTTTATGGGTGGTGATAATCAGAATCGGGGGGGGTCGGGGTTGGGCGTTGGGGGCGCGAGAAGGCAGATTATTGGGCCGAGGCCGCCGCCATAATCATTTTTCCCCTTTCTTTTCTTTGATGGTTTAGAGGGGAGGTCCCATTTTATCGCATCGTTAGTTGTTGTTGTTGTTGTTGTTGTTGTTTGCTTCTTTGGTTCATCGTGATTCTTGCTTTGCGCGGGTCTAGCGTGTGGATGGATGGATGGATGGGTGGGTGGGTGGATGGGGTAGATGTCGACTTTATTCCCAGGTGGTTCGGTTCGGTTGTTTGCTTGGGTGATTGATTGCTTTGTTTTGGTTCAGTTGTACATAGTCATTTCTACTATAGTCTATACTCAATAGATGCATCACACAGACATACTCATCTATATAATTGATAAATATAATAGTAGATAGTAGATAGTGTAAGGTACTCGCTGCACAGGGTATCTATACTATAACAACAACACAATAATCGCACTCCATCATAAACTGAGATCAACAAACATCAGAAATGACAAAATGTATAAGAGAAAACAGCAGGCCGAATTCAAAAACAGAAGCAGATAGGTCAATAGATCAATGAACACCTACTAGGTAAATCAACCCACCACCTCCAAAAGAAACATCAACCGCTCCCCACTCTCAATCAACCAAGACCACTCCACATCCTCCGCAACCCTCCCCTTCCCCCTCCCCCTCCCCCCACCACCACCACCACCAGTAGCAGCCTGCGCGCCCTCAGTCTGCACCTTCTCGGCCCTAGCCTCGATGCCACACTCGACCGCGCTCCGAAACCCATCCGTGACAGTCAACAGGTCACTCTGCGCGAGCAGCATAACGAGCGCCTCGAGCGCAATCGACATCTTGGCATTATCAGCCACGGCGGCTGTGCTCGCCGCAAACGGCAAGAAGCAAGACTCGAGTTTGGTCTGGTTGAGGTAGTCTTCGTTGGAGTCTGGGGCGGCGGACTCGCGGAGGCGGTAGAGGAGGAATTCGCAGAGGGTGGTGTGCGCTGCGGGGGAGAGGTAGGAGAGGGTGGAGGGGCTGATGAGGGCTTGGTAGATGGGGAGGGGCTGGTGGCGGATGTTTTCGACGAAGAGGTGGTAGAGGTCTTCTAGGGGGAGGAATTCGCGGGGCAGTTTTTGGGAGACTTGCGAGAGGAGTTCGAGGAGGCGTTGGCGGAGGGAGAGGGATGTGAGCCCGCCGAGGAGGGAGGCGTCGTTTGTGAGGGGAGTGTTGGTTGTTGATGGGGGTGGTGGTGATTGTTGGGGGCGCGTTTCGATCGTCGTGTCGCCGGTGGTGGTGGTGGAGCGCGTGGCTCGGCGAGGGCGTTTGGTTTTGCGCGAGGGCGTGCCTTTTTCGGTGGTAGATAGGTCGTCATCGTCGTCGTCTTTTTCGGTGAGGTAGTCGCCGTAGACGCCTTGGTCGACGTTCACCTCCACCTCGCGCTTCTTGATATTGCCAGGCGGGTCGCCGCCTGTGTTGCGCAACGGCCGCAGCTCGTTGTGGAAGACCTGGCGGAACTCGCTGACGGCGCTGGAGCTGCCGTCTGCGAAGACAGCGCGCAGAATGCGTCTGTTGCGGCCGAAGCCGGCGGACGGGTCGGTGATGTAGCGGCAGATGAGGCTGTCTCTGAGGACAGCGGTGTGCTGATCCTGGTTATCCGTTCTATTCCGGAGACGTCTCTTTGCCGTTCCATTCGGTGCATCGTTGTTGTTCTGCAATGCAGCAACCTCAGCCAGCCTCATCCGCTCGCGCCAGTCGTCCTCCAGCACCTCGCACATGAACTCCAGCCACACGCGCCAGCGATCCCATCGCTCGCGATGCAGCACCGAGCAATTGAACGCCCAGCCGACGGCGTGCCAGAAATCTTCGGCGCGCGACCACAATGCCGCTGACTGGGCGAGTTCCAGGTTCAGCTGCTTTGCGTCCTCGGGGTCCGCGAAGGTGTCGTCCTCTGCGGCGCCGCGACGGCGGCGGCCTTGTCGGGAGGACTGGAAGTGGGTGAACGAGAATGCGACGCCTAGGCGGGAATTGAGAGGTCCGACGAGGTTGTTGGCTAGACGAAGGAGCCGCAGTGCTGCGGCGGGAGCTTCCTCCTCGGCGGGCGACTTGGCGCGCGTGGTGGTTGCGGGGTGTACTAGGAGGGTGGCGGAGAGGGCGAGGTGCTGCGGGGGAGGGACGAATACGGGGGTTGGTGGACCGGTAGTTGTTGTTACGATGTCGAAGAGAAGAGCGAGAGCTTGGGCGTCTGTGTTGCTTGTTAGCATGGTTGAATGGGTCGATAGGTAGGTGATACCAACAGAGCTTCTCTTCGAAGAAGATTCCAATGTGTTGGACCAGCTCATATGGGAGAGGTTTATGGCAGCGGTAGGCGTCCTCGTCTATATCCATGATAGAGGGAATATATTGACAAATTTGAAGAGAGTAAATCAGAGCGTACAGAAGAAGATGAAGATGAGATGAGATGAAGACAAAGATCGCGAGAGTTGAAAGACGCGCTTATCGATAAGGCGTGCAGTGGAGTACTGGTGGATCAAGAGACCAAAGAAAGCAGCCTCTTTCACCGATCAAGGTGCTGTAGTGTAGTGGTCATCATGAATCGTTGTGGTTTCAAACAACAATTCCGATTCGACCTGGGTTCGATTCCCAGCAGCGCCATTGGCGTTGACTTGATCATCTTTTTTTTCTTTCTTTCTAACTTCCTTTGTTTTCTTCTTTGTTTCTTTTTTTACGCTTATATGTATTTAATTTTCTGTCATATTTTATATTTCATCTTTCTTTGTCCATGATTTATATGAGTTCGGTTGGCTCTATATTAATAGTAACCGGAATCTGCTTTACGAATATATATCCCGCCCTGGCGGATAACTTAAACCACCACTACACTTCATCAAACATCTACCACAACGACTAATTATAGATTGATATCTCTATTTACAATAATCGTACCATTAGCCGCAACGAATATCCCAAACTATAGTCTAATACTCGTACCGAGGTAGCACGGGTGACCCATTACATAGCGCTCTCACGGGCCTCGAAATCCACAACGGAGCCACGAAGACCCCCGACATCCGACCATGAAACCATCGTGAACATGGCCAGTCAGAGTGGCACCCCTCGTCCGCGTCGGCCCGACGTAGTACAATTGATACGAAAAGGCCGTGTCCACCGCTTAAACCATCCCCTGGACGATCGCGGTTCTAAGAAATCCGGGAAGCGAAATACGATCGGAAGCCGATGCCACGAGAACGGTGCAAGCAAGCATTGATAATAATGATATCGAGATACCGGGATTCTTTCTCCCGCCCAACCCTTCGCATCCACACCGCACCGCTCTCTCCTTTGTAGATTTCTGGTGGATTTCCTCACCCCTTTCTGGGACCCATGGCCCCTGCCGTTCCCCATTCGAGAGTCGTCGGCAGTCGACAAATTGAGTACTGATCCGTGGAGTCACTGAGAAACAGCACCGTCGCGAGCAAAGACAAGAAGAAAAATGTAAGGGAAAAAGGATATTGAATCGCCAAGCGGAGAATATGATCAAGAAGAAAAGCCAAGAGACCGAACAGATATGAGGAAAAGAATAACAAAAGCAACGTCAACGAGGAAAGAACTATTCCTCAGGCTCCGAAAAGAGACCTATCCGCAACCGGTGGGACTGTAGGTGGTCAGTACGAGGGGCAAGCAAGGCACACCGGGGTTAGAAGCACGTACGAAAGGAAGTTTCGGAATCACCACCGCCAAGGTGGCGAGAAAGTTGATGGTAAAATAGGTCAGATCGTAGTGGGTATAATGGGTGCTGAGGAGGAAGAGGCAGATGGGGACGCAGAGCAGGAATTTCTTGGCGGGGGTATATTGGTCGCCGTTGTCGATCTGCTCCCACATGTTGAGGTTGTCGTAGGCACCAGCGTTGAACTCGAAGGGGATGCCCCGCACCCAGTGGAACATGAGGAAGGAACCGAACATGTAGCTGATGTTGGTCAGGGTCCAGGAGGTTTCCTGGGAGACGCCGGGAATGATGTCGTAGAAAATCTTCAGGGCAAGGATGAGGACGAAGTGGATGGTCCAGGCACCTAGATATCGCGTTAGACCCCTATCTCCTACTTCAGTGACACCCATCCTTCACTCTTCCTCTCGGAAATACTGTAGTCCAGATTGCAGTGCCACGTCTGACGCCGGGAATTTCGGCACAAGATAGACTCACCCTTGGCATTGACCCAGTTCGCATTCAGATTGGGCAGGGCTGCCTGATCGCTGGTATGCTCGATGGATTCCGGAGGTTCCTGATAGATGAGACTGCTGGAGCGTCTCCGTCGGCCTGCTTTATTCTGCGACATGTCCTTGGTGGGAGCCAACCGTCGGTGGCCTGTATCGACCTCCGGAGGGAAGGAGATGGTACGAGGGGCGACGATGGAAGACACTTTGGCGGTATTGATCGAGAACCGGTGGGAAAAATGGATAAGACCGACGAGTATCGAGATCTTGAGAAGGCGGAGAAGGCAAGGGGATTGGACGGAGGAGAATAGGAGCGAGGAGATATCACGGGCGAAATTAGAGAGGAGGAGGGGGGGTGGGTGGAAGAGGCGGAGGGGATACCAGCCGATGATCCCGGAGAGAGAGGAGGTGGGGAGGTTTAAAGAGATGTAGAGGAAGACGGGATAGGAAGGTCGAAAGGAAAAGGGAAAAAAAGAGTATGTAGCGATTGATGGAGGATGAGGTGATCGAACAGGAGGGAGAGGAAGACGGGGAGAGAGAGAGGAAGAGGGAGAGGAAAGACGAGCGAGGGAGATCGCAGGATCGGCAGAAAGTCACGGGAGCCCGACAGCCATCCAGCACCACCAATTTCTAGCTCTATTAATCATTTATATCTTTTATTTGATTTAAAAAGAGGAAGAGTTTAATAATAAGAAAAGAAGTGAAAAGAAAATAAAGGAAAATTAGAATAAAAGAGTTGTCAATCCCCAGAGAATACAGGAAGAAATATATTGAGATACTACTATTCGAGCAACGACTATCTATCTAACTATCAAGTACCTCGCCATCTTTCAACTACAGATGCTCCCAATCTCACTACCAAGAGGGACCAGAAGACATGACGCTACTGCGGCTGCTAAGCAGAACCAATCATGCCTGGTCTAGAAGGGATCGGATCGATGCAGCGGAGGTTCTAGAATCCTGTTAGTCTCAGACATGATTTCTATTTAGGTCCCTGGTTGGTATTTATAGCGTTTGATAAACGGCAGAGATAGGGATATCAATATGATATCCCATCCATATCTGATTTAACATGGGCAATTACAGGCGAATAATAGACCTCCAGAATATTTATAGATCGAGAGATACACGTGTTAAGGATTCTCTCTGGCCCTGCGTCACATGACATAGTCACATGAGAATCACGGGGAGGCATCCGGACTAATGTTCCTCCGCTGCGGCTCTGGCTTCTGTCGTTCCCCGTAAATTTTCCTTGAGGAATCAGTCTGGGAACCGCAGACCAGTGACAAACCCGCACGACACGACACATTCCACTTCTTCGACACCATGTCGGACTCCCCTGATGATCATGATTCTCGGACCGCCTCCGTAGGGATCTCCCGAACCCGTGCAGCGTCTTCGAATCACTCCTCCCGACAGAGCTCCACCGATCCCGCCAACGCCAACAAGAGACAACGGAGGAAGAGAAAGGCAGACGACCGGGTGGCGCAGGATTTCGTTCCTCGCGGGGGGAGTTTCAGCAACGCTCCCTTGGATGTGGATTCTGATGAAACGTCCAGCTCCGGCTCCAGCTCCAACTCCAGCTCCGGCTCTAGCTCGAGCGCGGACTCCGACTCGTCCGACAGCGCATCCGACGAGTCGGACGGACAGTCCAAGCCGGCATCGACCGATGTTCAGATGAAAAGCGCGTCGGCGCTCAACTGGAACAAAGGGAGCAGAGGTGAGATTCGGACCACACTCGGCGCGCGGGGGAACAAGCGCGACGAGGGCCGACCCCGCTCGCAGTTCGATGCGGTCAACAACAAATTCTGGCGGAGTGCCTCCGATGATGGCGAGGCTGAGGACGGCGAGATAGAGGAGGGCGAGACGGATACGAGTGACTCGGGGATGCAGCTGTCGGGGGACTCGGACGCGGATTCCGAGGCGGATCGGTCGATCATGTTGAATATTGGCCAGGATCTTACGGCCACGGGCGATTCGAATGGAGCGGGGCCTACCCAGGCTTCAAACACGATATCGCTGATGGGAGCTCCGGCCAACGGGTCTGCGAAAAGCTCCTCGTCCAAGGAAGAGACCCTACGGCTGTATTCGCAGAAGTACCCCACGGCGCCTGCCATCCTCTCAGATCTCACCCGGGAAGACCTGGAGAGTCAGGCGAGGTTTCTGCACTACGGCCAGGACATCAATGACGTTGACCTCCAACTCCCCATTGCCTGCGTAGAGTGCATGCGGGAGGGCCATTTGGCGGAGGTCTGTCCATACAAAGAGGTTAGGGACATCAGGGATTTGACAAAATGATCAACGCTAACAATTCACAGTGCGTGCACTGCGGAGATTGGAATCAGCACCAGAGCAGCCTCTGTCCTACCTGGAGGCGATGTTCACGGTGTCGGGAGCGCGGCCACGACGAGTCCCAGTGCGGTGCGGCACTGAAAAGTTCGGCGTCGGAGATCCCCTGCGATCTATGCGGATCGTCCGCGCATATCGAGCTACAGTGCGACTTCATGTGGAAGCTGCCCCGGGTGGATCCGCCTACGGGGCCTGTGCTCGTCTCGCTCTCGTGCGCCCACTGCACCAGCAACCGCCATCTCCTGGGAGATTGCCCGTCGCTGTCCTACCCGTTGAAGTCGTCATCCTGGACCCTGCGGGGGATCGACCCCAACATGGTCACCAACATCAATTCAGTCGTGAGTGGCCAGAGGGGTCTACAGATTCGGGGCCGGGCCGACCGCCGGTCACCGTCCCCAGACAGCGACGACATGCTCTCGCGACCCGGACGACGACCACCCCTGGGACGCAACGCCGGTGGACGGCCCAACATCCGCTTCGGCAGCGGCATCGGACGGGGCAAGAGCTTTGGTTCTTCCGGGGGCCGCGGAGATTCCCAGGGTTACCGGGACCGGCGCGATTACAATGGCGATGGAGGCCGACAACGCTCGCTCTCCCCACGGGGCAGTCGCGGCAGAGGCCGGGACAGCTGGCAACCGACATCTCGCTTTCCTCCCCGGGGCCGGGGAGCCCCCCGAGGAGGCCGTGGCGGCGGGAAGCGGGGCGGGGGCGGCGGCGATGCCTATCGACCCATGCCGAGTGCGGGCAAGAAAGCATGGGATCGCTACCGGATGTGATGCCAGCAGACCGAAATGGGCGTTGACGAGGCGATGAATAGTTCTTTTGTTGGATATGTAACGCGTAGATACCCGGAACGAAACGATTTTCTCCCATCATGGGAGATCTGTAAATAAATGGCTGAGTGTACAGAAAATAGAGCCGGATTGGGTCGCGCCCGGGATTCTCCGCACCGGATGACAATCTTATCAACCACCAACTTCTCCACATCTCCCTCTTCAATCTCTGTACCCCTCTTAGACAGATATATATATATATATATAGATATCCATGTGGACGCGCCCCTCGCGTCTACTCACTCGCCAAATGTCTTCCCTCCAGAGCGTTCCCCTCCGTCAACGACGGTTCGCGCCCCTCGGTTCCACCGACGCGACAGCGCCTGCTTTAAAGGGAATCGTATTCGACGTGGATGGTACATTATGGTGAGTATTGGATCTAATCCACAGAATCTAATCAACTGTATGAAACTCACGAACCAAACAGCCTCCCCCAAAACTACATGTTCTCTCAGATGCGGTACGCCAATCCCAGCATCCATGACCCCACGTGGCTTCATGAATGAATACTCACAATCAACAGAAACGCCCTCGGCATCGAGAAGAAAATAGACATTCTCCACCACATTCGGAGCCTCCCCAGCGAGGAGCGCCTCGAGGCAGCCGACAAGATCAAGGCTATCGAGCGCGAAGCCATGACGCACCAGCAGCCACAGCCAGGGCTGGTTGATTTGATGGACTATCTGCATGATGCGGGGGTGCGCAGAGCGCTGTGTACGCGGAATTTCGAGTGTGTCCATCTTTCCCCCCCACCCCCGGAATCGTTGCAGAAGCGACGGCATGAATCAGAAAGAATTAATTGAAGTAGAGCCCCTGTCATGCACCTCTTGTCGAACCACCTGCCCGCGCACGTCTTCGTGCCCATCATCACCCGCGAGACGCCTGGGTTGCTGCCTAAGCCGGATCCTGATGGGATTTTGCATATTGCGAGGGAATGGGGGTTGGAGAATGCGGGGGAGAATCTGATTATGGTATGCCTCTTTCTTTTTCGTTTTCTTTGGTTTATCTTCTGGGTGGCAGCTGATGTTTCCAGGTCGGGGATAGTCTTGATGATATGACGGCGGGACATACGGCTGGTGCGGCGACGGTGCTGCTCTTGAATGATCATAATGGACATTTGAAGGAGCACGAGCATACGGATCTGTGTATTCAGAGACTGGATGAGCTTATTGGGATCCTGCAGGCAGGGTTTGTTGGGCGGTAGGATGTGGAGTACCTGTGTTTACATATATCTTGGATACTTTGACTGGAGATTACCTGGATAGCGGTATGAAGACCGTGGATGACGGTCATTCTTTCCTCAACAACTAAAGTTCCTTCCACTGCAGAACAGACGCAAAACAGACTATCATCCATACATCCACACCGTTCCCTCTCAAGACAAGACACAGCATCGAGTATCTACCACATGATTATCTCCCACGCTCACTGACCCACTCAGTATCCATCAAAATGGCCACCAAGTTCCAACCAGAGCAACAGGAGTGCCCAAACGGACCGCACCACGGCAGACTCACCATCACGCTGCGCCAGACACTCTCCCTAACCGGCAACCTCCTCACCCTGAAACTGCTCCACTACCTTGCCGTTCTCCTCGACCTGGTCCCAAAGCCCTCACAGACCAACCCATATCAGCCCACTCCCCTCAGAAGACACACCATCATCAACGGTGCCATCGAACGCCGCGAGCGCCGCATCGTCGAACTCTTCATGGCAATCATCCAGATGAGCCTCTTCGAGACGATCTTCCTCCACGCCGAAGACGGCATCTCGCCAGAGCGCATCTCCGCCGCCGTCGCTGCCTTCTTCAGCCGCACTCCTCCGTCCGCGAGCGATATCGGCTCGGCGATGCTGCGTCCCGGCGCGACGGCCACGCCGGCTTACGCGCGCGCGCCGAGCCCGCTCCGTGCGTCTGTCGGGCAGATCTCTAGCGTCGCTTCGGAGAATCGAGCTGGCGGTAGCGGTAGCAGTGGGGCCCCGGTGCCGAACTTTTTGAACACGCGGTACTCGGTGCAGAAGCCGCTGATTAGCGACTCGGTGTACTCGTCGCTGTTCCATAGTGTCTCGGATACGGCGTGTGTGCCTGGCTCGTCTACCCTGGGTGTTCCTATGAGGAAGACACCGTCGGGCCCCTCCCTTGACAACAACAATATCAACGACAACAGCGGCGGTGGGACTGGGACTGGGAAAGAAGAGGCTATAGTCGACAGTCCAGCTGCGTCGCTCCGTCCGATCTACAGCATCGTCTGTCCGGTATGGTCGAGCGACTCGGCGCAGTCGCAGTCGCAGTCACAGTCCCAGGGGCTGGAGATGACGGAGTCGGGGCGGACGTTGTCTGCAGGGAGCTATCCGGGACGGTTTCCTGTTAGTGACGGGGTGGAGTTTAGCAGTCTGGCGACGGCGGATGGGGCGGTCAAAGGACGGGCTGCGACGTCTGTGAGGCCGTTGTCTGATTTTGGGGCTGTCTGATCCTTTTCTTTGTTTTGCTTGGTTTGTTTTGAATATGGAGTTTGTATACTTAGTGTGGAGTAGACGGTGTATGCTTCTAGACGGTCGTTACAAGTATATATTTGTTTTATACAGCCGAGAATTCCTCTCTGTATTTACTCACTGAGTGCCTCCACTGAGTAGAGCCGAGGACGCCCCGAGTGCTCACAATGCATATTAGGCAGATCACCGAGTAGGGACCAAGCCGAGAGGTGAGTAGTCTGTACTGAGTATAGGAGGCCTCAATGGAACACAACATGACAGAGCAAGCTAAACTGAAATCTCTTCTTCTTCTAGCACTTTTAACCATCATCTTTAAATATTTACTCACCCAACAAATATTTCACACACAGTAAGGGCTAGTGTTGAAGATCGACAGAGTAAAACTATAAATCCCCAATCTAGTAAGGGAACACCCGGACTCGCACCGCCTGATAGATGAGCCTATAGTTTACTCCGTAATACTGTAGTAGTCTTGTGCCAAGATGAGTATGCTATCATAGGATTGAGATACTGTAAGCTGTGCTGGTCTGCTTTACTGTATACAGGCTTGGATCTCGCAGTTCGTAACTTTGAAAGAGTCTTACATTCATTCGGATATGGAAGATATATAATACTTTGTCTTATCTGGAATATATAGCATGTTGCTTTCTATTATTGTGGACGCCGTCGGGGTCTTCATCATCTATATATAGGTTAAGGATTCGTGATGTAGATCTTTCCTGATATTATCAATAGTTGATGATCAGACGGGATATTGGATCAGATTCTCATGCATATACAGGTATCCATTTAGCTGAGTATTTACTTAGATATATTGAGAGCCAATAGCTCTCTCATGTAGAGACGCACAGCGTACCCACACGTGGAGTAGGCTGAATACTAGTACTTAGTCCACTGAAGAGATCCAACAGAAATGGCACTGTACTCTACATGAGTATACCACTCGAACGGATCAGAGAAGAATAAGCTCTATTTTCTCTTAACCTTCCAATGTATATAAACATGAATCGTTGCCGAGTGGAAAGATATTTGAGCAAAGTACCCGAAGAAAGGCTGGGTCTGGTCTTGTTGATGGAATCGACCACCATGCATTTACATTTACATAACATGGTGTAGTAGAATGGAATGAGGTAAATGGGATTGATATTGATGACCTGTGGTGACACTCTTTTCTTTGCCCTTAATATTGAGGTAGTAGTATGTCTCCCGCGAAGATCATTCACTGGTACAGTATAATCGCTGCCAAATCATGGACCATTATCAATGATACAACTCTTCTCTACCAACATGGAATCCCACTCTTCTTCACCATATCTTCCAGGCTGGCATGATCTTCGTAACGGCAATTACTAACAATGATGCACTGTAGAGAGTAGGTTATGCATTCTAGTTGCCTGAGTCGTAATTGGTGCACCACGTTTCCGTTTCAATGAGCTGATCCGTATCTCTTCAGCCTTGAGGTCTGCGACTCACTCGGACTCTAGACGTCTGAGATGTTAGTCAATGAAGAAGAGAAAGATATGTAAACCTCCTCTCTCTCTCTCTCTCTCTCTCTCTCTCTCTCTCTCTCATCGTCATTTCCGACCAAACTTCGCATCCATCCAGATTCCAACAGTAGTTTCTCCTTACAATTGAACGATCCATAACCCGACCCGACAACATCACAATGGTCAGCATTAGAAGCATTACTCTCGCCGCCCTAGCTACCTCCACCCCCCTGGTGGCAGCTGACTCCTGCAGACCCGACTTTCCGAACTGCGGTGACAACTTGCTGGGTAATGGTATGTTTTGCCACCTCTCCTTTCCCGTCGCATCCCCTATCGTAGATTTTATTCGGCATTACACCATGGAGTACCCTTTGTCGAGGAGATGATCTGCAGCGATGCTGAGACTATAATCGACAAATAATCCAGAGGTGGGGGCGTATCTGAAAAAACCGACGACCTTGTGGTTACGGTCCCATATCGCCGAACCGCATACGCCGTCGACGATCGCCTCGTGCGAGCCTTGTCCCATATAGTGCCATTGACAACGAATCCACAATTGCTCTGGCTCCAGAGGGTCATCGCTTGGCACACAGAGAAGTGAGTGTGATGATCTGGTGCCTTCAAGAAAGCCCGAGAAGGGGCTGTCAAGGAAGATGTTGTCCCCGACTCTGGTTTCGGCCGCCCGAGAAAAACCGGCAAACTTGAAAGGAGGGGTTGGTATGATGGTATTTTCGAATGGCTCATTGATAAACTCTACGCCTGGATCGAGCCTGACCAAGCCAACGTCGGTGTGCGTGAGCCCCATGATAACTTCGCCGATCTTGTTGCCGGCGTGGTTCGGATGATAGACTTTGGCGCCAAGGGGAGACCCAGGGAACCCATGGGCGGCAACTGTCATGAACTGGACCCCAAGATTGTCCTTGATGAGGACGCCGGAAGAACTCAAACGCTCGAAGTCTTTGTCTAGATCTTTCCCTGAGCTCAGGCTGACCCCGGGCCTCAGAATTTGATACTGCGAGTTGTCGACTTGGTCGGCCCTGGGTGAGGCGGCTTTCATTCGGAGCGCGGAGAGCGACCTCGGTCGGCACATTTCTTCTTCATAGAGATAGAAGCAGTTGCATTGAGCAACGGACCGAGGGACCCTAGAAAGAAGGTCATCAACACCGCCTGCCGCTTCCAGAACGATGATAACGACATATCCCCAGTATTGGATTTCGGTGATTTGGATTGAAATATGCGCAAAAAAGTCTTTCACAAGATTGAACACAAGATCGACAGCTGGTTCATTATCCCGTAGATCGAGGTGTTCGGAGAGCGCAATTCTGGAGCGACCCGGCCGGCGGATGGGAATGCTTGGGCCGAAGTCACTTTCGTTGTCGGTGAGGTAACATGGCACGCCGGCGACTTGTTTGGGCCAGGGTTTGGGCGGCAGAGTTTTGAAGTGATAGACGAGAAATCTCTCGTCAAAGTCGACTCGATGCGCACCAGGGAAGACCGAGAGAAGGTATCTGTTACTGCTGTGCTCGAAAAATTTCGAAGGAGATTTTCTCAAATCAAATTCGAAGATGATCTGGCGAGAGGCTGGCAAATTTGGGGTTGTTTCTGTGGGTTCGCCAACTGGTTCCGGATGTGAGTGGTGAGAATGATAGAGAGGACGCTGTAGCTCTAAAATTTCATTAGCATCAATATGGTCGAAATCTCTCACCCACAGAGTTCCACTCACCGATAATTGCCCCATCTTTGGGGAAGAGATCCGATGCCAGGCTACGAGAGAAACTCGAGGGGGCGGTCAGGGGCTGCGGCTGCACTTGGTGTACAGGAGATATGATGAGGAATTTCTTGGAGGCGGATGATTCGGGGGATGGTGTGATTTTGCGCTTTTTGGGCGAGGAACTCTGCTGGGGGGAGACCAGGAGGATTTCCCCCGAGGAGGGGGAGGAGCTCATACTGAGTAAAGATTGAGGTATGAATATGAATACTAGATGAGGATTTAGACCGTGGACGGTTGAGGTGAGAGATGAATGAGGGAGAAATGAATAGAAGGAAGATGGACGATAGAGCTAGACAAGAGAGAGAGAGAGAGAGTTGGAAGGAAAAGAGGAGAAAAAGAGGGCTGAGAATGGAGGAGGGAGATGAGTTCGTAATGTGAGGTCAGAGTGACTCAAAAGTCATTTGGTGATATGTATCATGGTCTCGTGACAACGTTGCGTAAAAACTATAAACACCGAGTAGGTTTAGGTTTATCCATATTAAGCACAAGTAGGTGACTTGAAGTATATGCACATCGGGAATCACTCTCATACAAAAACAAAATCAAAATCAAAAGGAATACATCCAATCCAGCGCTGCCATTATCTCATAATTCATGTTCATATCTCCTCCAGTCCATAATTCAAGTGCGACTAATAGCCATACTCGTCATCAATCTGGTCCGGACTCCCCCTGTATTGACTCCTCTTCCGCGGACTCGACTGACTCCCCGTCAACGGCCGCGGTCCCGTCGGCTTACGATTAGGCGTGCTGCGTGGCGACGACCGTGAACTCTGCTCCCCGTTAGCCCCTCTTCTTCCGCCACCCGTGTAGAAAAAGAAATACCTGCACCCGTTCCACATACGACCGCTCGTCGCTCCCCTCTGACACCTTGGGTGGCCGCTCTGGGATCAAGGGACCCTCGTCTTTGACCTTGGGTGGACGCGGCGGCCCTGCCCGCGAGCTCGCCCCCTCTGAGTACACGTCTGAGATGGGCGATAGTCGGCTACCGCCGCTGTAGCGCTGGTTCGCGCTGCCTATTGAGCCCCATTGCTCGGCTGGCGCATCGTATACCTGTGCTTGCGTCTCCAGCTGTGTCTGATATCGCCCTGTGGGCCCCTGCCGCGGCTGCGGGTGCTGCATGTCTAGGCTGTCGCGGTGAGCCCGGTACTTCGGTGCCTCTGATATCTGCGACGGGACAAGCGGCGAGGGTGGTCGGTTCTCGTCTAGGCTGTAGCTCGTCCGCATTCGGTCATCCCCCGCGGCGTCGTACGACCCCCGTCCCAGGTCTGACCCTGACGGCGACGCCTCGAACGAGCCGCCCCGCTCCTTCCGCGCCGGTTGGATGCTATTGCGGATGTTGTCGCCCATGGACGACGCCGTCGTCTTGGACCATCGCGAGATCTTGGGGAAGAACGACGAGCTGCTGGACTTGTGCTTGCGCGCCTTCTCTGTCGACTTGGGGGTGTGCTCCGTGCTCAGCGCCCCCGAGGCCACCGGCCCCCGCGGCGGGGTCGTCGCCGCTGTGGGCTCCGACCCGGGCCGCTCCGGCTGCGTGCCGGTCCCGCCGCCCGGTAGGTTGGGGCTCAGGAACTCACCCCGCGCATCGCCGTCCACCGGCTCGTCCGCCTCTGGCACTGTGCTGACGCGCTGGTCGGCCGGGCCGGGGCCCCGACCATCCGCCGGCCGCGAGAACATGGAGAGGTAGCCGGAGTGATTCTCTGACGAGGTCGTCCCCGCGTGCCCTTCCGGCTCGTAGCCCTCCGGGTCTACGCTGCCTGTCCGCTGGCTCCGCGCCATGTGGTCGTCTCCATACCGCAGGGCCTCCACCTCGTCGAGAAGATGCTCCAGCATCTCTTCGATCTTGCCCAGGTCGTTGCCGGATTTGAGATGCAGCCCCTTCATGGCGCGCTTGAAGACGTTCATGCGCTTCGAACGCAGGTCCTCCGGCTCCGTGGCGGTCCGTGGCCGGGTGCTGACCGGCAATGGGCGCGGCCCACCGACCGCCCGATACGTGCGCTCATGCTGCTTTTCATTCGCCTCCATAACTAGTCCATCTTGTTGCGCAATGAACTTCTTCATGCCCTCGAACGAATTTCGCATCTCGGTGGCGCTCTGGACCAGGGTCATGAGAATCTCCGTGTCGCGAGCGTTCCGCTGCGCATCGCGGACGGTGAGCTGCCTCGAGTTAGCCACGGGGATTCAATACTGCATAGATGGAGGGACTTACATGATCCATGAGCGCTACGATATCCTTCGACTGGATTCGCTCGATCCCCCGGCCGGTCGCGCTGTCATACAGAGGCGACCCGGCACCGTGGGAGTAGCCGCTCAGCTGTCGGTGGTGACCAGGTGCGAACGAGTCAGGTCCCGCGTCGAAGAGACCCATGGCGCCGCTGTCCATGTCGAACCCTTTGTTGAGGGGCTCCGGGCTATCGGCTCCCGGGGACCGCGGGTTGGCGGCCGATACGTATCCCTCATCCTTCGCCCCCAGGGGGGTGCCAAACAGCTGGTCCCGGGGGTAATGGTCATAGAACCCGTTCGGACTGTAGCCGGTCGGAGAATAATTGTCCTGGTTGTAGTCGAGGCCGGCGGCTCTCGTCTGGTCGAGGGGCGACTGATGGCCCGTAGGGTCCGTTGGGCCGTACCAATGATTCTCATGGGGAGCCGCGGGGCCCTGGATGATGGACGGGTTGGTGTTGATCTCCGACTCCAGGTCCGGGCTCCGCGTATCTTCTTCGGGGCTGGGGCTGCGGGTGTGGAGGTCATCGGCGTAGCCGTGGGGGTCTTCGAGGGACTGCGTGACACTCTGCGGCGGGGAGCTGGCGCCCATGCGCCTGGGGAACGAGGTGGCGTCCGGACTTGCCGCGTCCTGCTGCTGCTTCAGGGGACTCCCCTGACGGGACCCCGCGGCCGGATCGACCCGCTCTGGGGACGGGGGTGGGTGTCCCTGGGAGCGGCTGACGCCCGACGGGTTCGATTTGGTATCCACGAGCGAGGGGTCGAGGATCGAGGGGTCAAGGAGCGACGCCACCGCAGACTCGACCGCAATAGGCTGGACAAACTGTGGGCTTGTGCCGGACCCCGGCGCCACCGGGCGCGCCTGGTGGGCCTTCTCTAGGTAGTTAACCTCACTGTCGTCGGTGTAGTCGGCGGTCCACCGCTTCCCATCGGTGCTCACGGTCTCCGCCTGGGAGTACCGAGGATCGACGTCGTCCCCGCCTGCAAACGTCGGCCACGGGTGCTCACGCGGCGAGAGGCCCGAGGACTCCTCGTACCCCAGCTCCGGGCCGCGGTCCGTGTAGTTTTTCCGCAGCTCGGCCTGGCTGGCGACGCTGGAGTTGGCCTGGCGCGTGGACCGGGCGAGGTTGGTGCTTGGGGCCGAGGAGAGCGAGTCAATGGAGAGACGCGGCTCGACGGCCTGGCCGATCGGACCCCGTCGGAGGGAGGCGCTGCGGTCACTGGCCACGCTCTGGATGGGGCTGAGGGTGCGGCGGCGGGCGTCGCGGTCGGCGTCGCCCCCCTCGAGTAGGTTGGCAGCGGCGGCGGCAGCGATGGCCCCTGCCGCCGCCTCGCCCACGGGGGAAGGGGCGCCGTGGTGGTCGTGCAGGTCTTGGTCCGAAACGCTGTGGATCGACAGATTGTGGCTGGATAGGTTGCTGTGGTGAAGCCCTAGTTCGTGCCGTCCCGCGGGCTCGGCCGTCCGCTCTGAGAGGAGGGAGTCGCGCGTCAGGTCAGACTCGATGGCGCTGCGCAGCGGCATGGGGGCGACATTGTGCTTTCGGAAAAGCAGCTCGGTCTCGTTGCCGCTGCCGGTCCGATTGCGCGAGCCGCTCATTCGTGAGCCGCTCATGCGTCGGGTGCCCCCCCCTTCTTCTTCCTCCTCCTCCTCCCGGTCGAGGCTGGAGCGCGAGTCGTGGTGGCGGAGGGCGGCGGCGGTCAGAGCACTGCCCACGCGGCCGGCTTTTTCGGCGTCTCGTAGGCCCTTGCTCCGCTGGCGCCGCAGCTTGTCCTGCTCCGTTAGATCCGGGCGCAGGCCCCACTTGACGGGGTTCCCGTCCACCGTCGTGTCGCTGTCCCGACTGGCCCGGCGATCCCGCTGGGACGAGGAGCCAGAATCCCCGGCGAGGACGATACCTTCCTCCGGGCCGTCGTCGCCATGGAGGACGACGGTGGGCTTCCGGACGTCCGGGGCACTGGCGTGCTTGGAGAGGCGGCGACCGAGCTCCGTACCGCCCCCTGTGGACGAATAAGAGGCGCTCATGTCGCGGTCAAACTTGGAGGAGTTGGAGGCGACGCGCTGGTCCTTCTTGAGCTCCTTGAGCTCGGGCAGGATCAGGCGGCGGATGGCGTCCTCGACGGTTTCGAGGAGCTTGGGGTTGTTGATGGAGGATTTGGAGGTGCCCGACCGGAAGGAGTACTGGTCTCCGGATTTCCGGTGGGACGAGACGCCCGAGGTGCTGAGCAGACTGGACACGGGACTCATCTCGTCGTCGGCCGACTGGTGGTGGTGATGGTGGTGGTGGTGGGCCGTCCGATCGGAACCATGGCGATCGGCCGGGTCGCGCCGGGCGGTCCGGGTCCGGTGGTGGCGGTGGGTCTTGCCCCGGGGGGTGGCCTCGCGCGGCTCACTGCTGAGTTTCTCGGCCACGCGATGAGCGATGCGCTCGTGGCTCAGACTTCGGCTTCTCCGGCGAGAGGGGGTCTTGAGGTACTCGCCGGCGTCGGGCTCCTGGTCGCGGTCCATACTGGTGCTCCGTTTTCGCCGGACGGCGGAAGAGGAATCAATCATGCTGTCGGCGGGCATGGACGAGATGTCGGAGGGGAGGTGGACGTAGCGGGAGCGGGTGGAGAGCTCGCTGCCGGGGTCACGATCCATGAGCTCGATCTCGACGGGGGGGTTCGGATGGGCGCGAGACGAGGGGTCATCAGTTGCGGAGGCGGAAGAGGTGACACTCTGGTCATCGACGACGGCAGGGGGCGCCTTGTGCCGAGACGGGGAGGAGAAGGAGATGCGGCGAGTGTAGGTGGGCTGGCGGGTGCCGGAGCCGGCCTCGGAGATTTGGATGTTGTGCTCGTGGTGATCCTTGGCCTTGCGACCGGAGGAGGGGGTGACGCGGACGCGGACACTGGGACGGGAGACGAGCGAGCCCGAGCCCTTCCCGCCCTCGAAGTACTCGATGAGCAGGGAGGTCTGGGAGTGCTGCTGGGCGGCGGAGGACAGTTTGGCGTCGTGGTTCCCGCGGGAGGAACGGCGTCGGGCGGGGGTGGGGATGGTGACGGGACTACCGTCGTCTGGGATGGAGTAAGTGGTCTTGTCTGTGCGGCGAGAGAGGTCAGTGGCCAAGTCCGTGGCGGTGGTGCTGGCGACGATGGATTCAGTGGGGGCGGGTAAGATCGGTCGGCGGGAATCGACGCCCATGGTGAGGTTATTGGCAACGGATCATATTCTGGTGACTATATTTTTTGATTCCTTTTTCCTCTTTCTTTCTTGCTTTCTTTCTTTTTTTTTTTTTTTCGTTCTGTCTCCTTTTCCTCTCGTTCTTTCTTATTTTGTTTCTTCTTCAAGGGTGAGGTTAAGGAAGGATGGAGACGGTCGCTGGTAGGAACTCGAGTCACTACAAATGACCGACGAGCAGGAGGTTGAAGGGAAGGATGGAAGGGTCAAAGGAGAGGATTGTTCGATGAATGATCGAGGAATGATCGATGATAAGATTGATGGAATGATGGTGGTGAGATGAGGAATGTGGGTAGTGGGGAGTGGGGAGGAATGTGGCAGATCTGATATTTCGAGAGAAAGAGCGTACCGATGGATGAAGAGAGTCAAATTGGTCGAAACAGTCGAATCAGTCGAATAGGGAGAAGTCGAGGATTCGAATAAAAGAAGAAGAGAGAGAGAGAAGAAGGAGAGAACAGAGAACAGAGAGACGGAGAGAGAGAGAGAGAGTGTGTGTGTGTGAGGTGTGATGTGTGATGTGATTGTGTGAGATCCTCAGGGTGACCAGGATAGGTGAGGAGAGGTCAGGACAGGTCAAAACAGATAGGACCGGCCGTTAATTGAGACCGAGAGAGGAAGAATCAGGAGAGAAGAGGAGAAGAAAGATCCAAGCCAGAAGAAAAGTGAACCGATCGGGAACCGACCGTCGAGGTAGAAATAAGAAAAAGGGCGAGGCTGGTTGGGAATCAGAGTCACTAGTAGGAAGAGGGAAGAAGGAGGAGGGATTGAGGGATCTTCCTGGCAAATATTATATAAATAATTAAATAACCCTCTATAAATCTAGAATAATATAATCGTCTACAATGATCCAGTTTCATCTTTGATTCCTACCCAAACCATCATGTAAGGCACTATGAGGATCATTGGTATTGAAGGTTCCAACATGAGCACAGACAGATCGATCGATACTACTACCTTACTACCTAGATGGAGACTTCGATCTGTCTGATGTCTCCAGATCAACCAGTCTACCCAACTCGTGTCGGTGCGGCCCTATGCCACCGCACCGCGGTTGAAACAGGCGGATGCAGCGATTATATAGATCATGAAACCACCTCAGCACCATCAGGCCGGAGAAGAGAACCACGATGAGGAGATTTGGTCCACCGATGGATCCACCGACGTGGTCACCGTGCTCGATCGTCTTATTGGCGGTGATCTCTCTGCCAACTCATCATCCTCCTTCTTCTCTCCGACTGGCTGTCTGATTTTCTTCTATCCTTCTTCTTTCTTTTCCCTTGATTTAAGAAAAGAGAAAAAAAATAAAAGAAAAGAAGAGAAATTATTTTCAATTCTTCTTATAAGAAAAAGAAGGAAAAGAAGGGGAACACGAGGGAAAAATAAATACATAAATCAAACTGACCAGCCACCAACACCGGCTCCACTCCCTCCACCCCTCCACCCCAGCCACCCGAATAACAATCCAACACGACGAACTATCTGACTTCCGATCTCCACGTGAAGATTTTATACTCGGTCAATTTATACCTGAACTTATAAATACTAAAATCCCCTGAACGATCCAAGGTTATATTCCTCCCGTAACAAGAAGAGAATTCTGACTCCGCACAACTCCTGCAGCTGCCTCGTGCCACCACCCACAGCCAACTGGCGTCGCCGCTGACGCGACACACATCCCGCTCTGTCTGAGTTGGTATGACCGGACTATTGGGTCATCGTGGACTGTATCTTGTTCTAAATGGCGTATATATGATGGGTTGTACTCCGTACTGTCTTACTTTTTGAGGATTTTCCCAGAAATGGTCTGGATAAGAATCGCACCGACAGCCAATCTAGTCCAGGATTTGATATTTAGGTAGAAGATATATCCTGTTACTAAGCTCTTGTCACTCTACATAATCGCTATAGAGCTCTATGTAATTGCTCTACAGAACAATAGTATAATTCCTTGGTCAGACTCGTACGGCTACACAGTCAGGTACCAAACCTTTAGCCATCTCACCTCAGCTTCAAGACCAGAGCTTGGTTATTTACGTGATACTTGACCGAGGGGTCCGTGCAGGCATGCAGAGAGAATATATAGCCTTTGTATGGACACAATAAAGCCGAGCAGGTGAGCATCGTAAAAGCCCTAATCTATGCATGCAGACATTCCTGCAAATCACCCCACGTACAGGAACTTTACTTTCCTTCGTGAAACAAGATACCACTCGGCTACAAAAGATATTTAGACACTTCCGCGCTCTGTGGGTACTGGGTGGTCAATGTCTACCTGGGTAGACATTGACCACCTGTCTATATAACAACTTATACTGCGACATCCTCTTTACCACCTTTTATAGTGTACCTGTCAGAAGATAAGAACAGTATTAAACAAAGAGATTATACTTTTGACGCGGGATATTCTACTAATTCCTAAAAGCCCTAGAGCTGTGGGGTTACATTTATTAATCAGTGAATCCGTAGATAAGGACATGAAAGAAACTTCATTCTCAGATACAAACAATACGGGAAGCCGCTTGTGTGAAGATCCGGATGTTCTACCTCCATAGGACACCCGTTCTAGCGTGACCTCGGAATATTTATAGACTTGGACGGTGCTATGCGAACGTACGGGGCAATTGGAAATTATAATTACAAGGATGGATTGCTGTTAGACGCTACTTTTCTGTCAGGGATTGACCATGTTGGCTGCCACCTTTACTAAATTATGTTGCAATCTCCCGCGTCCTCTCCTCGATGAACTCAATATCTTGAAATAGCTAGAAAACAAATAATAAAACCGTGTCTATCATCTACAACACAGACACGGATATACGAATGTGGAGACAGATACCCGAGCAGCAGCAGACACACACACACACACACACACACACACACATAGACAGAGAGAAAGACAAACAACACCACTCAACGAAGATTATGGCGGGTACGCATATGCTGCAGAAGATTATCTTCCCGGTTACAGGTCTTGTCACAATCCGGCACAGGACAAGGATAAGCGAGCGGAGTGATGTGCAGGTTGCGAATATGGCGGATGAGCTCAGAGACGCGTTGGAACCTGCCGAGATAGTGACAGTCTTCCCACTTGCATTGCAGGGGAGTCGTTCTGCGGGGACTAGAAAAATATACATATGCTGGTCAGCTATTATCTTTGCTTCTTTCCAGAAAGAGAAAAGGAGGGGCGAGATAACCTGGAACATACTTGGCGGTGCGATTGTTTCTCTGAGACGGAGTCTGCGAGCTCCGTCTCTGGCGGCTAGTCTCGCCAACTGCGAGGCGTCGTCCGTTTGATGATGGTTGAGCCAATCCGCTGGCGGAAGAGCTGCGTGCGGACCGTGGATTGGAAATTGCGGCAGGTTGGTGGAGAAGGCGAAGAGACGTGGTCTGCCTCATCGCCCTGTCCCGGGGATATGGCTCATGGAAGGCTAAGCCACCGTCGCTTGGGATAGGTATGAGGTAGGTGGGGAAGGGTGTACCATAATCAGGAGATGGAATAGACGTTGGTTCATTGACTTCTGCGGTAGGGCGCCAATCCGCACCTGGAGTAGCCAAAGGGTGGTGCATGTTATCCATACCATGATACCCTTCCCAGATGGGCTGTTGACCAAATTGCCATGCCATCACGAGTTAATCGCGTGGATACGGTACAAACGAAGATCAGTTTGAGACGAGCTGAGAAGTGAAGCACGGCGGATGACTTGATATCAAAGAGTTCGAGGGGAAAAGAACAGGCAATTTCGTCGGGGCAGAGACAAGATTTATACTCTTATTCAAAGACAGGACAGTGAAACTCTTTTCCAATTACCTCTGAGAAAAAAAAAAAAAAAAAGAAGGAAAGAGCCCTGATGTACCTCGTGTAAACCGCACATCCGCCCGTGCCCTATCCACCGCTTGGATTTGGTGTCGGGATAGAGAAAAATCATGAAAGAGACCTCGAGGCAGTAGTGGGTTGTGGTTCCAACCGTCCATCCGTCTAATGCTTGTCCAATATCAAAGATTAGGCGACCAGTGTAAGTATTCGTAGCCATAGCATCAGGGATCAGATTCCAGTGACCCACTTTCCGTGGTTCCGGCCCAAAATACGTCGACATATCGCCAAAGTACGACATTTTCAACTGGTGTCCTAAATAACTTTGATCCTTTGGTCTCAGGTCGCCGGGATATCAGGGGCGTCCTGATTTATCTACCACCTTAAGGGAATAGCCCTAGACGTTCGTTCGAGATGACAGGTCCGCTGGCCTAGGTACGCCTTGAGCCCACGCAGCCACACAGCCTGACAGGCGGGAAATTAGGCAAAAGTACGGATGGACAGCCGGCCGTCTCGATAGTTCTCTGCATGGCATCATCGCTCAGATATTACAATTTACAGATAGGGGGTGACTGATTAGATGAGAGACCCCGGACCTGGAGCCCCCTGCTTTTCCTACTCGGTCAAATCCTTCTGTTGCAACAAAGAGAATCGACTAAATAGGACAATCATTTTGTAGCCAAAGAGATTTGCCTATTGAGGCATAGTCCAATCATTCTACCGTAGTTCAGCACACAAGGAGCTTAAAAAGATGATTGATTATGAAAGGGTTGGACGTGGTGTTATAATAACTTGTTGTCTCTCGAGAGATGGTGTCAATTGACAAGTGATAACGGGAGTAAGAGAGGAAAGTGACAAGATCACTCTCAGATGAAGCTGCTGGTTCTGTCTGTTATTATAAGAATACTGGGGTTTGCCCTGCTCATGGTGACTGTCTGCACGTGACCCATAGGCGTCTCTCTCCTGGGCATCTGACAGTTCCTGCTGAAACTCCTCATGAACTTCACCTATCTTCAACACATCACATCCCCTTGTGGAGTACACCACAGGTGATATCAGTATTATATCTTACCACGAAGATTTCAATTATCCTGGCAATCCAACCATATGAACCTCTCATCTTTATCACAGTCATGGAAGTCCGACGAGGAAGAGATGATCGGCCATCTGCACCGCCACAAGGCTGATCAAGGATCTACTCCGAATTGGATGCTCCTATTGGAGTGAATCCGTGATCCGGCTGTCTTGGTCTACCGCCGAGACCCCTCAACTAAAGACCTGCGTAGCCTCATTTACCTCAGCCTTTGCATTCTCTGCTAAATATTCCCTCAACAGATAGTTGATTCAAGATTTCAAGACCGGATCATATACGGAGTCCATCATGGCTCTTGTAGTCTCGTCTCCTCCAGATATACGGGCAGCAGATCCCACGATGTCTCTCAAGCAAGCGTTGACGGACTTTGGCGATATTCTGACCGGAGAGCAAAAACAACAGTTCCAGGCTGGCTCTACAAAACCAGACATCTCTAGTGTCATTGCATTCGTTGGAGAAATTGATGCCAACAATAGCAGCACGACAAGGAGGTGTGTCGCGCCACGGTTGTATACCTTTCTGGATGCGCTACAACAATTTAGTCGCGTCGTGGATACGTTTGTCAGCTCTAATCCTGCAATCGCCGCCCTGATCTGGGGAGGCGTGAAGACAACGATATTGATAGCGGGTAATATTGCGTCTTACTTTGACAAGATCACGAGCATGGTTATGGTGATTGGCAGGTCGTGTCCAACATATCAACAGTTTGGCCAACTCTATCCCGGCTGCGTCGCGCTCCAACGTGCGCTATGTGATTATTACGCAGTCATTATCCAGATGTGTATCAAGATCATCGATGTCTCACGGCGAAGTGCTATAACGCAAACGTTATCGTCCATCTTCCTTCCTTTTGACTCCGAGTTCAAATCTTTTCAAGATAATCTGGACCAAGCCACAAAGGAAATACAAGTGCAAATATCACTTGCCTCACAGCAGGCTGACAAAGAAGCAAGAAAGCTACTAGAGCACGAAAGCCATGTCAATGCAACGTTCCGACGGAAATGGCTTAAGAGATACGGAAAGGAGCATGCTGAGGCGCACCAGTGGAGAATTGACATGATGAAAAGGGAAGCAGCGAAGTTGAAATTGGACATTAAAACCAATCTTTCTACCATCGACTACGCCAAGCCTTGGAAGCAGGCTACCAAACAACGCGTTCCCTCCACAGCCGAGTGGCTGCTGCATGAACCACTCTTTCAACAGTGGAAAGATAACCCCGGGGCCGCAACCTTCTGGTGTTCAGGCACAATGGGTGTGGGTAAGACGGTGCTTATGTCTAATGTGGTTACCCAACTGAACGCCTCACGCAAGACTAATGACATTATAACTTATTACTTCTGTCGCGGGGATGATTCAGTATCTCTGTCATCGAGGAGTATTATTGGAAGTCTTGCCCGTCAACTATTGGAGCAGGAGATTAACCATGCTGAAGATAATAGCCTACTAGACCTACACAAAGATAGCCGTGGACTCAACACAGCTGAAATTGTTGATTTCACATTGGCTCATCTCAAAGTTGATTTGTGCTATTACATAGTTCTCGATGGACTCGATGAGTGTGATAATAGCCAGGTGAATGAGGTGGCGCGGAGCGTGACTCGACTTTGCAACAAGCGCTCTACGGACTTTAAAATCATCTGCGCTGGCCGTCCCGAGCTCGAAAAACAGTTGTTCAGAGTGGCAAAGCCCAGATATAAGTTGTCAGTGACTGAGAGAAAAATCAAGGTGGACATGGATCAATATATCGACACAATTCTTGGTCGCTGCCTGGAAGAAGGGCAGTTGAAACTGCAGGATCCGAAGCTCATCATAGAAATATCCAAAGCACTACGAGACGGATCCCATGGAATGTAAGCGTCATCAGTATTGTCCCTGGATATCATCTTTGTTTTTTATTAGCAGGCTGACTGACATAGGTTCCTCTGGACCCGTCTTTTTGTCGAAGAGCTCTGCGCACAGGGAAGCGACAGTGACATTTTAACCGCATTGGAGCATCTACCACGTGGTTTGTCTGAAATATTTGATCGAAAAATTCGTCGCCTCCGGGACATGCCGGCGGCAAAGGAAGCAATGAAAATACTCGAATTCTGCAATGTGGTGAAGCGGCCATTGTCAGTTATGGAATATCAAGAAGTCTTGAGCCTCTCCCCTGGGCAAAAGTCACTGGATCGCGGAAAGATGCCCAATGATATGACCAGAGTTGTCAGTGATTGCTGCGGGTTAGTTTTCATCGATGAAGAGGACAGCACGCTGCATTATGTCCATCATAGCGTGAAACAACACCTTTCTAGCATCAACAGTCTACAATCTGGGAAATCTGACCTAGCAAAGATTGATCAGCATTTTGGGTTTCTTTGCATGACCTACCTCGATTTCACTGACTTTAAGCGTCAGCTAGCGAAGACCAGGGAGGGCTCCAATATTCCGATTAACCCCCTTTATCTTGGTACCATCCCGATTTGTCATTCGAGCAGATCGGCCAGTTCAATTGCGCTGAAACTACTTCCTCATAGTCGCCAGCTGCAGCATCTCAACGCACAAGAGCTAGAAAGAAAGGCCCAGGATATACTTGGCGATCTGGAATCTTCACGTCTAGAATCGGAAATCCAGAGACGAGAGTTCCACTTTTTCAATTACGCCTGGACTTACTGGGTTGATCATACGATGGATCTGAACCCTGATGCGGACAGCACAATGTGGAGATTATTCTGCCGGTGTGTAGAATGCAATGATATTTCTGCGTCCAGACCATGGGAGTCAGAGCAGCACAACAACGGCAGGACAAGTGATATGCCGAATGCAGTGCAGTGGTTGATATCGCATTGGCATTACACCTTGCTTCGATACCATTCAAGGTGCCAGTCTCACGTTTTCACAGAAACCGTGAAGCGTGGAATCCTCCGCGAGGCTGCCATCCACAATCACTACCACTTCACAGAGCTGATAATTCAACAAGTCGACACTTCCAGCCAAGACTTGGGCTATGCGTTGTTCTTTGCGGCCGAAGGAGGCTGCCTTGGGCTGGTTGAGAGATTACTAGCTGCAGGAGCTGATGCTAATGTACCTGCTTCTGGATATACCACACCAAGAGCTCTTCAACAAGCAGCCAGAGGAGGACATCTTAAAATAGTAGAGAAATTACTAGCTGCAGGAGCTGATGCGAATGTACCTGCTTCTGGATATGCCACACTAACAGCTCTTCAACAAGCAGCCAGAGGAGGCCATCTTGAGATAGTGGAGAGATTGCTCGATGCAGGAGCCGATGTTAATGCATATACTGCTATCTATGATAGACAGACAAGTCTCCAACTTGCAGTAAGAGATGGCCATCTTGAGATAGCGAAGAGATTGATAGCTGCCGGAGCTGATGTCAACACACCTACTACTGAGGGTAATGAACAAACAGCCCTTCAAGCAGCAGCCAGCAGTGGTCATCTTGAGCTAGTGGAGAGGTTACTAGCTGCAGGGGCTGAGGTCAATGCGCCTGCTGCTCGATATAGACGAACAGCTCTTGAAGCAGCATCCAGAGAAGGCTATCTTGAGATAGTGGAGATACTCCAAGCGGCAGCCAAAGGGTATTGACCGTCTTTGTTGAAGTCGAGACTGCTTACACGCGGACCATGGAAAGATTCCTGGCAGACACTGGGGTTAAATCATGTTATAATTTTCTTTCCTTTGCTTGGCTACAGACAATCAATCCCATTCTTTCAACGAACCTTGACGTGGGAATTTGACCAAGCCCATAACTTTGTGGGTGCCGCATCACACCAGCTGCATGAACCTCTTTCGAGAGACGCATCGAAGTAGAACCAGTAGTAGCAGCCCTGCGGCAGTATCTATGAGCGTCCCGGCAGATCCCACGGGCATCCGCCCGCGGTCCAATAAAAGAATTGGGGTAGTAGACCATAGACATTGTCTCGCTTCGAGTCAAGTCAAAGACAAGGGGAGGGTATTTGGATTGCTTGAGTATTGAAGTCATTGAAACAAAAGCAAGGCTCTTTTAGCGTTGGTCGGTCAGAAGGAAATGAAAGGTAGGAAAGCAAATTTGCAAGGATTACGAACTGCTCTATAGGAATATCAGGACACTTAGATTGCACTGGCGTAGCGGACGATATCTCTCTGATAGATATCTGCCTGTGGTTGGACCATAAGTCGTTCTACAGAATATAAGACCTGGGAGTCTTTACAAGGCGTTTTTTATAGATGGTGACTACGGAGTACAAGATCAGCAGTTGAATATCTTTCAAATTACCTAGCTCTACAGAGTTACCAGGTGGCTGAATATTTTTACCAGGTGAGCGTATAAAATGGGTAGAGTTTAGCACTGAATTGTACATAAATTCAACCCCATACATGTCAATTAGTATAACACGGACCCACTTTTCGAGTCTCTAGCAGGGTGACAGCTTATATAACACCTTACATAACGCACAGGCCACCAGGCCTAAAAATAGGACCATCAAATTCTGCCAGAAGACGGGGGGACCGTGGTTCACAGGTCTGACCCTGTGAGATTCCATTCCATGGGCTGTTGCTAGAATGAATCAGGGGAGGGGTTTGATTGATGCATTTTCTGCTGTCTCCACTCTCCACTAAATGGCCGTGTTCGGGTGGAGAGGGAACTGGGAATTGTGTGGGCTAAGAAGATCGCCAGCAGAGCGGTAGGAAAGTTAAAGTGGAAAGATGAGATTGGGTGTTCCTTCGGTATTCCTTCTGTCAATCCAACTGGTGTTAAGGAGATGAAGATCACTGGGGCAAGGAGACGTCATGATAGGCGACGGTGTTCGTTGGATCTGTGCCTCCCGAGTTAGTGCTTGTTGATCAGTGTCGGTGCGTTCTATCGTAAGATCGTACCCGTCCGTGTTCTCTGTTGGAAGCCGAAGGGTATGGAAGATACTATGAAGAAGGACCGATTGTTGAAGGGAAATTAAGGTCAAAAAACGTGATAGCCCAAGGATTGCACTATACAAGGATAATTAGATGAAGGAGGTGGTTAATTGATCCTTTTGCGACTAGGTATGAATGATCGGGGCTGTGCTGGCTTGGTTCGGATGGCTCCGGTTAGGTATTACCGGCGGTATTCTCTTGTATGATACCATACCATTGAGAAGGTATTGGTGCCTGAGCTTGATGGAGAAAATGTTGACTGTACTCCTTGACTCCATCCCATTGAAAGTCGTACGGAGTCAGGTAGAATACTAAGACCAGCACTGCCTCCTCCAAGACTATGGCTCCAAGACGTGGTAGGTAAAAACCAAGCGTTCCACCCAGGCAGCCAAATAAACCCAGCCATACCAAGACACCCAAGACATTGGCAGCCGCCGGACTGGCGCTAGGATTCGAGTGGTTGGATTTTACCCTCTGTCAGTTGAACCGACTTCCAGGTCACATCCAACCGGCGAATCACCTGCTGAACAAATGGACAAGAGTCTTGGAAATGGCCATCCTCCAACTCCACTGAGTCCACTCCATTTCTGTCTTTTTTGTCTCTCCTTCCAAAGACAGCCTGAGAGGAGGAGGGTGCAAATTCGGCTTGGCCACTCGGGTGGGAACGAATCAGCATCGGCTACCCGCATTCGGGTCCAGGACCTGAGGCCGCTGCGGCGCCTGGGCGACGCGCGTGCATCTTTGGCTCTTCTTGACTCGTTCTTTGATGGTTTGAGCCAAGCATGTATGTATATGTATGATTTGATCATATATTTCCAATACCACCTGGTATTTTACTTATCTGCCTACCTGGATAGTAGTGGTTTTGGAGTGATGTGGGGTGTAGATATTGAAACACAGCTTATTGAAGACTTGCAAACACAGTCGTAGTCTTTCACCGTCATTCTTCCTGTTCCTGCACTCTCCAGGATTTCTTTCTGGAGTATGAGTTGTCTATCAGTCTACTCCCCATCCTCCAGTCTGTTATGTTGCCTCCTTCCTGAGCATCTCTGTAAATACCAGGTATCTGGGTATCCATACAGTACCGGTAATGAGCGGATCTGGGAATGCGGTGATTGGTGCGATCTTGTTGAGTCAGCCGTATCAACCAATCAGAACAGAAGAAAAACATTCCAGCGGTCTCCTCTCCAACCAGCGGATCATCCTCAGGCACTGCAGGCTCCAATTTAATCGATCCTCTCAATTCGAGACTCTTTTTGATTCTGGACAACTCTCGATTCTCGAGACTCTCAATTCTGGACTCGGTTCAAGAACAAGACAGTCCCTGATGAGAAGATAGAGACTTCTTTACCTGGTTGATATCTTCAATCTTGATTCTGTCCATTATCTACTCCGTATCCTCTATCAGGATCTCTATCTACTCCATCCTGACTCTAAATTAATCTCTCCCCCTTGGAGAGACTCAGGCACCCATCCAGTCCCTCGTTTCACTTCTTCCTTCTTTCTTCTTTCTTTCTTCCTTTCTTTCTCTTCCTTTCTCTCTCTCCATCTTTCATCTTCTCATCTTCATCCCCTTCTTCCTCCCTTCTCTCTCTTTTCTCTCTCCTCTTCTTCTCGATCATCCACCCTCACACTCGTTCAACCCTTCGCTTCTTCGTCGTTTCTATTCGACCTGCCTTTTAATCTATTCTTATTTTGCCTACTGCTCTGTCCGACCACGTCTCTCCTTTCATTCGCTTCATTCTCTGTCTTTCACCCTGGTCCTTACATCCCCGTCAATCCTCTGATCCTCCGGTTGATGACGCCGTCAAGGATCATTACTACATCAGTCTTCGATCATCTTGTCCCTTCACCACCGACAGTCACATTCTTTGATCCATCTCACAACCCTTCTCCATCACTTCGCAATCCGTAAAACCCCAAACGCGTGGTTCCCCATTTCCGCATCCGGCCGGTCCCAAGCGGGTGCGCTGGAAGTGCCTGCAACATCTCTTCCCCGATCTTGTGATCGCCCGCTGATCGACATTCTCACCGTCCCCCGATCGGCATCCTCACCGTCCTACGATCGACATCCTCACCTTCTGACGATCGGCGTCCTCTCTAGCCCACCATGCGATTAATATCACTTCTCTTCGGGTTTCTCGTCGCCTTCCTCACCACCCCGTTGGTGGCCGCGACCAAACTCATCGAATCAAACTCCTTGAACCTCTGTCAGGACAGCAGCAATTTCACTGCCACCTATTTTAGTGTCACCTTCACCCCCAACAACCGAACCCTCTCCTTCGCCTTCGATGGCGTCGCCGCCATCTCCGGCAAGGTTACCGCCGAACTCATCCTCGATGCCTATGGCTACGAAGCCCTCCGCCAGAAATTGGACCCCTGTGAGATGAACCTGCCCGGTCTGTGCCCCATGAACACCGGCCCCATCGACGTGCCCCGCGCCAATATCAAGGTCCCCGAGGATGTCGTCCAGAAGATCCCCGGCATCGCATACACCGTTCCCGACCTGGACGCCTCCGTCCGGATCTACATCAACTCCACCGATACCGGTCGCAGTATCACCTGCGTCGAGGCGAACCTGTCCAACGGCAAGACCGTCTACCAGAAGGGTGTCGGATGGTCCACCGCCATCATCTCCGGATTTGGCCTGGCCGCCTCCGCCATCACCTCCGGCCTCGGCCATTCCAACACCGCCGCCCACGTCGCCGCCAACGCCCTCTCCCTCTTCAGCTTCATGCAGTCCCAGGCCCTCTTCGGCATGACCGCCGTCCACATGCCGCCCATCGTCGCCTCGTGGACCCAGAATTTCCAGTGGAGTATGGGCATCATCCACGTGGGTTTCCTCGAGACCATCTGCACCTGGTACCAGCGCGCTACCGGCGGTACCCCCACCACCGTCCTGTCGGAGCTGTCGACCACCTCCGTGGAAGTCCTCAAGCGCCGCAAGCGATCGATCGACGCCCCGGCAGGCCTGCTCCGGAGGGCGTCGGACCACCTGTTCAAGCGAGCCGGCGCGCACTCGGCCGCCGCCACCTCCGATAACCTCGTCGTCCGCGGCATCGAGCGCGTGGGCTTCAGGGCCGGCATCGAACAGTCCAACATCTTCCTCACCGGTCTGATCTTCTTCGTCTTCTTCGTCTTCGTCGTCATGCTCCTCGTCGCCCTCTTCAAGGGTATCTGCGAACTGCTCGTCAAGAAGGGCAAGATGAAGAGCGACAAGTTCCAGGACTTCCGCAAGGGCTGGAAGGTCGTCGCGCGCGGCATCCTCTTCCGCCTGACGCTCATCGGCTTCCCCCAAATGTGCGTCCTCTGCCTGTGGGAGTTCACCCAGGTCGACTCGGCCGCCGAGGTCGTCCTGGCCGTCATCATGATCATCTCGATGCTGGCCGCCCTCGGCTGGGCCTCCTTCAAGGTGATCAACCTGGCCAAGCGCTCCGTCACCATGCACAAGAACCCCGCCTACATCCTCTACTCCGATCCTACCTGCCTCAACAAGTGGGGGTTCCTCTACGTGCAGCATCGGGCCACCGCCTACTACTTTGTCGTCCCCACCCTGGGCTACATCTTCATCAAAAGCATGTTCATCGGCCTAGCCCAGCCGGCGCCGGTGGTGCAGACCGTGGCTTTTGTCATCCTCGAGGCCGCCATGCTGATCACCGTCAGCGTCCTGCGCCCCTGGATGGACAAGAAGACCAACATCTGGAACATCGCCATCGCCGCCGTGAACTTCCTCAACTCCATCTTCATGCTCTTCTTCGCCGACGTCTTCAACCAGCCGGGCATCGTCACGGGTGTCATGGGCGTGGTCTTCTTCGTCTACAACGCCGTCTTCGCGCTGCTCCTCCTCATCCTCGTGCTCATCGCGTCCATCTACGCGATCGTGTCGAAGAACCCCGACACCCGGTACCAGCCGATGCGCGACGACCGCGGCTCCTTCATCAAGTCGCAGAGCCAGCTCACCACGGAGCTGGACGCGCTGGGGGCCACCGCTCGGGGGGATGTGAAGTCCTCCACCGCGTACCAGTCCAGCCCCTTTGACGATGACCGTGGGTCCTTCTCCAGCGGCAACGGCGCCACCGTCAACCGCCAGAACCTCGAACCGCAGCAGGTGCCCCGACAGCCCACGTCCCCAATCGACCCGTCCCTACCGCTCTTCCCGAGCGAGGGTGCGGGGACGGGTACTCTGCCGTATAACGCACGATCCCCGTCGCCGCTCAATGGCGGCTACCGCACTCAAAACACGGCGAGTCCGTGGCAGCGCGGGGCTGGGTACGACCACTAGGGGGTCCCGCCCAGCTAGCAATGACGTTATGGCTTTGCGTGGATCGGGCGCTCGTACTTGATTGATCTATATACGTACTGGCAGTTTTATCTTGAATCTCTCCACAACTTTATTTATCGATTTCGTGCTTTCCTTGATCTTACTTTCAGAAATTTTCACTTTCTGTTGAAAACATCCTCGCACTCTTTGGACTTCTATCTCCTTTCTCACACTTTCCATCTACATCTCCTTCTTTCTCTTTATCTTTCCATCCTTTTATCTTCCCTACACGTGACTTACTTTATTCATTTATTACTGTGCAACCGGCGTTACGAAGCATTGGATCCGGAGACCGGGACTTGGGGTTTTGCGTACCATGTATTTTTGTTTGGGGCGGGCCTTGTTCTTCACCTACTTACTTGGCCCACCAGCCATCGGCGTCGATCGAGTAGGTAGACAAATGTTTTGTATTATTGTGCTGTCATTATCAATGGATGGTACTGGAATCTAATGGTTATTTTGGATTGTTTCTATCAGGAGGCTACGACGTCATTAGATGGATCTGTCCATAGTGGACTAGCATAGTAAGCACGTATGAGGATAGATGGAGTAAGCACTATACTACTACTGTCATGACCACCCAAGACATGAATCCTGAAAAGAGATTTTCATCTCACCCTTCCCTTGTACAGGTCATATCCGTCCTTATCCATGTATGTATCCATATCACGTCCACATTACAACTGTATACAGAAAGTGTCGCGATTCGCTGTTGTTATTATTGTCAGATAGCAGTTAGCGTCTATGTGCTTGACTTGGTAGATAGGTACGTGGGTATATATATACATGTGACTACTGATACCCTTCTTACTGCCTACTCATTCGTCTATATATCTATGTAGGTGGGCGTCTAGCTGATAGATAGATAGATAGATAGATAGAGAGAGAGAGAGAGAGAGAGAGAGAGAGAGAGAGAGAGAGAGAGAGAGAGAGAGAGAGAGAGAGATGGATAGATGTATAGATGTATAGATGTATAGATAGACGATGATGATGATGATGGTGGTGGAATTTGGAATGGTGGATGGAGGGGATCCGGATACGTACGCATCTATTCTTATACATACCAGTACTATGTTTGTTAGTATCGATAGTGCTGTTCGTTGTTACTATAAGAACGCCAGTTTGGGCCTGTCTGTCTGTCTATCTGACTGACTGTTTATCTACATACATACATGTTTAGGTAAGTAGGTAAGCAGTGTTACGATGAGTTAGCTCCTTGATCTATTGTCTAACTGTCGATCAGGATGTATATGGAGCTAGTAGAGTACTGCCTATACCTCGCCTACAGATTTCCCCACCATCCAACACGCAGTATCACATGAGACTTTTGTCAAAATATGTCAATCCATAGATATCGATTACACGACCACGCTATTGAGAAAACATAACATTACACAACATGAGAAAGTTAGAAAAAAAAAAGAAAGAAAGAAACTGCACCAATGCAAGTCTAGCGGACACACATCCATACTTAAAAAGGAAACCCGAATCATAAGAACCGACCAACCGTGAAGATATCACCGGTGATCACCCATCCCCGGCGGCGGCCCTGAAAACCCGCCAGCACCCGGCGGAGGGGGGAAACCTTCAGAACCAGGGGGCGGGAAATTGCCGGGCCCCGGGCTGGGGCTGAATCCGTGGCCTGGGGGAGGGATCGGGGGAAAACCTGGGGCGCCTGGGGGCGGCGTCTGGAAGTTGGGAGGCATGGCGCCTGGTGGCGGGGGCGGAAATCCTTGGCCTGGGGGCATGTTTGGGAGATGCGGCGGCGGGAAGCCGCCTGGGGCACCGGAGGTGGGAGGGAATGGGGGAGGGGGGAAGGGCATGCCTCGGCCGCCGGGGACTGTGGTGCGTTAGTTTGGTTCATTGGAGATGGTTGGGATCGGATGGGGTACGTACGAGGTGGCATGCCGGGGAGACCGCCTGGGGCGCCGGGCGGGGGGATTCCGAATGGAGGCGGGGGAGGCAGTTGGCCGGGTCGACCTGTGTGGTTGTTAGTTTTTTATACGCTGGGAGTTTGGAATGATGGGTTGATTGGGGAGAAGCGCGTACCGGGGAAACCGAACGGCGGGGGATACGCTCCCGGGGGAGCCATGGCCGGGTTCGGGACGGCCTGGCCTTCGGCGGCGTAGGACGAGGTGATCGAGTCGATGACCGATTGTGCTTTCTCTTGACCGATTTCTAGCTCGTCGTTAGTGACTGTCCATCAAGAATATGTCGATGTCTTGGCGCATACGCTGATAGTACTCCACGACGTTGCGCAGATGGTTCCGGCCGGAATTGTGCGCCTTGCGCACGCTCATAGAGTCATGCGTCAGGTACACATCGCAGTAGTCACCTGTACACGGGGATGTTAGCGCGGCGTCCTTGAGCTTGCGTTGATGACCGAGACGGGGACGGGAGGATGGCGAAAGCGCGTTGGGTGGATCGCTCCGGAGCCGGTCAATGCGGATGGTGACGGTGGGACCTACAGAAGAGTGCATCGACAGTTAGCTTTGAATCTCGTCACACGGTGCGATCAGAGGGGGGACATATATTTTGGCATCTTGAACTTTGAGCTCGTCCCTGCTGGGGAACGTGCAGGAAGGAATGAATCGGTGGCGCGGCGAGGCGCGTCGCGCGTGATCCGGTGAGGATCGGAGGTAGGTTGACAGACGAGTTGACGATGTACGACAGTTCAATTTCCCAGAACGGTTCGTTCAAAGGCCCTAGTACAAGAGTGCGTTCCGATATCAGAGGAAAAAAGAATCGGGTCGAGACCGGGAGAGGAAGAGCGGAGTTCGATGCGACGATCGGGCGGTGTCGAGTGGCAGTATAGATAACGGGCCTCAGGCTGCGGTCCAATCAGAGCCTTAGATTTTAGGTTGCAATCGGCGCCTGAGACTTCAGGTTGTAATAAGAGCCTGGTATTTCAGGTTGGCAGATTTCTCAATCAGGAAAATGGCTGAGGCTTACGGACAGAGACTACGACTGCATTGCTGCATTACGAGGACAACCGCATAGATGTTACTACAAGTATAAGTACATATATAAGCATAGATAGGAGTTTTGAGGGTGTCACAGGAGCTAAGCGTCGCGAGACTTAAGTCTTCACGGTGACTTTGAACAGGAGCAGTCTAAAGGGTTGTATTCTGAGGTGCCCAGCAGCTGTCAGATTTACTCCACGCATATAGATGGATATACAGCGACCTTCCAGAGAGCCTCTGGAGGAGTGTTATTATTGGAAGAGATCTAACTAATTTGAGTAAATGCCAAGCGCTTCATTTTTCACATGTATACATAATTTTAGTGGCCCAACCTACCAAGTCAAGGTAGTAATATATACAAACCTATCTGAAATGACCGCTTACAAGATCCATCTACAGAATGATCAGTCCACGCCAAGCCTGTCAAGTTCACCTCGCTGATTAGAGGCAACAAACACGACAACCGTCAGACGACTCATTCCAACAGACAGACACGCCCAGAGCAGTCTCGGTCTCCAAGTCATGGATGTAATCACGTGCGTAAGAACGAACAACACGCCACGGATGACTTCATCTCTTTCCCCCAGAATTAGGTTGGCTCGGATGTGGCCCCTCTCTTGTCTACTGTGGCAGTGGTCGTGACCACGAGACAACTTACCGACGCCAGCCGAGCAGTGAGCATATCCCGCTGGATCAAAGGCACAATTGGACCGAAAGAATTGCCGCCTACGCCATCTGTCACCGAACCAGAGGTACCTGGCTCGCAGCCGCGGTTCGATGCGGTTCGATCTGATTCCAGCCACATCCGGGGTGAGACTGCCGGCCTCTTCGAAGAGGGATCAAGTGATCATGGCGTGCTCCAGCCAGGACTTCAAGACTTTGGGCACTGGTTGAATAGTTGAATGGTTGGCGATTTGAGGATATGGCAGGCTGAGTGGGCGGATGTCATGAGTATGAACCAGCGAGGGGAGAGAATTCGGCGGAACCGTATAATTCTTGGTTTTTTGTTTTGTGTTTTATTTTCCAGATTTTTTCGTTCCATTTCGAATTTTTCATTTTCATTGTGAACGATGAGTGGCGAAGAAATGGCTCATTCAGCCCACTTGGTGAAGTTAAACTGGGTCCAGCCCTGACAAGTCTGGGGTAGACGACTGGATGGGGTTTAGCGGTGGATCTCTTCATTCCCCCTTATTAAGTAATTTTATCCTTTTTTTGTTCGATTCTCTCAGTTCCCCATATTTAATTTCTCGATTATATGATTTATTGTTTTATCATTCAATTGAGATTTATTAGAGAATGGTATAATTTTATAGACCGGCCGTTACTCTTGAAGCCTACAGACGCAGGAAAAGTCCAATTTATGATCCAGCCAAACCGCGCCCAGGTACATGCCGCTTGTGTACATTTATCCCAGTTGCACAAGTGCCGCAGTGCGTGATTTATTCAGGATCCCACACCGGACCCATGATGATCGTTGTGTAGGGAACCAACTTGACCAAGTTCCTCCCCACGATCTAGCCATTTTGGCGACGCCAAGAACGTACAAGTATACTTGCTGTTGCCTACCCCCTGTCCACGAGGCATGCCAGGTCATCGTCTTGTGTTTCAACAAGATCCAGTATCAGGTTGTTGCGGATAGACTTGCCCTATGGTAGACGTCGATGGCATCACGATCTACCATCGTGATGGCAGGATGAGGGACATACATACAGGAGACTGTGAAGATCGAGTCTAGATGGAGTCGCGGGTAAAATCCTTACTCGGTCTCCCTACTCCAAGGGGAACGCCGAGATTCTCATACTACTAGTTTCGGCGGTTGGTGAGGCCAAGGAGAGCGATGATGTAATTGTGCAGCCGATTGATTTTGCGGGGGTATACGTAGTAATAAAAGAAATAAAAAATTATTAGAAAATAAAAATTTTCTCGCCTGATGACTTGAGCCCCTTCTTGGCAATATATGCGGTCAACCCGGCTCAACCAGACTCAACCACACAGCCAGAATAAGATGTAATGAGTGAGATGATGAGATGATGAGATGATGAGTATAATATCTGATGATGTGAGGGACAATATAGAATTGAGACCTTGCTGACCGCAATTCCCATCGAGTAAGTCAAGGAATAATGAAGTTGTCCAGCCGGTCCGGACAGCGACTCGTGACCGGCCCTCAATTTCCATTACCCCCACAAAACCACCACGCCCTCCTTGCCTCCTTCTGATTGGTTGTAGCCCCCGGTTTCCATTACGTTTTGCTCGGCGTGAACTGGCGGGCCTTGTGTCAGATGACTGCATCTAGCCCTGCTTAGACCCAGTCCGTCTCCCTGATTGGCTCTTCTTTTCTCCGTAATGTCATTCCAGCCAATCAGCAACCATGAATCATGACACCGTACCGCGCGCATAATATAATGACTAAGGTCAGATCATAAAAAAAAAGAAAGAAAAAAGAAAGAAAAAAAAAAAAAGGTCCATCGTCTCCATCTCGATCCACGATGGATATCCAGTTGAACTGGTGCGGTGGAGTAGCCAAGAAACGAATGAAATAATAGTACTAACAGAAAAAGGGAGAGACGTCAAATAGTATAACTAAAAAAGAACAAATAATATTAAAAAATCCACCCCGTGTGACCCTAAATGGGCGTACCTGGGAATGAGACCCCATGGTGCAATAGTCATGGACAAATCGTCACTGCACGACCACCGCTTCCCCTTGACCGGCTCTATATAATGGAAACCTTTCCCCGCCACGGTCTCTGGTTCCGCTTTGGCTCGGTCTCCATAGCATCGTGAAAAGGAAAAATAAAAGAAAAGGAAAAGAATTAAAAGTGAGATTCTGCCTCTGCTTTTGACTCTTTCTTTTTATTATTGCTTTGCACTTCGTTGCTTCATCTTCAATCTTCATCTCTACTTGTTCCGTGTATGTCTACACGTTGCAGCTTATGGACACCACATTCTTTCCGGCTACTACGTCGTAGTATTCAATCTACTCCCAGTGTCTCACCACGCCATCTCCCTCCACACTCCCCTCTATAACCCACCTCAACCAACATCAACAATAACAATTCCTCCAACAATGCCATCCACCCCCAGCTACCGGGTCGTTGAACCGCACCCGTCCGTCCCGCGCGCTCACCCCGCCATCCACACAGCCCGCGGCGGCGCCGGCAATGTCATCGACCTAAAAGACACCAAGACCACCGACTCGCGCTCCGCATCGGGCCCAGCATCGCTGACCCGCCTGGACTCCCGCACCCCGCGGAGCTTCACCTCCGGCCGGGGCGGCGCCGGCAACGTCCACCGCACCAGTGAGCGCGCCATGTTCAGCTTCGACGAGGAGCTCGAGCGCGACCTCCGTCGCGCCGCTCCCGTCTACCACGTCGGCCGCGGAGGTGCCGGCAACATGGTCTTTCGCGACGACGACAGCTCCCTCAGTCGCAAGTTCTCCATCAGCAGCAATAGCACCTCCAGCAGCTCGGGTTCCACCCGCGACAAGGCCTTGCAGGGCTTGCAGAAGGGGTGGGGGAAGTTGAAGGGAATGGCATGATCTATCCCTATTCCTTCTATCGCCTACTTGCTCTGGGAAACTTTCCTTCGCTCGAGCTGTCTTTGCGTTTTTGCCAGCTACAGCTACAGCTACAGCATACCAGTGGCGTTGGCGTTTCCTTTCGCATCACGAACCTCATGAATGACGACATCACCAAAAGTTTTCTTTCTTCTATCTTTCTATTTCTCCCTCACACTCCACTTCAAATTTTCTCTTTCCTTTTCTTGTCACGGGTTCATTTGCACCCCCTTCACCAACTCTCTACGAGTCCTTTTAATCACGCCATTTCGCTGGTCTTATGATCATCTTGCATCACCATCTGGATTGATTATTGCCAGAAAGACCGACTCAGCCCCACACGCCATCCATCCATCCATTCATCCATCCACTTGATGTGTATGCATGCATGGTGCAATGTGATGGCTGGGCTAGCTAGTCGGTTTACCATGATACCCCGTGCCAGTTTGTCACTATCACAAGTTGTTCACTCCTTGTTTTCTTGTTTGTTTGTTTGTTTGTTTGATTCTGTCAGTGTTTCCGGGTTTATAACTCTTCTCTCGACTCGACTCTATTCGTCTGTCAGCAAGTATCGCATTGTACCGTTTACTTTGTTGGAACACTTATTCCTGTATCTCTATCTCTATTCTTCTCTCAACCTGGATCGCATCTATATACAAACAAAGAAAAAGACCACAAAAAAATAAACAAAGAACGAACGAATTTTCAAACAGTACTACCATCTCCACTTCCCACTACTACGTATTACTCTCATCTATCCCTGTAGAAGTGTCAGTATAAGTAAAGATACCCAATATACCACGTCCCACACAAACATAACCATAAATCCCTCACCAAATACAGAGCACAAACCCCCTCCCTCGCAATAAATAACTCAAATGGCAAATCCCTCTCAATGAGGTGCAAGCACACCACTATTACTTACCTACTAGGTACATTATCCATGATCCCGGTTTAAGGTTGCAACCTTGGCTGTAGAACAATTTGATTGACATAACTCATCATTGCCTATTTGGGATGTCACGTGATGGACATATTTATCCGTTCCTTGCAGGTGGACATGCTTGTTTAGTGCATATATGCCCGAGGCAGGAGACTTTATAACCTGTTTGTTTTCTTTTTGCTTTCGGGGGTGGAGGAGGGGTTGGGGGATTATCGGAGGTATTGGTTTTTGTTAAGGTTATGTCCTGGAGGTTACTATTTATGGAATATGGTACAGGGTTGAAATGCTTGGTTTGTCTAGGGTTTGGTGGATATTCTATTTGTGTTTCTGATCTACTGGGTGTTTGTTCCAGGAGAAGGTTGGGAAATCTTTCTATTTATATGCGATACATGGACCTGCTCACTGGAGGGTAATACAACGACATAATCAACGACACGACAACGACAACAACAACGCTCAGTAGGTAATAGGTAGGTACACTCCAATATGAATCCGCTTGTTTGTTTGTTAAATAGTGGTATGTGCTGCCCATGGCAGGGCTCCTGCTAGATATGCAGCTAGCTGTGGGCGTAATGAAAATGAGACGGACAAGGCGTAAGGAAGAAAGAAGTAAATGATGAAAGAAAAAGGGGTATCTGATCGGTTTATCTAGTGAGCTAGCCGGTTTCCTGCGGCTAGCACTCCACTCCAATCTCGCAGGTGTACACTGTACTCGCTCGGGGGATCGAACAAGCGAACTCGTGCACGACTTTGCTCGTCCTCTTGAAGGCCGCTCAGGAAGACGTCCCTATAGAATCTATAGGGGTCTATAGGGGTAGGTCATGGTTGCTTGGACGGTCGTGAGGTTTAAGCGAACTTCCGGTGGATGATCTCCGGATCTTCGTGCCACTCGTCGGCGCTAACCCACATCTATAACGAGATATCAGTAAGGGTATCGGGCGGATATAATAGGGGTGTTTCCTACCTTTCGGAATGTGCTCAGGCCCGCCAAGATCCCACCACCAATCCACGTCGTGTATTTCCGCTCCGCTGGCGCGGAGATCCGGATCTTCATGTCTTCCACTGCTAGTCGCTTGATCTCGCGCATCAGTCGATCGGGGAAGTTCTTGCACAGCGTCGAGCCACCGGAGAGTACGATGTTCATGTACAGTGACTTCCGCAGGTCGAGGTCTGTGCGGGCGATCGCGTCTTGCACGATCTGGTGCACGCCGGGGTATTCGAGGCCGATGAGTTCGGGATCGAAGAGGATCTCGGGGGCGCGGTAGCGTTCTTGGCCGACCTGGAGGGTCAGTACGAGAACATTAATGAGAATAAGCATCCATGAGACCAAACCTACCTTAATGCGGTGTCCATCCGGTAGCGCGTAGTCTACCGATCGCGACTCCAACTTGTGATAGCCATTGAACCAGTCCTTCTCCTCGCGCTTGGGATCCAGCGACACGTAGCAGACCTTCTCCTTGATCTGGCGCACGACCTCCTTTTCGGCACTGGTGTGCAGCACGTGGCCGTTCTTCCGCAACAGCACCTGCAGCTGCTCCGTGACGTCCCGCCCAGCGACATCAATGCGGCGAATACTGTTGGGGATAGCGAAGCCCTCGAAGACAGGCACCGCGTGGGAGACGCCATCGCCCGAGTCGAGCACGACGCCCGTGGTGCGGCCCGAGGCGTACAGCGACAGCACGGCCTGGATGGAGGTGTACAGGGCGGGGACGTTGAAAGTCTCGAACATGATCTGGGCGGCGGTGTCGCGGTTCTTGCGCGGGTTGAGCGGCGGCTCCGTCAGGAGCACCGGGTGCTCCTCGGGGAGCGTCTTCAGCTCGTTCTCGTACACGTAGTGCCAGATCTTCTCCATGTCGTCCCAGTCCGTCACGATCCCGTGCTCCAGCGGGTATCGGATTTTGAGCAGTCCGCGCAGCTCTTGGGCTTTCTGGCCGATGAAGACGTCGCCTTCTAGACCGCCGGCCATCACCCGCGGGTGTTTGGGCCGACCGACGAACGACGGGAAGTAGCATGAGGGGATCTCCTCGCCGGCGAATCCGGCGCGGATGGTGCCGCTGCCATTGTCGATGACGATGGGCGCGTTGTGGAGGGTGGCTTCTGCCATTGCGAGGGGGCGGTCACTCGGGTCAATCTGGTGGGTAACGGTTGTTGTGTTTATGCGCGATTGTTTAGGAGGGCGGGCCCCACGGCCGGGTCGTTAATTGGGACAGGGGATGGGCGGGAGGCAGACGGGGTGATGGAGGTTGACAGGATCACCGTAGTTTTTGTCTGATCTGTAGGCAGAGGAAGAGTTGGGAGAGGAGGGGGTAAGGGGTTGGCGGTCAATTGGACGGTTTAACGGGAGTGATGTGAGGTTGTTTTGTCGGTGGTCGCGTCCGCACTCCGACATCCGTCACCTTTTCCGCCGAAGCTTGGGCCACTCGAGTCTATCTACCACCACATTCAAATCATGACTAGATATTGAATTAATGTGGCCAGTTGTATTAGACATTCATCTTGATATTGCGCATAGAAGAAATGATTCAATTATAGTTCGTCATGCACCCTTGTCATAATCCATATCCAATGGTACCAAGCAAAGACCCTTCCCCAACGCCAATCCCTAAGACAAAACATATATAACTATCAAATGAGAAGCCATCCAATGTTCACCACCACTAACCGTCGTGTCATTCCGCGTGTGGTTGAGCCAGGAAGATCACTTCCAAGACCGCTCCAGGTCAATCCAAAAAGCCCATCTCATCCGACATCACCTGTTCCAGGGGTGGACGTTTCTTCTTGCCCTCGCCAGACACAGGCGGCCAAGTTAACATGTTCGCGCGCAGCTTCTCCGCTCGGGGAAGCGCAGCGGCCATCTCCCTGGTCAAGGTTAGCAGCAAGAAATAGCCGGAACGGGGTTCATTGGGGCTGCAAATGAAGACGCGTGACGTACCTGACACTACTGGCGACAACGTAGCCTTGCTTCTGGAGCTGCTGCGCCAGTTCCTCCTGGTGGTTGTCCTGGAGGGTCGGGTTGGGGATGACGATGAGCGGAACGCCCAGCCGGAGAGCACCCAGGATGCTTCCAGACCCTGTCAGACATTAGCCTCGAACTGGATTCTGAATCGATGCGTGCGCATAGCTAATGTGTAGGGAGACTGAGTGTAGGTAGGAGCTAGGAGGTAGATGCGGATATCAGGTTGAGATTTGACTAACCTGCATGGCTGATGATTACGCCCCCGGCTCTCTCATCCGATGGATCCGCCTGAGCCGTGCGCATCTCATGGTCCAGACCGGCAGTGTTGAAATCGAACCCCTCGATCTTGAGTCCATGCCTCCCCGAGCGGTGTTTCCCGCGGAGTTCCTCAAAGAGAGCCTGGCTGTCTTTGCCGTATTGGATGAGGAGGTGGGTGTAGTCTAATTTCTGCAAGGCCTCCAAAAAAGGCTCATCTAAAACAGCCTCGAGAAGAAGATGGAACGAAGCTGTCGCGCCCACCGTTACAAAGCATAGTTTCATGGTTGTAGATGTCATGTTGGAGGTGATGGTGACGGTTGATGCTGTCGGTCTGTCTGCTCGGTGAAGGTGTGGAATTCTCCCAATCCAAGCTACTTCAATGATCCAAGTGTGCCTGCCACTCTACCATCATGATGATATTTGAATGATGGTATCAGAGACAGAGAAGGAGATGTGGTCATGTTGACTGTCTTCTTCACCAGATGTGCCTTTGACACGTGATCATAACTTTGTCAGCATTCCGGACTCAGGCAACGAATTGAATAACCATGACCGGTTAGTCCCGTCGTCCTCATGGTTTATTCTTAAATCCCCAGCTTCTACTCTGAAAGTCCTTGACGAGATCTCGTCATGATGACATTGAGTCTGACATAGCCTAGGAGCTTGACGAGATATATCATATTTATTTACTTTAGCATCACTTGATATCTCAACATTATACCAGGTAGACAAGAGATACTGTTAGATAAATTCTATGAAGCATACTACAATCGATATGAATTCGATGACGAAAAAAAAAATAAAAAATAAAAAATAAAAAAATAAGAATATACCGAAGAAACAAGACTAAAACGCCTGTCCACGGATACGAAAATCAACAGCCTTAGTCAACGACTTGATGTGCTCGACGACGTCCAAGATGTGGGTGAAATACCCAACATCTCCAGAGAAGGAACCCCCAAACAGCAACCCAACCACGCGACCAGATCGGTTGAAAACAAGGGACCCAGGGTCGCCTTTCATCACCACAGGGTTGATCTGAGACTCCGCGACGAAGGTATGCTCCCACGTTTTCACGGTAGTGAGCTCGCCGTCAACGACCCTCTCCGCGATGTGGGCCACTTCCAGACCTCCGTATTTGGCCTTTGTAAATCCAGTGGCCCGGCCGATTTTGTATAGGGCTGAATAGAGGGGTGGGGTGTCAATCACGAAGTCTCTGAGCTGAGAAATCTTCGGCAGCTCGATGTTGACCTGAAGAAGATAAAGGTTAGGCATGGAGAAAAAAGAACTTGTGGGGACTGGCAGAAAGTGACTTACGGTGTTCGCCCCCGGGCGACGACCTTCTCCAACGTTTACCAAGGCCCAGTCGCGGATCGAAAGTTCGCTGGGGTTTCTCTTGGATGGTACCTCCTGAAGTCCAGACGAAGCGAACACAGAACCAAGGATGTAGTGGTTGCCACGGATGAACTCAGAGATGACGCGCAGTTTCTCACTATGATCTGCGATGTTGTCGGCCGTCCGTTTCCAGTCGGCCTTTTCATACGGCGTCACAAAATCATCGCAGGCCAGGGCATTCTCGACCTTCTTGTAGGTGGGGTCGTTCTTGAATTCGTTGATAGATATGGCGAGCTCTTTGGTCACATCACCCAGATCGCGCCGGCTCGGGGAGTCAATTTTTAGGAGCCGCTCGGCCGTTTCGTCTTTCGCAGGGACGCCGGTGTATTTCCAGCCTTCGACAGCTACAACATGTCAGGTCAAACCCATATCGTAAGAAGGCGGGTGTCGCGTACCTCGAAGGTCAGACTCAGAGAAACCGGTCATGCTTGGAAGTACACAACGGAAACAGGTTATGGCGAACGGCACCCAGTTCCCGGTCTGAGGGCTTTTTAGTTCAACCCATCCGCCAAGTGTGCCGAGAGCGTCTTTGTTGTCGTGGGGGCTAAGACTGAACCCTGGGTTGGCATGCTTCGTACAAAGCTTGGTAGGATTTGTCGTGAGGCTTTGTTGATAATCAGCGATGTCAGTACTGGTGTCCTTGCGGATGAGGACGGCCACGGCAGTCAATCCCCATTGCTCTAGTACTTCTATGGTCGCCTCTCGAACCACCTTCCAATCCCGTGGGGCTCTACGGTCAACTCCAAATAGCACGGTGGGCGGGCACCCCTCGGGATGGACGCCCTCACCGACTCGGAAGCAGCCGATTGTGAAAATTCCCGTTAGGTCGATAGAACTCATGATGTCTTCGGCAACAACCCCCCAAACGTGGAAGATGCCATCATTTGGCGTACACGGGAAGACGCTTGGTCGCCGGCCGAAGCGAGGGTCCGTTATCTCGACATTGATGTCGCCGAGCCCCTTTCTTTGGAGGTACCTGTGCAGGCTTTTCGCAAGTGGCATCCACGCTCTGTCCAACACACCCTGTCGTTTGTCCAGTACAAGGAAGGTCAGAGCGGGTTGTGTGTTGGTGTCAAAGGCGCACCGACGACCACAGAAACGAGTTTCCAAGAGCGTGACGCCAGCGTTCTGGCAAATGTCGTCGAGCTCCTCGACGAGTTTGTTGCCGCGGTCTCCCGTGACTGATGCGTAGTGGCGGTGACTTCGGGGTATGGTGTTGAGGGTGTCACAGGGGGACTCGCAGAGGTGAGGCCCCCCTGCTCTGAGGTCTTCTTCGATGAAGCCATCCGGACCGGGAACTGGTTCCTCGTCGCTTGATGATCCATTTGACCGTCTCAATCTAGTGGAGCTACTAGGGAAGGGCGACGACCTCGTGGCCAAACTAGGGTGCCTCTGTAGCGCTTGCACATAAGGCTCGTGGATTGACGCGTACGCCATCTCACTAGGCATAAATGCCGGAACCAGCGGATTGTATGCCAGGGTCATGGTGGTAAAGTTTGTTGGGATGAGATCTCCTTAATATTGAGTAGAGGTAAATGATACTAAGAAGAAGAGGGAAGAGAGAAAGATGAGGAGAGGCGAGATGAAGCAAGAGGGAGATGGAAGTATTCGAAAACAAGTGAGAGTTGAAGGGTAAGGAAAAAAGTATCAATAGACAAGGAAGCGATAGATGATGAGTGAATGATGAGCGAATGATGAGTGAACCATGAGCAAAAGATGAGCGATGAGTGAAAGCTGAATGAAAGATGAATGAAAGACCAATATAGCTGTCAAGTGGGCGAGCTGCCCATCAAGACACACCATCAATGTTCCTTGGGTATCTCTAGACGGGATCTTCCCTCGTCCTCCTGTGTGAGAAGTTCTTCCCCGCGGATGACGAGGGTCAGCTCATTGCTAGAGACATCTAGAGGTAGAAGTTGTTTGAGTTGACATAAGAGATTAGTTAGGAAGAGTACTAGATTACGTTGAGGGTACTACAAGACAAAGTTGTAGGCGACATGAAAGCGATTTCAAAAGATGAAGCCATCGAGAGTAATATACTTCGAGGGATAACTATACATATTAATAATTATGCAGCCCAATCCGGGTTAGCGGCGGAGTGCGAACTCGGACCGGAGAAAAACACCAAAAGCCTCAAACCCCAATTGCACTTCGACCCTCTCAAATACACCCTGAACGACAGCCCATTCCCACACCTCCAATGGCCTCCTCCGCACGGTCTTTGGGCCAAACGGCCCTCTTCCTCTCCCGAAGAGGATCCGCCCCTTCTTTTATCCTCCAGTCTCGCCAATTCAACACCACCCGGCCGAACTTTCACGTCGACCCACCCGCGAAGAAGTCGCGGCGTGCTGTCCGCCCCGAGGACATGCCCATGGCGCCGGAGTACTCCCCGGATCTTCTGACCGAGGAGCAGCGGTCGATGTATGACTTGATGTCGCCGGAGGATCGGAGGGAGTTTGATGCGGCGAATATCCGCCAGGTGCAGGATTTCAACAGTCCCCAGAAGCGCCGGGCCATGTTCGCGAACCTCGACAAGGAGGTCTCTGAGATCAATCGGGCCTATCCCATGCGGTTTGATGGTAACTCTACTCAGCGTCTTAACTTCTGGGGTAAAGACGAGACCGACGATTTTGCGAAGGTGGAGGATGCCGATGAAGAGTACCTTGACGATGAAATGACCTCGATGGCTCATGCCGAGGTGGAGCTGCACCGTGAAGTCAGAGAGTATGCTCGTATTGCGGCTTGGGACATGCCTTTCCTCAGCAGTATGTCCTTCTTATGTCCCGTTACTGGGACCGCGGGGGGAGATAATGCAATGTTAACGGATTCGTTTCACAGACTTGGCCAAGCCCTTCTCCCTCCCCACTGAAGACCAAATCCTCCGCTTCCGCTACACGACCTACATGGGCGAGGAGCACCCCGCGCAGTCCAAAGTCGTCGTCGAGCTCGCCTCCAAGGATCTGACGCCTAAGCACCTCACCGAAGACCAGCGACAGACCTTCCTGAAGCTCGTCGGCACGCGCTACAACCCGGACACGGACATCGTGCGCATGTCGTGCGAGAAACACCAGACGGCCGTCCAGAACAAGCGGGCCCTGGGCGATCTGGTCAACTCGCTGATCAAGGAGGCCAAGGAGGGCGACTCGTTCGCGGACCTGCCCCTCGACCTGCGCCACCACACCCCCAAGACGCCCCTGCGCTTCCCCAACGAGTGGAACATGACCCCCGAACGACGACAACAGCTCGAGGCGAGACGGAAAGAGCGGCAACAGCGCGACCAGCAGGGCGTCGGCGTCATCGACGGAAACAAGATCCTTGCGCAGCTGGCCGAAGTGCCGCCACCGGTGTCTCCGGCGCTGTCGAAACGCGCCGAAGCCGAGCGCGAGAAGGTCGCCGTCAGGGCCGGGAAATTCCCGCAGAAGCCCGTGGTCAGGAGAATGCGCTAATCTCTCTCCAATCCTAGATGAGCACTGTATAACCCATGGTTTCTTTCTCCTTTTTCTTTTACCTTTTTTTGTTGGATTCTGGCAGTCAAAATATTCAAAAGGGCGGGCGCAGATTTCATCACCATCACCACCACCATCATCTCAAGGTCATATCAGACCTCCCTATGTATCAATGTATTATACTTTTATCTGTGTGACTATCTGTCCTGTTTTGATAGGTCTTGTCTTGAGATCAAGGCCTACTGCTATCTCTTTGGGAGTTTATGAACGAATTAGCAAACCATACATACATCCAGACACTGAGTTCACCAGTAGGCAGTACTAGGGAGGGCCCTTCTTTTCTTTTTCTCTTCCCTCTCATTTCATGATCTGACTTGAATCGTACCCGTGTCTATCCAATACCCAGACCTCTTCCTTAGAATCGAGACCAGACGAGGGGGAAAGAATCAATCGATAATAACAACAATGATGAAATGTCCATTACTATAATAGTATGGGTACATCCCCGTGTCAAAACCCATCAATAGACAGGCAAAGGGATAAATAAATACAAACAGACTGAAGCTGACGTTGCAAGAGGCCTAACCGTATGTAAAAACCACATGAGCGAATACCCAGTCGCAAAACAGAGCAGAGACAGCACAAGCAGTAGACGAGGTAGGTAGGCAGTGAATCTGAAATACAACCAACCCAAAGGAATAATGACAAAAAAAAAACTTAGAGAGAAAACAAGAAAGCAATAAAGCAAGACAGAAAGAAAGACAGAACAGAACAGACATCCACGCCGTTTATCCATTTCCATCATATCCACACCTATCCTATTCAAACCACGCCATACCATACCACGCCGTTGCCGCTCTTCGCCTTTTTCCAACCGTTGGAGTCATAGCTGACTGTGTAATTTGGATCTCTGTAGCTGATATACCTGGTAAGTAGACTATTGCCTTGGATGTCTTATCCAGGATCAGGTGTTTCTTGCTCGTCGGCGTATAGAGGGCCTTCTGAAATTGTTATGGGGTTCTTCTTTTTTTTTTTGTTTTCACCTTTATCGTTTTTTTGCAGAGATGAGAATCACACATTGGGAAACGGAAAGCAAGAAGGAAAATGAGGGAAGTAACAGGCAAAAGAGAAAAAAAAAAAAAAAAAAACCAAAGAAAGAGATAAAAAAAGAAAGAGAAAAACGGAAAGAAAAAGGAGCGTAAGTCATCCATTCATAATCATCACCCATTGCGATCTGGACGCCACTTGCCCGGTGAAACGCGTATACTATTTATCAGTATTTAGAGCATATTCAAGTAGAGAGCCAGCCGTAATGGTTACTGCCATATTGCAGGGCCTTGAAGGTTATGTTCGTTCTCGTCTCGACATGTAGAGGAATCGGAAAGTGTCGGGAATCGTGTCATAGGAAATACAACACAATTGAAGTTTCATCGTGAGCCCGGGTCTGGCAAGAAGGATGGAAACGTAGTTCTTAGTTTCCATTGCCTATGCCCATGCCCATGCCCATGCCCAAGTTGAAAAAGTCGTCGTCTGAGGAGGAGCCGGGGGACTTCCTCTGGTGGTCCTTCTTGCTACCGATGGCTGGCGGCAAAGGACGCATCTCCTTCTCTCTGAACGGCACACGGAGCTCACGGGGACTGGTCCCGGAGGATAGAGAAGTGCCCGGAGGGAGATCAGGGGAGCCGATACGGGTTGGAGGCTCAGACGAGGCGACTTCCTCACGCATACTGCCAGTGAAAGGGCTTCCCAGCTGGGAACTGGGGGTACCCTTGCGGATGGTAGAAGTAGCGCTGGAGGAAGCAGTGACCTGGGCTTGGTAGGCTTTGATGCTGTCGGCTTCCGCCTTTCCACTGCTTGGTTCGGACATGGTATTATGCGAGCGTGCCTGGTACAGACGGCGGGATTTTGGTCCCCTCTTGGAACGGGGCTGACCCGGGGCGGCTTCAAGATAGCTTGGTGGATAGCTTGCATTCTGGGCCATGGAGGGAGGCATAAGAGTTTGGAGGTTGCAGATAAAACCGTCACGCTGGGTGTCTTTAAGGCCCTCGTAATCGATGTTCTCCGTCGAAGGAGGGTAAGCAAAGCTGCCCACATTGCCGCTCATGGGATCCAAGGGGGGATATTCCGCAAGAGGATCAAACGACAGCAGGTCAAACTTCTTATTTCCTGCACTCTGCGGGCCAGATGTATGTTTTCCTGGCTTCGCAGCACCGGGGACTTGGGGCGAATTTGAGTAGACAGGATGAGAAGGCCCAGGAAGCACCACAGACTGCTGCTGGGCTCGGGTATAGGTAGAAGTTGTCTGCTTTGCATTCTTGTTTGCTTCGCTGCTATCAACCACCGGGTTGAGCTCCAGGCGAGATGGGTATTGGATTGATCTGAGAGCGTTGCGATCTGGAGGCGTGTCTTTCCAGTGAGCGCGGGTATTAGGCTGCCCGTTGGGCAATATACTGGGCATTCCGTATTTCTCACGATACCAACGAGGGATGTCACGGAGGCCGAGCTTTTCAAGTGTGAGTGGATCGGTGGGCATCTCATGCTTGTAGAGGCATCCTGTAGATCTAGTGTTACATTCTGTCTAGATTCAGTCAACGGATCTGATCTTACCCTGCTGCTGATAGTCGCACTCGCCGTGACGGATCCAGTAAGAGCAATACTCCTTTTTCGCATTGTAGTGGACACCCTGGAGATGCGTTAGTCGCCGAGCGCTTTCATCCCTCTCACTTTTGTCTTTCCATGGCGAACGTTTTAAGTTGAGATCACTGACCTGTTTAGAGTTCACTCCACTGCCGCCACCTCCGTTGGGAACCAACCAGCTACTTGTCGGGGTATTCGTCATGAACCAATTCTGAGCGATACCGTGCTGAAGCAACGCATTGACAGCCTGGCGCTGGGTTGCCGGGACGTTTTCATCGGTGATCAGTCTCATGAGGGAGGACTGCAAGTCACCGTCACGGGAGCGGTGGGCAGCGGTCGACGGGATAGAAGCGCGGGTCAGGGCCGGGGAGATGTCTTCGACAACGTAAGTCTGAGATCTGGGGCTCACGGTTCCGAGGCTGGTCATGCCCTGGGTTTCGCTGGCAGACAGGACGCGGGGAACTCCACGAATGGTAATACCGGTGGGAAGCTCATCCACAGCGATGACAGGGGTGAGGGTGCCATTTGGGCGAGTACAGAAGAACTGGGGACGAAGCGGTGCCGCCATGACGGGCTTGGTGAGGCCCAGGAGCAAATAGAGAGATTCTGTTGTTGTCTTGGTGAGAGAGGGCTGGTGGAAACCAAAGAACAGTTGATAATGTATGTATACTGTTATAAGGCTGGCTTTGAAATGATGTGGGGATGAAAATCTTCGAAGGACTGGGAGTTGATCGATCAAGAAAGGGATTAAAAAGAAGAAGAAAATAAGAAACAGAGATTTTAAGCAGCAAGATCAAGCTCAATGCCACTGGCACAAAACAGAAAGTGAATTGTCAGGCCAGAGAAAAGTCGATTGCGTAAAAGAGACATTGACATTCACTGAAAGAGAGTGATTCAAAACAGTGACACGCGGATTTTCCCTCCAAATGGATATAAATACCAAACAAGATCAATTATACTCTAAAAATCAAATATATATGCAAATAGAGATCAGAAGAACGAAGATAAATCAGAACAAAGCCCAAGACCAAAAAGAAAAGAAAAGACCATAGGATGAAGGGCAAATTGAGACTGGCAAAGGACACAAGAAGCCAACCAGACTGGATATCTAGCAGCATTTTCCACTCAACAAGGGCAATGTCCGGATGACATACACAGGCGCACAAGGACTTACAGAAGAAAGAAAAAAAAGAGAAAATAAGAAAAGAGGCGGGAGATCCCCCAAGTGAGAAAAAACGCTCCCACCCCACAGCAAAAGCATTTGGGATAAGGGGAAAAGGAAAAAAACAGTAGGCCCAGCCACAACTGAATGCCGTCAGTGTTTGTCCGATGATGTTGGTCAGTTGGTCAGTACGACCATCCTGCCCGGATGGCTGCAGCATCCTCTCTCGTTCAAGACGCACGCGTCTGCCGTTCGTTGCACTCCTTTGAGACCAGATCCAGATCAACCAGGTCTCTGGGACCCTAAATTTTCAGAGGATCTGGAATCATGAGTCTATTTTTCATTTATCTTTGATATAGGGTCTATTTTTGTGGATGTTCTGCTGCTGGTGTTGTTTTGGTTGGTGGGACCGCATGGATATATGGCTGGTTTGAGTATTGCAATGGCGCCTGCCATATCCTGGCACACTGCCACCGCCGGAGATTTTAGACCTCGGTCGGTCAAATATCACTACTTTTCTGATTTCGGCACTTGAAAGAGCACTGTGATTTCTCAGTCATAGTGGCCATTTTGAAGAGAAAGGCTTCTTCCAGCGGTAGGTCTCCAATAATCATTAGTGATCGATTCAAACTGAGTATGGGCAAACGCCTTGCATTAAAGAAGATGCAGTCACTAGTAGATAATCGACACATCACTTTAATTGGAGTTTTAAGAGAGTGAAGACAGGGTGGGATAATAGTAAGGAATACAGAGTGATGATATTGAACTGATGAAGTCCAGAGGGGAATCAGCCGCTTCCCCGTGACCATCCTATCCCGTGACTCTTACCGATTCATCTTCTTGTACAACTTTATCTGAGTAGTATTACTATTAATTTATTTAATTTAGAAGAGCATTGGTTTGGTTTATTTTCATTAATGATGTATGTAATATGTACAGCCGCCAGTAACTGATCTATGGCCAGTCTAGCCCACGTGCCTTACGCCAAAGAAATAATAACTTCATCTCGCCAAGAGCAATAAAGGGTGCATGTGGTATCGCTGAAAATGAGTGGGGTATTGTACCCAATGCCGTGGCTTTCTCCATTAACATTGGGCTTGTTATTGCGCTCTCGCCCGCTCTTCACCATCTTAAGGTGCCCAAGGAGCGGGGTGTCCGGGGTTGGGAATGTTGTGGTTAAGACGGTCCCCGAAAGCCTGTTGGAGTTGCCCACTGGAAAGTGATGCGGACCCAACTGACGAACCTGTATTTCCAATGCCCGGGGATCCGGTCATATCGATAAATGGCGACCCTGTAGGCACGCGGTGAGGAGTGGGGGCCATTGCACCGGGTGTGCTTTGATTCGTGAGACCGACTGCAGCCCTACCAGCCAACTTTCTCTTACGCTGTGCAAGGTCCCCTCGGATGCCACTCAGATACTTCCTCGCCAAATGGACAAGTTCCGGGTCTTCGTCACTGTGCTTCAATGTGTCAAGCATCTTGGCAACCATAGTTTCCGATTTGAAGTGGGGACACGTTCGCCCGTGTCCAAAATGCGCCAGTCCACAAAGTCCGCAGTGCTCAACGCCAGCCAGTTTCAAACGGCAATGACCAAGAGGATGGCTCTGGTTGCAGGCCAAACAGGGGGGGATATTCTCCAGTTGGCCGTCTAATGCAGGTACCGCGCTGGTCGGGAGGTTGATGCGCTCGAAGGCTCGTACTACAGCTCATGTTAGCAAAAGCCAGGTCAATTACAAATAAGGGAATCACGCTACCTTTGGGCTTCTTGGCTTCCCTGACGACTTCATCGGAATCGGGTGCCAGACCGGGTTCAGAATCCGATTCTGACTCTGCCACGGCATCTTTGAATTCCACATCACTCTCGGCTTCGCGATCCCGCGGCCTTTTCACGGGCGATAATTCCTCATGGGCGGAGTAATCGACAGTAGTCCTCTTCCGTTTTCCGCGTCCAAGAGTCTCTGCCTTCTTTCGGGCCTCGTCTGCAGCCGCCTGCTCGCGCTCTTGCAATATCTTTTCCCAGACAGTCGCTCCCAGCGGAGCGCTATCGTCGGTATCAGCGATATCATCGTTCAAATTATGATTGTCGTTCGCCCAGACGTGAGCAAAGCTGAAATGAGATTCGGCAGGATTTTCGTCAAGTGACTTGGCTTGCTCGGCTTGACTACGGTCAAGGAGCTTGTCGACAGATTCCGAATCATAACGAACATCACCCGAATCGTCGTCGTTGAATAATGCCTGTGCGCCGTGGCGGAGAATAGATTCCAAATCCTGCCCATCATCTTCCTCCGAGACCATGCGATCGATTAAAACATGGTCTAGCACCATCTTCTTTTTTCCAATCTGCATGATTTTCTCTTCCGCACTGTTTCGGGTCATAAGTTGGAAAACAAGGACCTTATTCTTTTGACCGATGCGGTGCGCACGGGACAGGGCCTGCATATCCTGGTGAGGGTTAAAGTCTGGGTCCATGATGATGACGGTATCCGCACTGGCCAGGTTGATACCGACGCCACCGGATCTGGTGGACAGAAGGAACGCAAAGTATGGTGAGTCCTCGGCGTTGTAATTATCAATCTGCTTCTGTTTTTCCAGCGACGACATTCTTCCATCCAGCCGGCAATGTAAGAGTCCGAGACCATCAAGAAAATCTTCAATGATATCCAAGTTATCCAGGAATTGGCTGAAAATGAGGACTCTGTGACCGCGGCGCTGGAGTTTGGGGAGCATCAATTCCAGCAGCTGTAGTTTGCCAGCTGCATCAACGAGTTGTCTGTGAGAAGCAGCCGCATTGCTTGTACGCTCTTCAATCGCTTCGCTGTATACAAAAGGATGACACAGACATTTCCGTAGCTGCATCAGGATGTTATTCAAATTATGTTTTTCTGCCTGTTTCAATGTTTGAGCGCTGTCGTTTCGTTGGAAAATCGCTTTGATCAACTGCGGATTCTTTGCAAGGATGGATTTGTACAGCTTCTTTTGGACCACGGTCATCGACACCGGAAGGATAATCTGGACTATTGGCGGAAGGAAAGTGAGCACCTGGGCTTTGGTTCGGCGCAGAAAATATGGTCGAATCAAGTTATGAAGCTCCGGGATATTCTCCTTGGACAAAGTTCCATACTCCTCTTCTAAGGCCTCCGCATGTTGGGTTGGGTCACAGAATTGGAGAAGGTTGAAAATTTCTCTCACGTTATTTTGTAACGGTGTCCCAGTGAGAAGGACTTTGAAAGGGCACTTGATTTTTGATAGAGCTTCATAAATTTGACTCTTGTCATTTTTCAAACGTTGTCCCTCGTCAACTACAAGTCCAGCCCAGGGGACTTTTGACAAGACTCGTCGTGAGGAATCATCGACCATGGTTTCATAAGAAGTGACCACGACGTGGCATCTGAGACCAGAGTCACCGTCAGCAAATAACTCATGCTGCTGGGCCAATTTTCGTGCTTGTGCAGATCCGTAATACGTGACCACCCTGATCGAGGGGACCCATGTCTTGATCTCCTTCCGCCAGTTCGGACATGTGGAGTTAGGTACAACAACAAGGAAGGGCCAGCATTTATGGTCTTGGATCAAGGATGCAAAAAGTCCAATGACCTGTATGGTTTTCCCCAATCCCATTTCGTCAGCTAAAATGGCATTCTGCTGCTTGAACCACATGTAGTAAAGCCAATTCATTCCGTCTTGTTGATAGTCCATAATTTTCCCGCCAGTCATGATCTCTGGCTGGGAGTTTCGGACCACACTTGACTTGAAATTCTGCTTTCTGACATGGGCGAGATGTTTCGCGAGGGAGCGCTGATCGGGAAGGTGGACGTAGTCCTTTTTCACCCAATCTTCGTATGCAGTCTTGAAATCCTTCCATCGTTCAGTATTGCTGGGGTCAGGCGGGGCTTCCCAAACAGATTCCTCATATGTTAAACCCTTAAACTTCACATATGCCTTGACCACCTTATCTATCCTGGCAATGTCCGCCTCTTGCGCCGGATCATCCAGACTACCATCATCCAGGTCTTCTGCATATTTCACATCAAAGACAATATCAACACGGTAAAAGTCCTCCGGAATAGCCTCCTCAGCGGTCATATGTGGAGTGAAGTTCTTGGGATTTCTGAGAAATGCCCGTCGCATGGTGTGGCTGATGGTACCCCAAACCCAGCTCCCAGGCATCCAGGTAGTGTGTAAATATGACATTTCTTTCCATCTGACGAGATACTCCTTGTCCACTTCGTTCACAGTGTCCGCTGTGAAACCGGCCGGGTATTTCGCGGCTGCTGGCCTCCAGGCAACCAAACCAGCAACTTCCCCGGGGGCTGAAGAACAGTCATGGCACTGCCAGTTTTCGTCGGGCTCCACAGACAAATGATTGAAGTGAAACGCCCTGTAGCAAACGGCACACCGGGAAAGGATACACTCAAGGTTGTTTATTCGAGCTGGATCGATCTTTGTTATAAGATCCTTGCCATCGTTCTCTAGGCGGAGTTGCTGCTCTTGCTTGGGTGTTAAACGCTCACGCAGTGGCTCAGACATGGCACCTTTTTCGTGGCACACTTGACAATAGCCCTGGTGTGGGGCCATCGAATCTTTTGCATGGGCCAGTCCGAGACAGCGTCGGCACTGAAGAACGAATTCGCCGTCGCCGACTTTGGTAACAAGGTGTTCGCGAGTAGCCCGCGGGCCCAGACAGAGTTGATGATACGCGAACGTACAACCTTGACAGAAAACGAGGACACCCTTTACAGAATCATCACCAGCAATTTTGCACACATCACAAAAGTCTCGATGTCGGTGGCGAAATGGATCGCTCGATGGGACTTTACGGAAGACTTCTTTTGCACCATAGAACTTCTGTGACCTGGCCGCGCTTTCGTTCTCGGAGATATCATCCTCGTACCGTTCGCGCAGATTGCTGCGAATGGTAGTCCGGTGTCGAGTCGAGAATCGTGTTCCCTGGGGAGCAAAATCGCTATCCATGTCTGACGTCGTTGAAGCTCCACGTGGTCGACCGCGCCTCAACTGACGTTTTCTCGACGTTGACTTGGAATACGAAATGATGTCGTCACTAGAAGAGCTCGCCGCCTCGTCTTCACTGCCTCCTGCGAAGAAGTCCGTAAACCGAAGATTTTTCGCTCGCCCCGAGCGACGTTTCCCGGTATTACCACGGGGATTGAAGCCGAAATTGGAATCGTTGAAACCTGCCTCGTCCTCGTTTGATGAGTTTCCCGTAGAAATTGAAGGCGCCGTGGACGACGACTCATGAGTCGGACCAAAGTTTTGAAAGTGTCTTAAAGCTTCCTGACCGTTGTTGAGCGTTTTGAGGTGCGACGAAGAGACCTGTAAAGGAGCCATGAAAGTTAGTTTCAGAGATGATGACAGATTTAGAGCTCAGTGAAAGATTCCATGGTAGTGCCAATAATCTGCAAAAGCAAGTGCAAGAAGAACGTGCCTTTTGAACTTCCCCGCTCCGGAGTTTGACTCGATAGAAAGGCTCTGGTTCCAACTCCTCGGTCTCATCGATTATATAGTTAACATCAAAGTGCCCCGGGAGAAATTCATATTCCTCTAGATTTGACTCTGGGGGAGGATGAATCTCCACTGCAACCATCCGTGGGCCCTGTAGGAGTTCTTCCCGAGTTTCTTTTGGCTGGGCCTTCGGTTGTGGGCTCTGAGAGTTTTCCATTCGAGATGCTCCTGACTTTGGCTCTGGTGTTGTGGACTTTCGGATTTCCGAGCTGGCTCTGTTTGAACTATCCTTGTCTGACTCTGACTCTGGTGTTGCGGGCTTTGTGATTTCCTCGCTGGGTTGGTCCTCGCTGGGTTTGTCTGACTCTGACACCAGCTCCGATGAAGAGGCTTCTGAACCCTCCTTTTCTTGGGAAGACTGCGGTTTCTGTCTGCTCTTCCGCGAAGAGCCCCGAGGCGACTGCTCACACTCTCGCATATAAGCCGGTGCATCTTGAAAGCCCCGCTCGAAACCACTCATTTTAAACAAGTTCCTTTCTTGTATAAGTCTTGGATTGTTAATGACAAGTTCAAGGCACTAGCCAAAACATCAAGCTTGAAAGAAAGTCAAGGCAGAGGGCGAACCTCATGGACGGGCGATAAGGACCAAGTGGGGGGTGAGAACAGTGAACAAATAGATAAACCATGTGTGAGCACTTATAGACAAGCTGGAGTGAAAAGCCATGCCTCCTATGACTACCTTAAGCACATTCAGGCTGAAGCATGCAATTGGAACACGCTTGGAAATAATTTCCCAACAACGTAATATTGCACCGATCCTTTCGACGCGACGATGCGCGAATCAGCGCCGGATCAACCTTAATGCGCTTATCTTATCGCAACCTCGACTGGAGAAAAAATAATCATCATATCATCGCCGCGACAGCTGAGAAAAAAACCTCCAAACCTATACTAAAACCGGTCAAACATGAATTGCTAGTTACAAGCTATCATTGAAATGTTCCTCCACTCCCAATTGAATGGCTTGCGGCTGTGTTCTCGGCTGCCTGTCCTTCCACGGTTTCAGCCGGCTCTCGCGAGACATGCCTCCCTGAGATCCGCCATCGATCGCGGCATTCGCAAAAGCCAGGGTCAGAGCCAGGACCAGAGCCAGAGTCAGAGCGCGAGAAAACCTTTTCAACATCAGAGAAACTTCGATGATGAAGCACGCGCTCCGCACCGCCGAAGAGATTCTAACCCAAAGAAGTTCGAACGCAGGAGGGAAGATACTGAAGAACGCTCTTCATACCGTCGAGATGATTATGGCCCAAAGAAGTTCGAACGCAGGAGGGAAGATACTGAAGAACGCTCTTCGTACCGTCGAAATGATTTCGGCCCAAAGAAGTTCGAACGCAGAAAGGAAGATACACCATGGGCCAGGAATTCCGATGAAGGACGCGCTCCGCACCGTCGGGGAGAATACAACCCAAAGAAGTTCGAACGCAGGAGGGAGGATACTGAAGAACGCTCTTCGTACCGTCGAAACGACTTCGGCCCAAAGAAGTTCGAACGCAGAAGGGAAGATACACCATGGGCTAAAAATTCCGATGAAGAACGCGCTCCGCACCGTCGACGAGATTCCAACCCAAAGAAATTCGAACGCAGAAAGGAAGATACATCCTGGGCCGGGAATCTCGATGAAGACGAATTCATCAGGACTGGAAACTTTCGTGCCTTGCCGATGGAACATCAGCGATTCAAGCATGGCCACAAAATCGAGAAACCTCGTGAAGAGCCACAGCAGTCGCGCGAAAAAGTGATACCCTCGAGTAGACGCGGCACCGACAGGCCGAAAGAAAACGTCAAAGTTCCCGATTCCATTCCCTATACGACCCCCGCTTCGGAATTCATCTATGGTACCAACGCTGTCGAGGCTGCGCTGCGCTGCAGCCGGCGACAGCTGTACACGTTATATCTGTACCAGGCTTTTGGAGAGGAGCTCAGCCCCGCGAAATCGACCATCCGGAAAGTCGCTTACATGAAGAATCTCAAGGTCAAAATGGCTTATGGGGAGTGGGATAAGTTGCTGGACAAAATGAGCGCAGGTCGACCCCACAATGGCTGTATCCTCGAAGCATCCCCATTGCCTCAGCTCCCCGTGCGGAGTCTCCGCGCTGTCCCTTCCAAGGACGAAGATCACTTCAGCGTGGACTTGGGACAACAGTCACGGGAAGAAGCGCAGGTAAACGGAATGGACAACCACGTTAAAATCAACCACCCCCCCATGCAAGATCGCCGGAGGTTCCCAGTCGTCCTTCTACTTGACGGAGTGGTCGACACGGGCAACTACGGCGCCATAATCCGCTCCGCATACTTCCTCGGGATCGACGCCATTGTGCTCGCTGGCCGAAACTCGGCGCCCTTATCCCCCGTAACAATCAAGGCTTCCGCCGGCGCCGCGGAGAACATGACCCTCCTCCAGGTCCACAACGAGGTAGATTTCATCCAAAAGTCGAAACTCAATGGATGGCGATTCTACGCTGCGGATGTCCCCGGCCCAGGGTCTACTTTCATCGACCCTATGTCAAACGGCGGCACTGGTCCCGACGGCCAGGGGGAAAACCCCCTCACTCAAGCCCCGAGCGTTATCATGATGGGAAGTGAGGCCTCTGGACTTACTCACCACATCAAATCGCACGCGGACTCGGTGGTGAGCATCCCCGGGTCTAGGTTTTCGACGCATCTGGGAGTCGGCTCGGATCCTGCCCGTGTCGATAGTCTCAACGTCAGTGTCGCTGCTGCGCTGCTGATGGAGATGTTTCTGCGCGTTCCGCTTGCGGTTTCGGGGGCGCCTGAGAAGCGTACGTCTAAGAAGGCGTAGGCGGGTGTGTTGATTAGCCGATCTAATACATATACAAACCACTTGTACATTAGCATTGGGAGGGTTTAAATAAGGCATTTAATAACTCGATTTCGCATCTCTACAGACACTTCATGTATCAGTAATACGAAGAATGACTTGTTATAAATAGGAACCATATACGCCGGAATACGTCCCAGGTAGTGACAGTTGCCAGGGATTCTAATTAATGCTTTTGTGTACACTTCGGATTTCAAAAACTGCAGTTAACATATTGATGTTACATGGCTTCAAAAATGTAGAGGCAATCGAGATAGATAATAAAGAACGTGACCCACGCCCAGGGCATCTATCTTCCAACGCCGGACCGTCAAGTATGAAAAAACAACGAACCAACGACCCACCTCCCACGGCCGATAACTTCCTCAAATACACTACTATATGGTCATAACAAAAATTTCACTTCACAGCTGCTGGGCTCCTCCATCACTTCTTCCGATTCTTCGACTTGGGAGCCGCGTTTGAAGATACACTTGCGGCCCGGGAAGTCGTCGTGGAACCGGACTTGTTGCCGCCTTTTACAGCCTTGACTTGCTTGTTCTGTGCGATTGAATTAGCTCATTTTTCCACACCAATTGGTGATATTAGGGCAAATAAAACTTACCACTGCGGTATTCCGACTCTTTTTCTTGGCCGGCTCTCCCTCGTCATCGTTCTCCACGTCCTCATCATCACGGTCACGCCCTCTGCCTTTCCCAGCTTCACCGTTGGCCTTCCCGTCAACGGCAGTTTCAAACTCCTTCGCGACAGTATTCAGCAGCGTGGTGCACCGGCGTCCAATCTCAACCGGAGTGCGGCTAAGAAAAAACCAGTCGAATCGGAAGAGTGGTGACTCGCGAATCTCGTCGCGGATCTTTTCGTAGAGACCTTCGCCGTCCACTCCGTACCGGTCAAGCATGACCAACAGGAATCGGTCTTCCTCTTCCGTATAGACCTTCTTGTTGGTTGTCGAAACCGAATAGTTGACCTTGAGTTGCTGAAGAGGGACACGATACATCTCCATCTTCTTGCGCAGCATTTTCCGCTGGTGATTCATCTTGCGGAGCTTTTCTTCGCCTTGTTCAATGACACGAAGGTACTTAAGGTAGTCTTGAATCTCAGTGTATCGTTTCCAGAATACTTCGGCGTACTCCTCAATTTCATCGGGATCCTTGCTATCAACCTCTGTGGCGATTCCAGCATAGTCGGTTCGGCCAAATTTGGCGGAGCCGTTTACGAATTGCTGGAAATCACGACGGTTCCAGGTCGAAAAACCTTCCTCGGACATCTTGGCCTTTTCGGCTTGCTCTTCCTCCGTCAGAGGAACCGCATTGTCGATTTCTTGTTGCTCCAAATCACGTTCGGCCTCACGATCGCTCTGCTCTTCCTCGGGTCCGTCAGGAAGGGGAACCTTGTAGCCAATTTCCTTGTGGAAGTAAGCGGTTTCCTTCTCCTGAAGCTCTTGGAGACCCGGCGGGTAGAACTGCCAATCGTGGACCGTAATTTGCTTGGGTGCACGAGGGACCTTCGGTTTAGGATCCGCCGTTCTGCCACCGGTGGCAAGGGCCTGGCGATAGTACTTGTCAATAGAGTAAAACTGTTCTTTCCGCTCGCGCTTTGCAGGGTTGATCCAGTTAAGGCCAATGTCTTTCTTGCGCTCGGCGGTAAAGTCCTTGCCATTCCATTCATAAGCACTTTCAGAGCTGAACTTCTGAAGATCGTCAATGCCTAGTTTCTCGTACTTCTTGCTCAGTTCGGCCGTGCGTTCCTCGCCCTTGCGGAGAATGTTATCGATATCATCGTCGGAGATTCTCTTGTCCGACAGCCCGGCTGCTTCCTGCGGATTACTGAACAGGCTGGCAGCTCCATGTTGAATCATGCCGAGCAGTTCATCCTTGGAAGTAGCGTTCTTGGTCTGTTGCTGCGCCCGGCCTTGTTGAATAACTAGCTGGTCCAAACGCAACTTCTGTGCTGCACGTTCCAACACCTTTTCTTCGATCGCTTTTTCGGTAACAAATCGGAAAACGACAACTTGCTTCGTTTGACCAATACGGTGAGCACGGTCCATAGCCTGAAGATCGGCTTGAGGGTTCCAGTCACTGTCGTAGAGCACGACAATATCGGCCGACGTCAAATTAATACCCAACCCTCCGGCTCTGGTTGTGAGAAGGAAGATGAACTTGTCAGAACCCGGCTTGTTGTAGTCATCGATGGCAGCAATTCGGTCCTCATGAGCAGTTGTGCCGTCAATGCGGCAATATTTGAACTCCCGGAAGACGCAATAATCTTCTAAGATATCAAGAACACGACTCATTTGAGAGAAAATCAGGACACGGCTTCCTTGCTTTTGCATGCGATTCAATAGCTTGTCAAGGATCACCATCTTTCCTGAGTTGTCAACCAGGTGCTCATCAGTCGTGTAAGGCGGACCAGGTTCGGCCCCTTCAAAAAGATAAGGGTGATTGCAACATTTGCGCAGTTGCATGACAATATTCAGCAGACGAGTCTTGGATTCTCGCTTTCCGGCAGCACCGTTGACAGCGTCGATGTCCTTCTCCAGAATCTTCTGGTACCACTTCACCTGCATTTCCGACATTGGCACATACAAATTCATCTCCTTCTTCGGAAGCAGACTCTTTTCGACGTCGCTCTTCACCCGACGGAGCAAGAATGGCCGCAATACACGGTGTAACTGTTGAACAACAGTGTCTTGGTCGGAGTCTTGACTGGAGAACCATTGATCGAAGGCCTCCGAGTCTCCGAAAACATCTGGCAGGAGGAAGTTTAGGAGAGCCCAAAGTTCATGTAGGTTGTTCTGAAGCGGGGTGCCCGTGATAAGCAAGCGGTTTCGAGAGTGGAAGACACGGATGATTTGTGCAAGCGATGATTCTTCGTTCTTGATCCGGTGGGCCTCATCGATAATGATGTACTCCCACGCGAACTTCTTCAGGTGCGACTTTTCACGGAGAACCATCTCGTAACTCGTGATACAGACATCGAAGTTCTCGTCAAGTAGCCGTTCGTTAATCAGCCTATGCCGTTCCTCTTTGTCACCCTGAAGAACAAGTACGTTGACTTCTGGGGTCCATTTCATAAACTCTCGCTTCCAGTTATCGAGAGTGGACTTGGGGACCGCGATTAAATGCGGCCCAGTGATATCGCAAACATGCCGCAGGTATCCCAGAAACGAGATGGTTTGCAGTGTCTTTCCTAACCCCATTTCATCGGCCAAGATGCCAGAGATACCGTTCTCGTGTAGCGAAACAAGCCAGTTCAGACCCGCGACCTGGTAATCGCGCATTTCACCATGAACAAACGGTGGAGAATCCCGGAAGACCGTGCCGGTTTCTGCACCACTTCGTTCATCTCTTAGCAATTCCGCATCTTCTTCCTGCTCCGTCCTGCGACGCCTGTCAGTACCGGCTCCACCTGAGCGCGCCGAACCCTTCTTCTTGGCTCTTGCTTCTTCCTCGGCATTCTGACGATCAATCTCGGCCATGATCTCCTTGATTCGAGGGTTGGGGTTCGTTTCAATGAAATGACGGAAAAGGTCGGTCAACCCGAGAAGATAGCGAAACCGCCGGATCGAATCATCCTCCTGCATTGGGTGTCATTGTAAGCTAGGGAAGCAAGCGCAGTTATTAGAGCTGTAAAACGTGCGTACCATAGTTTCGTCGAGCCGACCGTGTTTCTTGCCCAAAATGCTCTTTCTGAGGTGGAATGCGTCGGCCCTTCGCTTACGGCCGTCCACTTGCGCAATATCACCGGCCACACTGCTTGCTGTGGTGTTGGGGTTCGTATCGGAGTCCTGATTATCGCAACCTCAGTTAGCTATGTGGGGTGGGGTGTTCTGCCATGCAAGTACCGTGTAGTCAGGGGTATCCTGATAGCCCTATTCAAAGAACGCATCAGTCCATGAAACGGACAAAGGAACATGAAGTGCGCGAGCGATTCAAGGTGTCCGCGGTATTGGATGAAACGGGGCTTGTTTTTTATTACTTACCGACATTGTCGCGTCCACGCTATCTACAGGCACAGATGTAGGCTCTTCGTTCGCATCCGTCATCGGAGTATCCGCCTGGGACGGCGGATCAGAAGCTGGGGCGACCGAAGGTGCCATCTTCGTTCGTGGCGCACCGAGCGCGAAGGTGGTGAAGATAACTTTAGCTCCTTATAGTTCAACACGTCAGGTTATGCTGCCAATAAAACGTATCGCAATCCACAGATGACGGAAAGCAAATGTCGCGACCTTGACAATTCTCCCGAGAGTAAAACTGGTCGATGTAACGTGATTGAGGAATTCGTGGTGAGATGTGCGGAGACCAGGAAGAAAGGAACAGCAATGATGAAGGGACGAGCCAAGCCGTCAGTCGCGCCGGGATGGCAAATGGAATTTCGTCGGAGGAGCGCGGCCATTCCACGCGCTCATTGGACACAGGAACGCGCGGGCTCCCTGAGTCAGGTCTGAGTCAGCAATTGGCCAAACAGAACAAACTCAGAGCCAAACACAGCAAACCCAGCACGGAAGACGAGTTTCCCCGCGGTGGGTCACGTTACCCTGGCAAAGGAAAGATCAGAGATCATCTGCACAAGCATCCGCCGGTGCTGTCGGGAATCATCCATTCTGTTGTCAACTGTCTGTCATCCTCTCAGTTTGTCTGAACCTTGAGCCTTCACCCCACCCGCTGGATTATCCCTGCAGCTCTTTCCCACTCGTTTGCCACAGAACCTGTCTCTACAAGTCTTCGGTTTCTTTTCTTTTGCCCTTTGGGGGTTCTCCGTCTCTTATTTCCGAAGCACGGTCCAAGTCACCCCTCCTCGTGGTGTTTCAGGGAGACTCTTTTCGCCCAACACTCCCCGCGGGTTGTTATAGCTCGAGACCTCATTATGGATTCCATGAGGTCGCTAAATACCTCACTTCCGAGCTCGACTCCTCGCCCGCAGCCTCCGGAGCAGCTTCTGCAGTCCTTCAAGACCGCCGCGTTGTCCGTCACCAACCTTTATAAGAATGCTGTCTTTGAGCAAGCCCAGGCGAAACAAGCTGGATATCATGAAGCAATTGAAGATTTGCTGCAATTCTTAGACAGAGAGAATTTGGGACTCGGTGACGGAGAAGGGTGGCGGGTTCGTCAATGGGCCACGGAACGAATGGATGGCCCGCTGAGTGACGAAGATGATGCCGAAAAGCAAGCTCGAGGCTCCCCGTATACTGCGCCTCGAAAGGCAAATGCCGAGCCGGTCACAACAAAACCTCAACCGAAGCCCGCTCCGTCCTCCGACCACGAACCAGTTACCACGCCACAACAGCCAGCTCAACAGCCGCCGGCAGTTTCGTCCCATGTCCCCGACAGCAACCCCCCTGACCGATCGGCCGTATTCACCTTTACAGCTGGGCCGTCCTTTCCACCTCAACAGGAACACGATGTCGATATGCAGCCCTCCGATGACTCGGCGCCGTCCAGTCAGGATGAAGCTCCCGTCAGCGTCTCTGTTGTACCCCGAAACTCCCGATCACAGAACCGCCACAGCAATCTATCGAGGCCGAATCCCCGAACCTCCGTACGGGATACCACAGGACTGAGTTCGAAACGAAAGTTCACTGTACCCGACTTCTTCGATTTATCCGGGATGGGAAACAAAGATGTGTTCGGGGGCGGCAAACGCAGCCGCTTCACCTAGAGAATATGGAATCGACGATTGCACGAATTTAATATTCTTTTAGCTACGCAGCGGTTGGTTGTCATTTTCAGTTTTGGATGCATTAGGAGGAGCATTGCATGTGATCACATCTGGTTATAGTTCCTTCTACCCTTGTTACTCTTTTTTCTTTTTTTCTTTTTACTTTTTTACTATACTTCTCCTGGGTCCTCTCGCCTGGTTTATTTATTTGTGTTTTTTTCCTGTTTCTTCTGTTGGGGTGTGTATTAAGCATATAGAGATTACCAGATATGGAGATACCCGGGGAGGCGATTTTGCGGTGTTGAGTCGTATATATTTATATAAGTCATTGCATATACTTTTTTTTTTTTTTTGGGGGGTGCATTGGACAGGCTTCGAAGTTTCCTGGTATTTTCGCTATCAACAAACGCCCTTTACTGTACATGTAGTGTTTTGAGAAAACAAGGTATCAAAACGAGCTTCAGTTGAAAGCTCTCCAAACTCCCATGCCAACAAGCGTTGCAGAGATTGACGCAATGCCGAACCGCCGGGGTCCCATCTTAAATCGTGAGGCGCTCTGCAGGATCATCTTCTCCTGCTTTTGTAGGTTGCTCATGCCCGTATGGTAGCTGTACACGCCGAGGCCAATGAATGCAGCGGAGCCTGATTATATGCACAATGTGTTAGCACATCATGTCCTAATACTGACTCATCACGGCACTTGTGACACAAGTACAGACCTGTAACTCTGCACGCAAGACAATCATCATATGACTCTTCTGCTACGAGACGCTTCGCATCTTTATCTGTGGTGGGTGCCATGGGAGACGGGGTTTCAGAAATGTTTGGGATGCAAAAGCCGTGTGTGTTGGATCCAGTAGAAAGATATAAACTTAAGACCAAATATATGGCTTGAGAACCAGTTACCCAATATGGCGCAAATCGCGAATTAGAAGGTCAATTCGGTCGAATCCATCGGCGCAGATCACTGCCCAAACATCATGCCGGAAATCCACCGAAGGGCGGGATTCGGTGGCAGAATTTGGAGGATGTCAGTGGCTGTTGCGGACGTGCTGTTCCTGTCTCTCCCTCTGAGAGAGTAACAAGACCGACCGGCATGATGAGCGGCGAAATTGACGCGCTCTACATATACGACGAGCTGCAGTTAGTTACGCCCACTGATCTATGTTTCTGCAATCACCTGTGGCTAACTCTGAATGCCCCCTGTTAGCAATCCTCTTGTCGAACAGGTCTATCGCTCCCGTCCGCCCTCCGCCGCGGCGATCCTGCCCCTCTATCAAGCTCATCCGGCTCCACGCCCGTCCCTCCTCTATATACCCGATGCCCTACCTCCGGTGACAGTGTTCTCGATCGTTCAGTCGAATTTACTTTTCATAGCGCTCTCGGAAGTGGATACTGATCCTCTTCTTGCGCTGGAATTCTTGCACCGAGCTGTCGATGTGCTCGAGGAGTTTATTGGAGCACCGTTGCTCTCATCCAAGCTACAAGCAAACTATGATGTGGCGGCGCAGTTGCTCAATGAGATGTGCGATGGTGGGATTGTCTGTAATACGGAGCTAAATGCGCTCCAGGAAGTTGTGCAGATGCCGGGGTGGATGGGGAAGCTGTTAGGTGGGGTTGGACTGGCTGGGTCAGTACTCATCGACTCGAACCGCCCAATCCGTATTGCTGCTCGCTGACTTTTCTCTATGCTTGAAGCTCATCGACACCCATTTTGGGACCCTCCAATATCTCTAAACCATCGGTGTCGCCCGCCAGCGCGAACCTAGGTCCTGCGATCCCGTGGAGAAGGCCCGGAGTACGACATACTTCAAATGAACTATACGTGGATATTGTTGAATCGCTTTCGGTGACGATGGCGCCGTCAGGCCGATTACTGTCCGCTTTGGTGTCGGGGACCATAGTCTTCAACGCTAAGATATCTGGTGTTCCCGAACTACTTCTCTCTTTGACGGCACCCGGCGGTCAGCAGGGCATCGCGCGGAAGGTCGAGCTTCCCGTTTTTCACCCATGTGTCAAGCTTTCAAGGTGGCGGGAACGGCCTGGGGAACTCAGCTTTGTGCCCCCGGACGGTCGGTTTATTCTTGCAGGGTACGAGGTGAACCTTCTCCCAGTGGACCCAACCCTCGACGAACCCCCGAGCCGCATGGAGAAGCTTTTCTTGCCGGCATTTGTCGATATCCGAAAATCACTCGGACCGAGCGGCTCGGACTTTGAGGTCCGGCTCGTGCTCAACACCAACTTCCCAGGGTACTCGTCCTTAAACCGCCCCGGTGCTGGGCGGGCGGGATCTGGGACGTCAACACCTTCATTCCTCGGAGGAGGCGGGAACTCCTCATTACCGGCCCTCGAAGACGTCGTTGTCTCTGTACCCCTCCCAAAATCAGTTCGGAATATAATCGACATGCAAGCTAGCCGCGGAGACGCCATGTTCAATCCAGGAAGTAATACCCTTGAGTGGCGAGTTCCGACCAAGGACGCCGGGACCGTCTCTGGAACCGCAACCCTACGGTGCACAGTCGCAGGCCATCAGACGATGGATGATGATATTGAGGATGACGCGGAAGAAGTCGACACAGAGGCCAATCTTCTCCAAGGCTACTACGACCCCTCTGCGTCCGCCTCTTACCAGGATCCAGATGACACCACGAAACGCAAGACAAAGAAGAAAAAGAAGAAGAAAGGGGTCAAGAAATCGTCCAAAGCGACAGCAGCTTTGGACCCTGACCGTCCGCACTCATCTCCGGATCCATCCCAACCACAGACCCAAAGCTCCACGCCCCACCCTTCATCCCCCGCGCCTCCAATCGCCCCCACTTCATCATCATCATCGCCATTCTCGATCTTCCACACCGCCCCTCGAAAAACCAAATCACAGCTCAAAGCCGGCCTGATGCCCAGCTCTGCTTCCGTATCATTCTCGGTAAAGGGCTGGCTACCCTCAGGAATCAAAATAGACAGCTTGAACATCGATCCGCGTCGGAGTCGTGGGTTAGGGGAGGGGGTGAAGCCATACAAGGGTGTGAAGTATATGTGCGTGAGTCGGAAGGGGGTGGAACGCAGAGTCTAGGGGAATTATGACACCGCGCTTATTTTTTATCTCCCTTGATGTGGAGGATACCTAATCTATTGAACTTGATATAAGAAGATGATAATCAGCAGCTATCGTTGGTATGCCATGAGTAATTATTGTTGCATATTATACATAGACATGACTTCCATATTGTGCGCCAATTTGCGGCCGTGGCGAGATGGGCGTGATTGTCATGGAGAGTATGCGTAGTCTTGAACTCTATATATCATGATAACCCATATAATCCAGGAGGCGAGCGGGAAGGCCAGGCTATTTTCAATTCATCGTAGGCGCCTGGTCGATAATCCTCTTTGATGCTGAGGAATCGGATATGAGTATCAGCCGCTTATATATTGTGACCTGGAGGGGGACACAACTGCATACTTCAACTCTACGACACCACCAAATCGGGCAACATAACGTGAGATTGAGAGAGAGGTATGGGGCAAACAAAACAAATGATTCCTAGGTACTTTTAGGTTTTTCTGCATCATCTTCTAGTGAACCCCCATTAGCTGACTATCCCAGTGTTTGTTCTCCAGTCTATCTAATACTATGAAGGTAAACCCCATCCGAAGGTTCAATACTAAACAAGCCATTCCCTTATTTATACTTGTTTCGATCCGCCTGGTCTGTGTTGGTCAGGTAGACCTCGATCTGTGGAAGGTTAACAACATGGGACAGATGAAAGTGTTACAATTCAGTAACCATAAGCCTGATGGAAGTGGATTTTCCAGATCCCAACTCACCTGATTCGTCATTTTGTGGTCGACATCCTTACAACAGAGACACGCAAAGATCCCAACGATGCCAAACGCCATCGAGACCATCGCGACAACGCTGGAACAGAAGATTTATTAGTTGACAGCGAACAGGGATACACTTGCGTCCGAGGGCCCATATAACTTACAAGACAGCCTTGCAGGTGGCCTCCTTTGAAGCCAAGGTAGCCGCTGCGACAACGTCTGGGCTGAATGAATTGGCAAATTCACTTGATTGCATTGCCGCGATGACGTCGGATACTTTGGACTCGGGGAGACCGGCAGCGATGACAGCTTTGGGCACCAGTCTCGCGGTCCATTTGGTTAGGGTGGTGGTGAAGACTGTGTTATAGATGGTTGTGGCCACTGAAAAGAAAGGTCAGATGTGTTACTGTTTGCTAGATCGACAAGCGAATCTAGATAGGGGGGAGGGAGAAAAGAGAGTTCCTACCGGCACCAGCTGCATAGCGAATTGCGCCGGAGACGCCACCGCTCACACCCAGATTCTTCTGATCCACCCCCATCTGAGTGATGGCGATGCTAAGATATATCCCCCAGCCGAACCCCATCTGGGAGAGGAAGAGAAACGCAATCATGGTCCCCTTATTGGTTGGCGTAGCGAGTCCCAAGAGAGAACCGAATAGAACCATGACAAACACGGCTCCAGTGAGCTGCCACTGCCAATGCCGGATCTTGCTCCCCAAGGTGGAGAGCAAGAACGCACCAAAGGCAATAGCGAGGCCTTGCGGCAGCGTGAGAACAATCGCGTAGCGCCAGTCTGTGCCGCCGTTGGTATAAAGGACTGTGGTCATCTGCGGCCACAAGATGCTGGAGGAGTAATAGAACATGTTTACCACCCCTAGGGCAATGGCCGGGGCAGTGAAATCCCTACCCCATGAGCTTGCAAATATATAGCTGGGGGTTAGTGGGAATTTCACAGGGCCGAATGTCTCCCAGACAGCGAAGCAAATTAAAACGAAAAATCCAACCACGAGTGTTGCAACAACGTGGGGATCTGTGGAGGGATAGACGCCAGCCCAGACAATGCCTAGCAATACTGGAATTGCGCCACCCATGAAAAGGAACCCGCCTGTCCAGCGATTGACTGTCAGCAAAGAGTACTCGTCGTGGATAACGGTATCAGTAAGCATACCGAAATAGTCCAAGGACTTGAAAGCTTCCCTACGAGGAATTCCAGATCTTTTACAAAGAACACTGTCAGTATGTCGTTTGCCAGGAGAGATATGGGGAGAACTTACGGCCGTGCTGGAGGAAAGTACAAGAACAGAAGGCCAAAAAAGGACAGTCCCTGAAAGATGGCCACACTCCAGAAGTTCCATTCCCATGTTCCGTACTCCTGTCCAAACCGTGCTGTTACAGGACCGAGAATGACAGCAATGTAGACAGTGAAGTCTGCAATGACAACACCGATATGACGCCACTTGTTGGGAAGCAGCTCAGGTAAGGCGAATGCGGCCATCTATCGTCCTGTGATTTAGTCCATTGCCCACTGATCCAGACGGGAAGAAAACAGACCTGGCAATTAGCACCCCCGAAGCCAGAAATTGCAAATCCAGCAGTAATCTGGTTGCTGGTTTTTGCCGAGGCCACTACGATGTGGCCTATAGTACATATCTCCAGTACTGTCAGCTCTGGAATACTGTCATTGGCGTAGGGATTCTACCAGATTTCCTCCGACGAGAAACCAACGACGACCAAGCAAGTCTGTGTTTGAGCCACTAGACTATATCAGTTTAACTTCACCAAACAGGTATTTGCTGAAGAATCAACACACAAGAGGAGAAAGGAGCAGGTGATGGCAATCGTCCAAGCCTGATTAGTGGTCACTCCTGTCAGCTTTCCTGAATGGACCTGAAGCAGAATGGATCCGGTCTCACCGGTATATACCACATGTATCCTCCGGGGTCTCCCAGATTAGCCGAGACAGTACCGCCGATGGCCGACATTACCGGAACTGGCCAGAAGGAGAGCCCATATCCGCAGGATAGAATCTATCAGATTACCGGCGTCAGCTTGGCCGCTTGGGTGATACTTGGTTTGTTGAGCAGAACATACACAAGCCACTACCCACGTTTTCAAGGATACAACGGGCTCAATATGGTTCTTTAGATCATTGCCTTGGCCATTTTCGGGATCAGAACTGGGTTTCTCGGACAGACTAGGGGAGTCAGGTTGCAATGTCTGAATTGGAGACCCAGGGCCCTTTGCCGTTTCCGAATCCACTCCCATTTCCCGTCTTGATGCACAAAGTACGGAGAGAAACGAGAACAGGATTCTTTGTTAGAAGAAAAAAATTGTCTGCTTCAGACGATGAAGAGGAGAAATCTACGCCATAAATCGATCACATCGACCAGGGTAAGCTTCTCCCGCTTTAACAAGTCACCACATGGCTAACACCTTTGGCCGCTACGGGGTACTTGTCTTGGCCGCTAATAATAATTTCCCAGGCCGTTAAAAACGGGCGTGCAGACGCCGCAAGGGTTAGAAGCATGAGAGTCCAATAACGCCGACGATCAAGAACATCCTCGTCATGTTTAACCTCACCTAACAGCTAGCGCGATTAGCCCCCATCCAAGAAGTCCTAGATTGGGTCGCCTGGGCGGAGACCCCCACTTCGGTTCTATAACGGGGTAGGTCCGATGTACTTCGTATATATGGATCCTTCGACCGTTGAACTAGAGTTGTGGTAGCGTGTCAACGGCTGTGACACTTTCGATGTGATACGAAGTCGCTGATCGTTTATACCTCATTACATCCCTCTGATCGCGAATAACAATCATGCGCCCCCAAAACCCCAATCCTGAGCAGCCAGCTCGAGTGGCAATCGTGACAGGCGCCACGGTAAGTACTGTCTTGAAATACTGTAGTCTTGCCTCTCTGACAGATTCTGGCTCAGTCTGGAGTCGGCGTCGACATTGCCCGAGACCTCTACCAACGAGGATGGAAGGTCGCCTGCGTCGGTCGTAATAAGGCAGCTGGTCAGGCAGTGGTGGATTCTTTGGGAGACCAAGCACAGTTCTTCCGGGCCGACGTCAGCAACTACCAAAGCCAGGCCTCTGTGTTCAGCGAGGTCTTCAAGCTCTGGGGACGAATTGATGCACTATGCGCGAACGCGGGTGTCGTTGACCAGACATCAGCCTATCTTCTCAGGGAGCGCGAGAACAACCTGGAGGATATCCCCAAGGAGCCAGACACATCCTGCACCGATATCAACTACAAGGGGGTTGTCTACGGGGTTACCTTGGCGACTCACTTCATGCGACACAACAGCCCACATCCTGGTGGGAAGATCGTTGTGACCAGCAGTATCGGGGGCATGTTTCCTCATCCCACCTATCCTCAATACTGTGGATCCAAAGCGGCCGTCAATATGTTTGTTCGGGATGTTGCGCCGATCCTGAAGGCCAAGGACAACATCTTCATCAATTGCATCCTCCCGGGGATGATGGACACCCCTATCGTGCCCCCGGAGATGACTGCAGCTGTGTCGCCCGAATGGTATGTCTCGAATTTCCGAGTTGATCACTCCTAACAGCCGCTTTCTCTAATTAACGTTCTATACAGTTTAACCCCCTTGAAAACCCTAGTCGATGCATATCAAATCTTCCTGGAAGACACTACTGGCATGGCCGGCGAACTGCTGGAATGCTCAGCGGGAAAGCATATCTTTTACTCATCCCCAGAATACGGCAACGGTCATGTCACCAAGCGTGCGGTCACGGTCTGGGAGCCACTCTTTGATATAATGCACGGCGAGAACTCGGGCCTTCCTGACGCGATACCCTGATGGTTGGTTTCTATGGGTTGTATTCTATCTACCTTGTTCTCCTGTCACCTGTCATAGTTTGTGTGCGAAGTACATACTGCAGCAGTTTTATTCAAGAATTTCGATGCTTATCACAACCCAATATCGACATGCTGTTCCTAGCCGGTGGGATTTACAATTGAAGAAAGCGATTGTTTTACAGTGGATACTTCTGGAAGGTCCAAACCGAAAGTGTCGCCAGAGCAGGATACATCATGCCATCATCTCGGGGATATTATGCGCGGAACTTTACACCGGATCTGATAGGAGGAATAGGAAGGAAAATCCCAGGCCGTGCGGATCCTGGCCCCACCAAGGCTTGTGCGTTGTTTCCACTGACTATGGCAGGATGCAGTTTGACAGATAGAGTTCGGGGAGCCGGAAGACCGTTTTAGCTTCTACCCCCCTTCTCAAATAAACAAGGTTTGGGTAGCATTCGCTCTACTGGGTAGGAGACTACTTCCCGCGATTTGATCAATCGACAGCGCCGAGAGAAGGCTGGAGCTAGAGCCTTAATTTGACCTAACGGCTCTGGTGGTGGCGCCGATCGCTGCGCCGTTGAGAAATGGATACATATTGTTTGACTTTGAGTGTGGGTTATGGTTGGTGCTTGTGTTGAGGCGCAAAAGACCTTGACTACTGAAGAAATTGAAAATATCCCCGTCAAGCACAGAGTCCCATTGCTCAGGTTCGTACGGTGGGTCGTGCGCCCTGAGTCAGGTCTCTAGTCCTACACTACCAGTCCCCATAACCAGTACGCAGAGTACCGAAGGGTCAATGCGAAGTCCTCCGAAATTTGATACATAAGCCAACACCAATCTGATCTATCACAATGAGCACCTTCAAAGACGGGACGAAAAAAAAAAAAAAAAAGAACTTCCAAACAATGTGACATGACAGCTCGCGTAGAACGTCCCGAACCGGGATTATCTAGCCATTCAACACAGCCCCCACTTGGTTATCAAGCACAGTCGCCCGCATCACCTCCTCCATCTCAGCATCGCAGTACGCAGGTTGTTCCCGAAAATAGTATTTGGACCCGGAGAGTTCGACCGCACAGCCATATGGCCCCACCACGCGCTTTCCAGTGGCATCGACCATCTCCCCGCCGTCGACCAAAGCGAGGACCACTTCAGCGACCTGAGCCACCGGGATAAAGAGATTGGGTGGAAAGCCGGACCACCCTTGTGCGTCTACTAAATTGGTCTGGACGATCCCGGGACACAAGGCGTTGATTCGAATGCCTTCGCGGAAGCAGGCATTGGCTACTGAGCGCATGAACCCCACCACGCCGTCTGCGCGCCGTCAGCGTTTCTCGTCTTTCAGACAGCCTGGGGACAAGAAAAATGAAGTATAATCCAGAAAAAGGGCAGGATGATATGAGATACCAACTCACATTTCGAGGCAGTATAAAGAGGCGAGTAATGCGAGGGGTACAGCCCCCCACAGCTGGCAGTCATGAGCAGACTAGCGCCGTGTCCGTTGGCGGGGGAGAGGCGGAAGTAGTGGAGAGCGAGGTGGGTCGTGTAGATGGCACCGTTCAGGTTGACCTGGATGGTGCGCAGATCCGGCGGCTGTGGCGCTGTCGCGGCGGGCTGCTTCTTCTCGTAGAAGTTGGTGCGCTCGATGATGCCCGCGTTGGCGAAGACGAAATCCAACCGTCGCCCACTGCTCGTGAATATGTGGTCGAATGTGTTTGCCAGATCGGCGTAGTCGGTGATGTCGGTTTGGTGGTATGTTGTGTTGGGGAGATCTTGGGCCGCTTGCGAACCACGCTGCGCGTCTTGATCGACGATGTGGATGGCCCAGTTGCCTCGATCGGCTAATGCTCTGGCGACGGCGAGGCCGATGCCGCTGGCTGTTATTGTGTCCGTGATCAATTAACATGATTGCTTTTGGTAACGGGTAGACTGGTGCAAGGGTCCAAAGTACTCCATACCTCCACCGGTGATCAACGCGACTTTCATTGCAATTGACAGGTCAGATCATACAAGGTACGTATACGCAAGGATTATGCGAATATGAAATAAGCGTGCAGGAGATTATGAGCCAGGAGTGAACGGGGACAGAAATACCATGGGGGAACGGGGATATATATTAATCTTCCGATATCAGACCCAGAGCGCGTGCTCTATCAATTTGACTAATTACCCCATCAATGCTGAAACCCACTACCATGGACTAGGAGCTGGAACTAGGTAGGCGGGCCAACCCAGCTATGAAAAAAATGATCCACATGGGACGTCTGTAGAGCCCTGGGTGGCGGCGAAGCTGGCGCGCTAAAGACCAATGATGTACTATACGGAGAGGGAAATTGGGAAGAGGCGTCAAGCCTGTGTGATGCCAAGATCTCGAGTTGATGTGTTTATTTTTGATTTCTTTTTTTGGATGTCTGTCAATGAAATCGTACCGCAGGAGTCATATGGTCCTGAAACTATTTGTATAAACAGGGATCATGAGGTCTGTAGCTCTGGGAAGGTGTGGTTAGTTTCGATCACTGAGACTGAAACGTAGATGTAGTAAATATAAGAATATCAGGCAGGCCATGGGTGATGTAGTCTTTGGTCATCAGGAGCCTTTTGATTACAGGAAGCTCTTTCTGGGGCCTGATCATTGCAGCCATGCCGGCAAACAGTCTGCTCATTGAGACATTCACCGAATATGCCATCGGCATGTGTTTCCTCGCTCTGAAGGTATTCACCCGGGTACACAGCTTTGGCATCCGAGGATTGCAGCTGGATGATCTCTTCGCCGTGCTAGCTATGGTATGGCTCGGCTCATGGCTCTGACGCAGACTCTAAGGCTAATATATCAGGAACTACCGCCATTTCAATAGATATTCTGGACCCTAGTCAGCGTCATCATCTTATACCTCCGTATGCTACCATGAATCCTCCGCGTTGGGCACTATTTCACAGTCCCAGTTTTCCGTTTGCGTATTGACCGACCTAGAAAAATATGGCAGCAACATCGCAGACGCCAAAACAGTGGACTCGTTCCCAGATAGCATGGTTCCCAACCTCATCCTGGGCTCCAAGCTCGCCTTCACGAACTGGATCTGGTATTTGAGCTATATCTGGAGTCTCAAGGGTGTTCTTCTGTGTCTTTATCATAAGATGACGTTTGTGATCCTGCCCCATACACCAAAGTGAACAGTACGGTTTGGATCTGGCTGACCAGTGGACGAACCAGTGCCGGAACCCATCGACATCGCACCGTCTATCTTGCTTCGGCGTTTTGCGCCATCACGTATCTAGCCTGTCTGCTGGCTCATATCTGCGTGTGCACTCCGATCACGAAAAACTGGCAAGTTAGGCCGTATCCAGGAGGTTAGTCCAACCTCCTTACCCTTGTCAGACAGAGACGGACAAGAGAGACAAGCGAACTAATTCAATTGATATCAGAAAAATGCACCCTCCGCAAAGACCTCTACGTGGTAATCGCCATCCTAAACGTCGCGTAGGCCTCCTCCCCAAACCCCCTTCCCCCTTTCCCCTTCACAAACCCCCAAAACTAACAAATGACCAACGACAGCTCCGACCTCCTAGTAATGATCATCCCGATCCCCATCCTCCTCAAACTGCAGATCCCACCCGCTCGCAAAATAATCCTCATCATCCTCTTCTGCTCGGGCTTCTTCGTCATGATCAGCACCGTCCTGCGCGCCTACTACTCCATCAAAAGCATCAACACGTTGACCATCGCGCTCGGCTGGGCCGACCGCGAGTGCTTCGTTGCGGCCATCATCGCCTCGCTGCCTGGGATTAAGCCGCTGTTCCGCAACACGAGCTGGTTGGGTTCGGGGGCGCGCTCTGGGAAGCAGGTTAGTGGGGGGAGTTATGGGAGTCGGAGTCGGAGTCGGAGCCGGGGTCGGGTGTTGGGGTCGAGGTTGGGGGGTGCGGGTCAGGGGGGGAATGGGGGTGATAGGGCGTTTCTGGATGGGGATAAGTTTGAGTTGTTGGATAGGCAGGAGAAGGTTGTGGGGAGTGGGAGGGAGGGGTCGGTGGGAGGGAGTACGTTGCGGGGGGGTGGGTTGGGACATGATGGGGGGATTACGGTGACGAGGGAGTTGATTATGGAGGATGATCGGTTTGTTGGGAGGGGTTGATTTGGGTTGGCTTTGGGGGAGGTGATGCTGTACTTGTCTCTGCTTGTCTTGGGATAAAAAATTGGGGGCGTATATAGTGGGAAGATATTGGGTAGGGTTGTATATATGGTGATATAGTTTGATGAACGAGATGTATTCTTGTTCACTTGAATAAAGTTAAGTATACTCTTGGTCAAGATCAATGTTCGTAAAGCCTACCTTCATAGATGTTAGGTATACAAGGCCATTGATAAGCATTACACCTAGCAGATGCATCATCGGTTTACCCTCACCTAAACACGAGCCCTTAAGAGTACACACAGTTGAAGACACCAAAACGAAATCATGATAATACACCAGCGGTCGAACCCAGCTTGATGACATACGAAATTGTAAGCACAAGAGGTCGAAGCCAAGCAGCCACAAATAAGAAAGAAGAAAATATGTATTAACTATTCATTAACCAAACAGTCGTGGAATCACACTAGAGCTTCGAAGCACGGCGCTCAAGAACCTGGAGAACGATGTAGGCCACTGCGCGGGATTAGTTATGAACAAAGAACAGAAAATGTGTGTGATGTAAATGAGTGTATGTCCAATCCAAGGGGTGATTAACATGTAGGTATATATGGGCAATGTAAATGGGGTATAGATGTAATATGTGTAGACCAAGTGGGACACAGAAGAAAGGAAAGGGTCAAAAGAATGGCAAGGTATATATCGGAACGCCGACGATAGAAAAGGTCGGCATGGCCAGTTAAGGCATTTTAGCCCCGGTCTGATGAGCGAAGAGGTAAGGTAAGAATCCCGGTGTTATGACGGCGAGGGGAGTGCATGTGCAAGGGGGACCCATTTCCGCGAAGAACAAAACGAGATCGTTCACTTACCAGCAGCAACGACAGCAGCGCGGCCGGCTCCCGCCTTGGCGCTGCCGCCTCCGAGCGTCAGGAAGTAACGCAGCCAGCCGAGACGGACCTTCTGGCCGTTGCGATCGAAGTCCGGCGTCAGCGCGCTGGCCGCCTGGAACTTGCTGAGCTTGCCCGCGTAGGGCGGGTAGCGGATGGCCAGGATCGATTCGAGCCAGCTGGGGCTGCTGGTGATGGGACGGCGGTGCACGAAGACGTCGAAGCTGGTGCGTCCGCGGTAGGCGCCGTAGCCGCTCTCACCGACACCACCGAAGGGCAGGGTGGGGATGTGCAGCGCCGAGTCGTTGACGGAAGCACCGCCCGAGCGGGTGGTCGCGAGGACTGCGAGAGTTAGCTTTTTCAAGCCTCAAAGTACTGAGCTGATGAAGGGAACGACATACTTCGATCAGTGTCGGCCTTGGAGCCGAACGGGTAGACGCCGAGCGGGGTGGACTGGATGCCGTTGGCAATGTTCACGGCTTCTTCGAGGTTATCCACGGCCATGATAGGCATCAGAGGGCCAAAGCTCTCCGAGATAAGCATGGAGTCATCGGTCGAGTCGACCTGGACCAGGGTGGGCTCGATGAAAAGCTCCTTCTCGTCCATGGTTCCACCCATCAGGATCTTGCCCTTGGAGTTGTCGATCATGGACTTGAGGCGGTGGAAGGCGCCCTCGTTGATGATGCGCGCGTAGTCGGGAGACGCCTTGGCGCCCTCGGGGTAGAACTCCTTGTAGGCCTTCTTGAATTCTTCGACGACGGCGGGCAGGATCGCCTTGTCGACCATGGTGTAGTTGTGCGAGGTGCAGACCTGGCCGGCGTTCAAGCCCTTGCCCCAGAGTAGTCTCCGCGCGACTAGGCGGGGGTTGGCGGTCTTGGTGGCGATGGCCGGGTTGATACCGCCCAATTCGAGCACGACGGGGGTCAGATGCGGAGCGGCGGCCTTGGCAATGATGCGACCGACGGTGGCACCACCGGTGAAGAAGATCTTGTCCCAGCGCTCGGCGAGCAGGGCCTGGGTTTCGGGAATGGCGCCCTGGATGAGGGTGTAGCACGAGGGGTCGAGGGAGGACTCGATGATCCGCTGCATGACGACGGCGCTGTAAGGGGCATTCTCGCTGGGCTTGATGGCCACGGTGTTACCGGCGGCGATGGCACCGAGAACGGGACCCAAGGTGAGTTGGAAGGGGAAGTTGAAGGCGCTGCTCTACATTAGCCTGAGGGTGACAGTGCCAAGAGAGAAGACCATCCATACCCGATCACCAGAACCATACCCAGGGGATCCTTGCGAATCTTGGGGCTCATGAACTTGAAGGTCAAGTCAATATCGGGAGCCTTCTCATCCTTGACCCATTGTTGCAGGTGGCGTGTGATGAAGACGATGTCGTTCAGCAACCATCCGGTCTCGGCGACCTCGGTCTCGAAGCGCGGCTTGCCCAGGTCGAGGGTCAAGGCATCGGCGATTTCCTGCTCATGATCCTTGATCCTATCGAGATTCAATGCGTGTTAGCGCAATGCGACCGATAAATCACCCTTGTAGGAGAGATGGGAGAAGACATACGCCCAGTAGAGCTTGCGAAGCTGGACGAGGCGGAACTCAACGTCGCGGGTCTTGTGCTCCGCGAAGGTCTTGCGCAGAGTCGACACGCGACTCTGAATCTCCTCGATGGGAGTGTATTGAATGGTCGGCAAATCGGAGACAACCATGATGATGGAAACGTGATGCTATTTCCAGGTTGAAGCTGGGAGGTTGGAGGAGAGGGGAAACAAGGAGAAAAAGAATGGAGTGGATGAGAATGGACAGGGAACGAATTAAAGTAGGTAATTAATTAATTGAAAGTAATCCAGAAAGATGAATAATGAGAAGTACGGGGAAATGATCCGGGCTAACCCAACAGCTTTAGCAACCCCAGACGCGCGAGAGAGAATGACGGAGGATGAATCCATCCACATGTTTTTTCTTGGGAGCTGCAAACTTTCCCCTCATCCGTCCTGCTTCAACCGCGGCTCTCCCATTCGAGTTTAGTGGCATTTCTCTGTCGTTTCTCCTGATTGACCAACTTTGTCTAGTCTCCACTTCTCCTCGTCGTCACCACCAATCCCCAGGTCCCTCTCCAGACGATCCTCGCAAGCCATGCTAGTTTGGTCGAGGTGGAGGATTTCCGACCCTCGGGATGATACAAATCCCCCCGAGTCTGGTACCCCCGACGGAGCAGGGTTGTCCCGCAATATCGATCTCGTACGGTCATAGCTCAACAGTAACAATGATGAGGATCATGGAAATATTGGTCACTCTGACCAGAGGCTTGATGAAAATTGCTACAATCTTTTCTGGAGATACGCCACTGTTTTGGATTCTTGACGGAAAGGGGACTCTACATACTGCAGACGACCTCGAATACCAAGCTGTGTCGGCAGATATTCGATCAACCGCGGCACAGGAAGCAATGTACCACCACAGAATGAGTTAGTTTGACAGATCGACATGGCATCACTGTGGGGAAAAGAGAGGCGTTTCATCCAGCGAGAAACAAGAGGCACGGTTGAGGCAGCAATAGACACGATATACTTTCTGCCTGGATATCAGCATACACAGCATATCGATTGTTCCTGCGTATCCTTAAGGCTGCCCCAGATCATCTGTTCTTGATCTCGGGGCTCTGCAAAGGATTTCGTATACACTACTCGGACGTGCTTCTGACCAAGATTTTGCCCAGTTGATGACCGCGGCCGTGTAGCAGCACCACAGTGCAGTTGTCTCGTTCCGCACGAGCAAGAACGTCAACTTTATCATCGGGGAATCGAATGACTTGTGGATGTTCCCAACGGTAACATGCTCGCACCTGTTCTATTTCTTGAATAGTACGACAGGAAAGCCATGTTCTGTTATCCACATATCGTAGGGTCAATTCATATGAACATTATATACAAGAAATAATCTGAAATTATCATATACAAGATTCGATATTATGCGCCTGTCAGACCAATCGTCTCGACACCATCCGTCCCTTCTCAAAACATTTCACAATGTACTGGCCTGTTCAAACATGAAAGCCTCGGTGATCATGGTCCTCTGTCTTTGACAAGCATAAACATGCAGGGTAGGTACCTACTGAGTCAGAAAAATACGGCGGATGTTGGGGTCCAGGGGGTCTGTCAGGATATCATGCCGATGGCCCCTTGATCGGCTATCATTACATCCCATCGCAAAGGGAGAAAAGCTTGCCCTAAGCCTGCATTAGTCCAAGACGGCAGGGGTTCTCTGCGAACCAAAGATTATCATAATCATCAACCTAATATAGTCTGACTGGTCGAAGACGATGAGTGCAATGTTAATGAATTCCTCACTCTTATCATACCCAGCCCCAAGTCAGACATGAGGATGTCGTTATCAAGACAGGATACGGGAAAGACACGAAGTCGAACCAATAGATCAAATGAGCAACAGTCAGCACGGTGAATGAAATTCTGAAACAGAGAGAGAGAACATAATAATCCCCAGGAGGGTCAAAGGCAGCTTCTCTCAGCAAGGAGAATCTGGATCTGTGACAGTGATATCAAACATGCTTAGTAGCTAGTGCAGTAGCATCAGGCACAGAAACGTCATGATATTACATACATAGAAGCGCCGGTGACCATGAGTAATATTACCACACATGATGCCAATGGATTTTCTCTGTCGATTCTCCAGGTCCTCATATCTAGTTGGAAACAAGAGATCTACCAGCCAAGGAATTAGTCTGTAGACCTTAATAATCCATTTCTGACAGTATGCATATCTGCACAGGCTCAGCCTGATATATGAGACATAATCTCCTTGCGTTCTAGCATTTTTCAAGGTTAGACCTGCAGCCTGATTTATTATCCACCCAGAAGAAGGCTTAGAGTGCCCTGCTGCACGTGGTCTGACGTGTGATTTGACAGTCCAAGTCCATCGTGCACAACATTCCCCAACACCGCCTTGCCAGTTCTATATTAGGCACTTGTTTGATCTTCATGGCACAAACTGCATTCCATGCATTCCATGCCTTCCATGCATCGCAAAATGGCCGGGCCCGAGATACGCCTTGCGAGTTCTTCCAATGTCTCAAACGGTCCATATAAAACTATACACAGGATATGAGTGTTCCATCGACTCTATCTCCAACAACCAAAATCAACACCATCGCAACAACACAACGATCGCTATACTAGTCAAGGACCAGCATTGCGGTCCACAAGTCCATACAACATGTCACTCCCCTTCAACCCAGAGTCCTACCGCACGTCATGCGACCGATGTCGCCTCCAAAAACTCCGCTGCGTCCCCTCATTCGACAGCGACTGGCCCAGCGCATGCCAGCGGTGCACGCGCGCCAAAGCCCCCTGCGTCTACGGCCGACGGGCTCGCAGCGGCCGACGACCCAAGAAGCCCGACAGCCCGAGCGAAGAAGAAGCCCTGACACCGTCGTCGGGTCTCTCTTACCCGGTAATGGGCCATGTGGATCCAATCGCGGACCCGTTCGGTGATCTCCCGCTAGACGGGGCCCCGACGGAGAACCTACGATTTTGCGCTGCGGATGACGGTCTAGATCTGCCGATGCATGAGCGTTTTCCCGTGGCCGCGCAGGAAGACTGGTGGTCTGCATCTTCTGCGTCATCTCAGGCCGGGCCTGAAAAGGTAGAAGCGGCTGATCTGCTGGACCAACCGATGCGTTTGGATCCCTGCGCCCAAGAATACATGGGAGAAGCATTCGACACATCCAGCACACAAAAGACCACACCACGAAGCTCACACGACACGATGATCGACACCCCACCATCCTCCCCCCAGATAAACAACCTCACCTCCCTGCTCAGCGCAACAACCACCTACGCACGCCACCTCCACCACCATCGGCAAAAGAATAGCACCAACCTCCTCATCATCCAAGACTACCCCATCAGCGAAGCCGCGCGCCTCGCCCAATGGCTCTGGAAAACCCTCCTATTCCGGCACCGTGCCGAACGCCAGAGAAGGCGCTCCGGGCACGCTGAACCACCCACCGACACGCCGTCGCTCTTCATGGCGCTGTCCTGCTACATCTCGCTAGTGAGTATCTACGATACGCTGCGCGGCGATCTCCAGCCGGTGTTGGCAGCACTTCCGCTGGTGATACCGTCGCCGGCTGAGCTGCAGCGGGCGCTGCAGGTGGGTGAGCTGCCTTTGACTAGCGAGGGAACTGTGCGGATCCTTGATGCAGTGAGGGCGTTGCTTGATGCGTTGGATGCTGTTGAGGATGGGTTTTGTATTGTAAGGGATGCGTGTGGGCTTTAGTATTAGATAGAGCTTAACCTCAACCTGTCAGCGGGAAAATTCATTTTTTGTGATGTACTTTGACGGGAGTTGTGCGGGGTTTTAGACGGGGGCTTTATGGAGTGCAATTACAGTGGAAATTACATGGATCCTATTATCATCTTGGGAACACCTATCTTTTCTCTGATTGTGCTAGGGCGATATATAGATTTGTACAGCCATACTAAAGAAGAATTATTTGTTACTGGCCCAAACTCGAGTCTATATTTAAACTCTGGTTTCGTTCCAACTGATATTATTTCAAGTGCTTAGCTACCGGTTCAACCTCACAAGCTGTACTCGCTCCAAATCCGAACTAGATGTATATTGAACTGAAAATCTCAAATTCAGCGCGTCCCTTTAACCCCAGTTTTCATCATTTTTCTACCCAAAAAAGCTAAAAAGGAAAACGTGCGAAGATCAGACCAGACGAGGGTCAGGAATCATAACAAGAAAAGAAAGAAAAGGAGAAAATCCAAAAGCTAAGTTTTCAAAACCGCTTGCAACCGTTCGCCTAATTGACTAGACGATCATTTGTCTTTCAGGTCCTGGGTCGTCAAGGCGTTGAAGAACGTCTCGTACGGGGTTGTGGTGCCGAGGGAGCGGCGCTGGTGCGCGTTCAGGAAATCCAACCCGTAGACGAAACTGGCGTTGACCCAGCCGAATCTGAAATTCTGTTAGCAAAATGTCGTGAGAGAGAGGGAGAATGGGACATACCCCTCGCGTGGTGCACCCTTGAAATCGACACCCTGGTTTCCATACTCTGCGTCCACCCTGTGCGGATCAATGGGCCGCGTGACGTCATACTTCTCCACAACTACACCGTTGAAGTCGACGAACGCCTTCGTGATCATGTATAACCACTTGTACGCGAGACGCTCTGCTTCCTCCCGATATCCATACCGGAGGAGACCCGTCCACGCGAGCATCTGCTGCGGGGCCCATCCGTACGGGTAATCCCACTGGCGGTTGGGACGTTCGATGCCGACCGGTCCCCGAGACTCTTCCGTCCCCGAGACTAACCCGCCGTAGGCCTCGAAGCGGGGGAGGCCCTTCCTGACGAGGTCGGCGGCCTGTTGCGGCGTGGCGAGACCAGCCCACATCGCCCAGAAGGTCGTGGCGGACTCGTACGAGGTGCGCTCCCTCTTGACCGTGTCGTAGTCGAAGTACATCCCCTTCTCTTCGTCCCACATGTAGGAGTCCATGCGCATCTTGCGGCGTCGCGCCCGACGGTCCCACACGGACGAGGACTCATACTCGATGTCTTTGCTCTGCGGGGTGCGAAATTCGTGCGGGATGTCGAGTCGGTCTTTGAAGTAGGTCCGGATGCATCGGGCGATGTCGACTTCGTATTTATATAAGAGGGAGTTCAAGTCGACCGTGCCGAGATTGGCACACACCCGCTCCAGCCGGTAGCTGGTGTCGTGGCCGGACTCCCGGACCGCTCGGTCGTGCAGGAAATATTCGTCGAGTTCCGGCTCGACGACCTCGCGATGGTTGTATGCCTCGACAAATTCCTTGAACCCCATGCCATGCTTTTCGGCGTACGGCGTCAGGATATGGGTGAAATGCGACGGCTCCGTCTCCGGGGGTACGCCCCACCCCTCGGGTCGGTACCGGGACAGCCCCGACACCGGATCATATCGCGGCTCGGCGGCCCAGATACTGTAATACTCCTTGATCGCAGCCAGGGTTGCGTTTCGAAGAAATTCTAGTGCGTCGGGCTCCCCCTTAATCCGCTCATACACTCGCAATGCCATGTCGGTCAGGAAAGGCGGCTGGGACCGGGTAAGGTAGTATGACCGGTTGGCATTCAAGATCTTCGCGTAGTGCTTGATCTCGAAGCAGAAGTTGACTACCATGGCTTTGGCCAGGTCCACACGATCGCTGACCAACAGGCCGAGGGACACCATGTAACTGTCCCACCCGTACAGCTCGTTGAACCGGCCACCCGGGACGACAAACGGGACGCCGGAATACTCGGTCTTCTTGGTGGACTCGTTAAACTTCTTCTCCATGGCCAGCGCGAGCAGACCAGGCTTGTCATTGAGATCCTTGACATATTCAGGAGTGATATCTTCCAGCAGCTGGACGTCTAAGCGCAGGTCTGGGTGCGCCTCGGCGATCCCTTTGTAGTACTCGAATTGTTCAGGAGCTCCCGGTGGGATGTAGATCCGCGGACGGGGGTCGTCCGTCCAGTCCTTGGGGTCGCGACCAGCCACCTCGATGTTGGAGCCATCGATACGCCGGGTTAGGGCGTTCCAAAACGAGTTCTTGATCAGACGCGAGAGACGGGAGACGGGGTTCTCACTCAACCGCGCCTCGTCCAACACCACAGTCTTCCTCCCGTAGTCCTTGGCGATGGTCAATTCCTGCAACAGATTTGAGAGCATGTACGTTCCCCGCACGTCGAATCGATTGTATCCGGATGACTTGACGGTTCCTAGGGAGAAGACCTAAAATAATCAGCACGGACACCAAGAGTCCGGGGCCGTGTCCTCGAAACAGGTATAACGTACCTTGGGCCCCACATCCTCGATTGTAATTTGCATGTTGTTGTCGGTATCCTCCCGCTGCAACAGACTGTGAAGGGTTTCATCAACGTCGATTAAGAATTTACGGGGTTCGGCGGGCTGCTCGTCTGTTCGGCACATGGTCAGTGGATGTATCTCCACAGGTCTGGGGCTTCGACGACGCACCATGACTGCCTCTTCTCGACGGGACCCCGCCGATAAAGTCCTGAAGATCCTCCCGGTTGAATGGTTTCATGGTCTGCAGTGTCGGGGCGGCCCCGATTGAATTAGTCTACCGTCCCTTTGTCATTCTCGGATGTGCAACCTACCGTGGAATAAGCACGCCTACGGTCTTTGATGTGGGCCAAGGCATCCGGGTCGCCATAATAAACGTCCGGATTCGAGAACGGGTCGAGGGAGGTGACCCGCCGATGGTTGGGCTGGGACGAACTCATCGTCTAGGCGGGGGGGAGATAACGACGAACGACGGAAATGAGGAATAAGCCGGAGAATCCGAGTGACAATCACGATAGAAATGAACACCAGGATAGCTGGTTCAATTGAAACGGAGCGAAACCAATAATTGCGGGGTGGCTTGCTGTCGGTCGAAGTGTGGAACGTTCGAAAATTGTCAGAGGTAGAACAGGTCGTGTGAGATTGATCAGAAGAAAAAGTGCTAAGTATATCCAAGAAGATAAAAGGGATGAGATCAAGAAGAAGATGAGCAAAAGCGGAAGTACTTGGAGAAGAAAGAGGAAAGAAAAAGACGTTGAGAAGAAAGAATGAAGAATGAAGAATGAAGAATGGCCACCGCCGGAGTAGATTAACGGATTCGTTCACTAAACCGTAAGTGGGCTGCAGCTACGTCACTCCCGACCGGGTTACTTTTTCCTCGTCGGCTTTTCTGTCTTGCTTGTCTGCGAGCAGACTAGCGGTGTACAAAAGACCCAAATCCAGCGAAATCAACGGCACAAAATCTCGTATTGTCCATTTTGGTCCTAAACTTTGAAGTATTATCCCATATTGGAGAGGCTTCGTTCGATACTTTGGGGATCATGAGAGGGAGAGCAGACCGTCTAGGCCTACATCCCACCACTAGTTTCGCGATGATGTCGCCGCTCCACATCAATTGCGATCCATGATTATTATAGGCCGATAACGGACCAGGCACGCTTCCCTTCATAATGACGATTGATCGTCGGGCCTTATCTGTGGTCAAGATACGGGTTTTGGGGCGTATTTTGTCGGAACATAAAGCGTATTGTTCATGTATGCTGCAGGACGATTGAGCCCTGCCCAAGCCATGTATTCCTTTGGGCATCGATCCAAGATAGTTTTATCCTTCCGGGGAAGCGACTTATCAGACGCCATAGATGCAGATATCATATAGTGGGGTCGAAACAGCAATTGCGAGCTTGCCCACCCCCACAGAGGGTCCGTCTTTCCAAGCCAGCGCCACCTAGTCTACGTCAAGTAGGCAAAGACAAGTCGGATTCAATAATGTCGACAAGTTGAAACGCCCAGGAAACTCCTAAAGAGAGCCGTACTTGAATAGCCCCGACCAGTGTCACTAGAGAACATGACAGTCTTCGCGGGGTGTAGTCACTAGGGCATCTTCACCCGTGCCCTAAGCACTCATCCCTGTCAGTCGATCAGGATAGAGAAAAGCACGGTCGCATCTCTTAACAGTATGTATACTCTATATTCGTACTTGGATCAAGGATACTCACCCGGACTACTTTCTAGAACCTTCCACAATTCGAGTGAGGGATTTACAAGTGCAACCTGGCGAAGCCGACGTCTCTCTACTCTAAATCTAAACGGGGACACGAGAATCAATAAAGTCTTCTAGAAAGATGCGGAGAAGTTACAGGAACACAAAGAAGACCGACATCCTGCAATATACATGAACAACCCTCCCCATCCAGAGAAACCTGCACGGCCTTCCAGCCGTTGAGTGTGACCTGGTCAGGAGTATATGAAGCCATTCATACAATTGGCCCCCGCTTAATCCGGTGCGACCAACCGCTGAGATGTGACGTTGATTGTGCCGCACAATCCACAGCAGATGTTGTACGAACGGGAGATACAGAGTTTAGGCCTGCTCGTGATGAGATCAGGCGTGAGTTCTGGATGCACATGGCTACGTTAAGATGTTAAAGTGAGACAACCTTAATCTCCGAGCACGTATCGGAGAATAGATGACATGGCGGAACCCGATAGAGTTGTATTGCGGCCTACTTGGCGGGGTGGAGTAATGTCTGCCATCATGTCGTTATGCGCTTTTAGAAGGGCTTGGATTTCTATGAGTGACTTCTTGGCTTTTCGGGGAGTACACCATTGTGCGAATCTACCAGTCGGTATGTGTTTCTAGAAGGGTGGCGTTTTTCGAGTCATTTCTGAGCTCTGGGAAGGACGTTGCAGTGGGGGGGGGGGGCTCTTCCCTTCGTGAAAGTCATATAAAATTGGGAATGGCCAGAAACCCCGACATGTGTTGAGTGCCTTCTTGTCTAAGTTTGAAAGCACAAAATTTTATATCCCCAACCCAGACGTTATGAATTGGAGCTCTCTTCTCAATATAGCGCTCGTTTTGGCGCACGCCCTTCCCACCTCAGGGCTTCCAACCCCGGACTCTGATCTAGTCATTGATCAGGATGAACCCAAGTATGTTTTTGCTCATTTCATGGTAAGCAGAAGACTCTCGACCCAGCCAACATAAACTGCTTATACGAGCATCACAACAGGTCGGAATTGTCGAAAACTACCAACTCTCCGACTGGATCGAGGACATGAAGATCGCACAATCCATCGGCATCGACGGCTTCGCGCTCAATTGCGCCAGCATCGACAAGTACACGCCGACGCAGCTGGCCCTCGCCTACCAAGCCGCCGAGCAAACCAACTTCACCGTCTTCATCTCCTTCGACTTCGCCTACTGGACCAACGGCGACACCGCCCAGATCACGGATTACATGAAGAAGTACGCGTCGCACCCGGCCCAGACGCAGTACAAGGGCGGTGCGCTGGTGAGTACTTTCGTCGGCGACAGTTTCGACTGGCGCCCCGTCAAGCAGAACACTCCACATGCGATCCACGCCGTGCCGCATCTGCAGGACCCTGCGGGGGTCTCGGAGGATGCGAGCCGCGGCAGGGACGGAGCGTTCTCGTGGTATGCTTGGCCGACGGATGGGGGGAATAGTATCATTCCCGGGCCGATGACTACGATTTGGGATGATAAGTATGTGAAGAACCTTCGGGGGGCGACTTATATGGCTCGTGAGTATTTTCTCCTCCTGCTTTACTATACTACCTATTGGCTTTTCGTCAGTGAACTGACAAATGTATAGCCGTTTCACCATGGTTCTCAACGCATTTCAACACCAAAAACTGGGTCTTTATCTGCGAGAATCTCCCGACCCTCCGATGGGAGCAGATGCTTGCTATAAAACCCAGCCTGGTCGAGATTGTCTCATGGAATGGTGAGTACACACTCCCTACCCCCCGATTATCCTGCACCATTGAACCTCCTGTTCGGAAGCTAACATTAGCATAACAGACTACGGCGAATCGCACCATATCGGCCCCTACTCCGCGCACCACAGCGATGACGGCTCTTCCCAATGGGCCGTCGACATGCCCCACGACGCCTGGCGCGACCTATACAAGCCATACATCGCAGCCTACAAATCAGGCGCCTCTTCCCCAACAGTCGATATCGAGGAGATCGTCTACTGGTATCGGCCGACTCCGAAGGGCGTGACCTGCAGCGGGGACAGCCTTGGCGCGCCGAACGGCATCAGTATGCTGAGCGATAGTATCTTCGTGGCGACTATGCTGAAGACCCCGGCTACGTTGACGGTGACGAGCGGGTCGAATGCGCCTGTCAGTGTCGAGGTCCCTGCGGGGATTGTTACGTCGAGTATCCCCATGGGCGTGGGAGAGCAGTCGTTTTCGGTGACGAGGGATGGGCAGAAGGTCTTGGATGGGAAGGGTGGGCTGGTTGTGAAGGATACTTGCAAGTATTATAACTTTAACGTTTATGTGGGGGCTATTACGAAGTAGATATCTTCGTATGTCTAGTTGATGGTATATAGTTTTGAGTCTATTGAGTTATATATGGATCAAATGGTGCTGTAGAGAAGAAACTATGCACACCGAAATGGAAAACTCTATGCTTCGGAATTAGGGCAAGTATATACACAGCACTGACTAGCATCCTCGATCTTCAGACTATGTAGACAAGAGGAGGCAGCACTGTATCCAACATCACTGCAGAAAAGGAAACTACCTCGTATGCCAAGTAGGTGCTCAATCAACCGTCAGCAGCTGCTCAACAAACCCCCCAAACCCCCCCTCCACATCATGCGCATGGATCTCCAAAATCCAATGCCTGCGCATCCCATCCTTCCCAACAGAATTCAACGGCTCATGATTCCCCTCCGTAATATACAAACTAATCTTATCATTGGGGATCCTCTCATGCGGAAAGTCACCCACCACATGGCCAGCGATATGCGATCCAAACGTATACCCCACTTTCTCAACCTCCTCTCTCGCAATCGCGTACAGCTCCGCACCCGTGATATCGTCCGCGCGCTGCCTATACCGGTCTCGAACAGTTATCCAGACGGGCATGAGCGAGTCGCGCAGCTTAATCTTGGCAGGGTCATCGCCCAGCACGTAGGTGCGGCCAAAGTCAGCTTCCCAATCAGCGAAGACGGGGCCGAGGTCGATGACAAGGATGTCGTTTGATTGGAGCGTGCGGTCGGGTGGGTTGTCTGCGAAGGGGCGGAGGGTGTTGGGTCCGCTGCGGATGAGTCGCTTGTGCCAGTGGGTGCGGACGTTATGTTTTGAGGCGCCGAGGGCGTGGATCTCTTTGCTGAGGGCGGTTTCGGTTGTGCCGGGGCGGATGAGGTCTTGGATGGAGGTGAAGAAGGTTATGGCTTGGGATTCGGCGGTGCGGAGGGAGGTGGCGCGGGTGGTTTCTGTTTGGGTGGTGGTCATTTTGGGTGGATTCACTTTTCTATATTGGTTGGATTTATTTTGAGAAGGGCTTCGTGATTTGGATGTGATTTGAAATGGATTGATTTGGAGTCGAGATGAGGGGAAATATATATGAGGGGTGGATCCAATTGATTGGTTACGGGTGTGGGGATCGCTTTTGACCTAATATTGGAGCATGGAACAGTCTCCAGTATCTCATGGTACCTAATCAAGCTCTATGAAAGTGATACTACAACAACAGTCGGACGGTCTACTACTGCGTATGATACCGCTTCACCTTCAGAGGGACATCCGCCTGGCAGCTCTGGGTCCTATCTCCCCGCAATGTGGCCGACACCTGATCATCTTCGACGAGACGATCCGAAGGAAGAAGAATAGCCCGGTCCACCTGGTACGGTAAGCCTCGGTGCCGCCCGCGAATCATCATGAGGCAGACGACGACCTTGCTGAAGACGTTGAGTTGCCCGCTAAGGGAGGTTGATGCACCGGGATAGCCGAGGCTGAGGCCGACGTTTCCGCTGTTCTTTTTTTCAGTACTTGGTTATTAGTATTGATTGGGAACGAGTGGAAAACTCACTATGCGGAGACGACTTCGAAGAATATGGCAAACACTGAGAATCCCTATCATATATGTCAGTCTGAAACTAACGGTTGGATGGTGAGAGGAAGTTTACCGGTTCGTTCGGATCCATGATGCGCCCTGATTCGGAAATACATAAAACAAAGATGCCCAGAAAGATATACCATAGGTCGAAGGAGAGCTGGTTCTGCATGTGCGCAAGCACGTATTTGGTGCCGCTGTTCTCGTCGAGGTCGTGCACGGTCTCATACACACCCACCGTGCGCTCCTCGTAAATGTTGGAGGCGCGCACGCTAATTGCGATCGGAAAGATGGAGATGTACATCATCACAAGCAGACTCAACTGCACGGCCGGGTTGACATCCGCCAGGTTGAACGAGGCGGTACCTGTGTGTCGAGCCGACGCAGACTGGAATATGGCGGCCACGACGCGCGATCCACCGGGGAGATCGCTGACGACTGGATTGTTGAGGTCGAGTACGACAATGAAGAGCACATCGATGAAGTTCATGGCGAAGATGATGCCGAAGAGGATCCAGGTGGGCTTGCTACGGAATAGCAGTGTGTAGCAGCGACGGGGGTAGCGAAGGAGGAAATTGAGGGACTCCTTCATGGACGACCCTTCGGGGGCCAATTTATACATTACCCATACGATGAGGCGGAGAACGCAGGGGTAGAGCGTGTTTCCGGCGTAGGCGAGAAAGCTCATGATCAGCATGGGAAAGGTTGCATCTCGGAAAGAAACCATGGAGTCGGGGGTGAGCGTGAAGCCGAGATTGTCTACCATGGTTTGGGCCGAATAAAAGCCCCTTTTGACATGTTAATATAGTCTTGCGTGGTGTCAAATCGACGGACAGACATACCACCATATGCTTCCCTGTCCGCAATCCTCCAGGTAGTCTCTGTATTTAGGATCTGCGTGTCTAATCCAGCCGACCAGGCATATGGCGCCCAAAATGTGTAGCCCAAAAAATAATCCTGAGTTCATGTTAGCGTTGCTCTCTCGCGAGCGTTGTCGGCTTACCGATCACAATCTTTAGCAACAGCTTCAGGCTGCGGTACTCAATCCCACCTAGCTGTTCCCTGTCTTCCTCGGTGAGGTTGTGAAATTGGGAGTTTCGACCAACCGTTGCCTGTGATGACAATCCGGGGAGGTTGGAGTCCTTGGCAAGTGAGATGGATTTCGCCAGTCGTGGTTGATAGTCGGGCTGCACTCCCGGCGCGAGCATAGACGACGCGGCCATTCTCAACGAGGGCCCATTGACCCCGATGCCATGGGCCAGTCTGCGACGAAGGTCGGGTCCTAATTCCTCCTTGATTTCCAGATCATCTGCATCAAATGATTAGCTCTACTTGCTGCTCTTTGCACTAAAGTGTGCTGTCATGACTTACCAGCAACGCTGGGAGCGTCGACCTCTCGTATAGTTTGTCCTGTGTCTGTAAGTTTCGACCCTCGAGCGGAGAGTGAGAGGCTCACCTCTTTCTTGCTCGCGGGGAGACGGGATGTACAGGGCTTTAGGACCATCCGCGAAAGAGACATGCAGATTAGCAGCATTATCTTCAGCTGCGCTGGGGTCCGGGGTTTTCGTAGCGCTGTTGTTTGGCAAATTAGTAGCGCTCACACTGACATCCTCGGATGAACACAACATACTCAAGCCGATTGTTCGCATCAGTGTCGATATGTTCTTTTGCCGCTGGCTGGACACTACCAAGTTGTGCTTCTTGATCAATTTGGTCGTTATTTCTTTCCAGAGTTTGTGCACGAGCAGACAGTGACCTCGGTGCTACGCATCATCAGTGAGCCGCAGACACCCTGTACAGCCCAGCAAGTGATAGATACCTATCGCTTTCAGGCGCTTCCCAAACCAGTACAGTCGGACGACCACTACTATGATATTGATAAACCCCAGGTTAGAGATCATGGGAACAAAATATATGAACACCTGCTGGTAGGTCTTGAGGCTTTTGACATCCACGCTATGTATGTTAGCCGTGGTCAATATCCATATACCACACGATAAAACATACGTATTGATCCCCGACTCGGTAGCCGCACTGACGCCAAAGAAGTATGCATCGACGGCATGCAAGTTCCCATATGGATAAAGAATGACCAGTCCCAAGAGACCAAGGAGTATAATGTATGCATCTGCATTTGTTAGTCTGGCATTCAGCATGCAGGGGGCATTCAAAAGGAACAGACAATGCAGAGTAAGGAAGTTGACTGGCGGCTTCCACATTCTTGGTCCAATGGCGCTCCCGTCCTTGTCGAAAAAAAGACGCAGTCTGTCAGGGTTATAAAATATAGCTGTGGGTCAAAGCGTGAGGCTATCTCGAAAAGGCATGAAATAGGGTTCCCGGTTTTGAAGTTCTAGCGAACAGAGGGAACCGTGGTCATCACCGTTATGGCTGCGGGATTTATTCACACCAATGCCCGTGATGATCTTTGATGTGGAAAAGAAGGCAGCCAGCTGATATATACGAGGGAATAATCGGGTCCAACCGTTCCCCTACGGCTGCGGTCTTGGGCGCTCACTCGATCCGGCCAATTTTCATCTCCCTCATCAAGCCGCCTTCGTATCTTCATCGTTCTGTTTTCCACTTAGTTCCGGGAAATTGGTACCAGACCCATGATAAGCTTAGCAGTCCATGGTCGATCAAGCCCAGACTGACTCATCCGTGGTGATCAACAGCGCGCCACATCGCCATCACCATCGCCCAGATGCGGCATCCAACGCCATCCCAGCAGGGTCGAGGTCTAATTTAAGGTTACAGAGTGGGGCCTGACCGGGATTTGTGGAGGCCGCGAGTCTGAAATCTCGTACTGTTCAGACCCAATGGTGACGTCCGTGTACTATGGGCCGCGTATACGCCCTGATAAAGCAAGCAAGCAAGCTCTACCCAAAGCGTGAAGTCTTCAGTCCACATGACCACCCTCATCTTGGCTTCCAAGCCGGTGGCGGTCCGTGCCGCCCATTGTGACCCAAGTTTCACTCGAGGGGCTATGCCGTCTTTGTTCAGAAGCCACGCGAGAATCGACATATGTGTAGTGCCAGTGAAGGCTGAAACGTAGCTAATAGTAGAAGACTCTGCCCATGGTCGTTCTTAAGTCTCGGCGAACCCGTGTACCGGGATGACGATGGCGCCATCGGTTCCTTGGATCTCGTATCAATGTTTGCCAAGTTATCTAAGCTTCACCCTTATTCATCCTTAATGATATGTGGGAAAGAGATGCGGAAAGGGAGCTGAGCCCAACCACCCACTTTGACTCAGGAATCTGCCGAGTCGAAAGACGATCCTCCGGCCTTAGAGAAAGTATTGACCGCAAAATTGAAGAGACATCATCTGGTTCGCCAGGATCCAAAGGCGGAATCCCTCTTTTCCTCGTGCCTTTGCACGTACGTTCAAATCCATTGCTTCCATGCTTGATATTTTCTCAAGAGCAGTCCCTCGGCTTTTCATTTCTGTGCAGGTCATCCATATTTCCTATCATTAAGTCAGCAATAAGCCCGGCGTACGAACCCGCTGTCTAGTCAAGTCATCTTCATAAGCAAGGGAGCTTTCAAATACTGGTCTTTGGATCATGATTGAACATACTGGACTGCGAGCGAGAGCTGTCCCGATACTGCTTGAGCACCCTGTTCCACGATCCACTCTTCGCAACAGGGAGCCTCACCCTTACTTGGCTAGTAACCAGACAAATGCGGTTGCTATTAGTTTCTTAAATATTGAGTCTATTCCAGACGGGCATTATCATATATACGCCCGTGTTTGATGATTTGTGAAGCTTCACCAGTCTGAAAAGCAGGTCAATATCACTAAGTTTGAGCCGGCCTACATAATTTGACTGCTATGTATCTGTAAATTGTCTATCTCGGGCCAGCCACGTCTTTGAGTATGTTCCATCGCCGAGTTTGTGGAATACCTGATAGCGATTATGGGAATGATCCCAACCGTGCCGTGGTGATACCCACATCCTCATAGAATACCATCCTCTACATTCTCAATAGAACCTTCCAGAACACACGGTGGGTTTACCGTCAAATCTAATTATGTGAGCACTGGGGAAGAACACACGAGGGAGCTGACAATGCCATGATGAAAAGCTTGATTTCTATGGCACAGGAGATGCAAGTGGGCATAACGGATTAACCAGCGAGAGCAATGAGTTGCTCATTTTTCTCATCGTACTGACATGATCTTATCCGGAGATCTAGCAGTGTATAAATATCATCTGTCGGCTCAACCCGTGTTCAAAAAGAACGCCATACAGTTGTCGACAATTGAGGTCGGATGACAGTAAAGAGCGCACAGGCTGATCATAGATCGGGAATCGGATATGGGTTAGACTAGGATTGATAAAGTATATATATAGGCTCTGACTCGGTACAGTTATGTATATTTGTCTTTTACTTCTTACATTCTATTTTTGTCTTTTCTATCATCCCAAATTTGCTCCATATTAACTAACCGATCTATTCCAATTGTAATAATATGACAGCTGTGGGAGGAGTGAATGCGACAGCTCAAAACGTTGGCCCACCACCTGACCGTGAAGCATGCATGCCATGTCACCAGCATCGTCAGCTTTCACTCTTTACACACTCATCATTGTCATCAAGTTATCCACTACTGCGTTTGTTTACTCTAAAACAACGGCCAATGAATGCATTGCCCCTCCATAATTCTTCAAGGTAGCTTTAGATATATTACTTCTACGCCCGTGGACACCATTCTAGCCCTAATCTGGCACTGAATGAATCGACATGATCAAACATGTCACCCAGGTGGCCATCGCGAACCAACGTGTCGACCAAGTGTATATCACGACATTGCACCGGATAAATATCCGAAGTTGGGGCTACAGGATGAACCAACTAATCACGAAGCGTGTTGGTATCCGAACTCCGACAATAAGTGGGGGGAGATCTACGCCTGCCTTTTTGGGATCCTACACAGCAGTCTCAGTTGCGTTCTCTTTCCCCCTCAATCGTCTTTTACTTCTTTACATGTTGTTCTCTTTCTTTTCTCTCCCAGACACTGTCTTTGTTATTGGTTTTTCCCTTTCTTTATTCCCATCAAATACGCTTCTGCATATCTAAGATGCGAAACGAGCATTGGTCCTTCTCTTGCGCATCCGTTGATCACCATAATTGATACCGCCCATTGGCGAAACATATGATCATTGACGACTATTGTTTGATGTCTACTTAGGCTACCTGCCTTGTATATGCAATTGTTCGGCACTATTCGATGTTCATTGGTGTCCGTCCACTAGCCATCGCATCATCACTGGACCAAAGCGACCTCGGCTAAACTATTGCTGGTCGGGCCGACGAGCTGATGAGCACCATGGTATCGGACCCCGAGAAACAGGCCAATGCTGGAATTCGACGGCCGGATGCGATTTCCCCACCGCTGGACGATCCGAGGGTAATAGACATAGATCATGATTTACGCTCTGCCAACTCCATCCCCTTCGAAGGCAAGGAGGGAGAATATGCTCCGAGTTACGACCAAGATCGAGAGGACACGGCGGTGGTGGTACCACGCTCACAACGCAGGGGCCTTTTCGGCCAGTACACACTGCTGGCAGAAGTGGAGGACCCGAAAACCTATACGCGCCGGAAGAAATGGTTCATAACTTTCATTGTCGCCGTAGCCGGCTCGACAGCCCCCATGGGAAGCTCGATCTTCTTTCGTAAGTTAGTCGCCTGTGCAAGCTTCTTGCTTCTGACTGTTTCGCAGCCTCTCTTTCCCAAGTATCCCGCGAGCTAAACACCACCACGACGATCACGAACCTGTCAATCTCGTTGTACATGCTCAGCATGTCTATCTTTCCCCTCTGGTGGTCCTCTTTTAGTGAGCGTTTGGGCCGACGAACTATCTATCTGGTATCATTCTGTCTGTTCGTTTTATTCAACTCGCTCTCGGCCATCTCAGACTCCATCTCTATGCTCATTGTTATGCGAATGTTGAGCGGGGGAGCATCGGCGTCGGTGCAGGCCGTGGGAGCCGGTACTATTGCGGACCTGTGGGACACGCATGAACGAGGTCGGGCTATGGGCATATTCTATCTCGGCCCACTGTGTGGTCCGTTGCTGGCACCGATAGTTGGCGGTGCATTGGCCCAGCGATGGCGCTGGCGAAGCACGCTGTGGTTCCTAGCTGCATACGGGGCTATCGTTGTGATTTTCATTTTTGTCGCTCTTCCGGAGACGTTGGTGGTCGCGAAGGCCGCCCAACCCGAGCCGACCGACGACCAAGAGGCTCCCTTGGAGCACCGCCTCAGCCGGATATCCTCCCGTCAGGTGGTCCGCTCTACGACACGGTGGTTGAAGGTCCTTAAAATGGTCTTTATCGATCCGCTAAAGATTGTGCTATATTTACGATACCCGCCGGTTCTCTTGACCGTATACTATGCCAGCATCACGTTTGGGTCACTGTACGTGTTGAATGTCAGTGTTGAGCACACGTTTGGGAGCAGCCCCTACAACTACTCAACGATCATCGTCGGTCTGTTATACATTCCAAATTCCCTAGGCTATATTGCGGCCAGCTGTTTCGGCGGGCGGTGGATGGACAATATTATGAAACGGGAAGCCAAAAAGGCGGAACGGTACGATGAGAAGGGGAAATTGATCTATTATCCCGAAGATCGGATGCGCGAGAATGCGTGGTTGGGGGCAATGCTCTACCCAGCGGCGTTGCTGTGGTATGGGTGGACAGCGGACAGAGGTATATATTGGTTGGCGCCGGTATGTTTCCCTTTTTTCCATGTTTCTTTACTCCCTCACTTAATTTGCTCCACTTTCTAACGTATGGAGCATGATAGATGGTTGCCAATGTGTTCTTTGGGGTTGGATCCATGTTAATCTTCAGTATGGTCACGACCATGCTGACTGAGTTCATGCCGAAAAAGTCGTCCGCTGGGGTAGCATTGAACAACTTTATGCGGAACATCTTCTCGTGCGTGGGGTCATTAGTGACGGCGCCTATCATTGATGCCATTGGTAACGGCTGGTTGTTTACCATTTTGGGTCTGTTGGCATTTGCGAGCAGCTCGGTATTGTTCGTGATGAGGATATATGGACCACGTTGGAGGAAGTCGATGGAAGCGCTTCGGACTTGACGCATGGGTTGTCCATTCTTTATCCATGTCTATCATCGTATCTTACGATGCAGACCCATGTTGGGGAAACTCATTGATGACCGCGATGCAGTATCTTTAACGAATGCTAACGAAGTCGTGATGGTGCAATAGAATTAATGTCATCCTTTCATAGATCAAGTAACAAATCTCGGTATAATCTGCCAGTACATAAATCAAGGTCCCTGGTCCGAAAGGAATGAGATGGGAATTCAGCTCCATGTGCGTTCACTGGGCGTCCCTTACTTCTTTTACTTGAAAAGGCCGTTAACATGATTGTAAGTCAGCATGCGACAGAGCAGTAGGAAATTTTCTGCAGCATTATCTCCATTCCCAAGCATTCAGGGGAGTATCTATCTAATATCACAGTATTCTATAATATACATTGGATTAGGACCAGCCCTGTATCAAATAATATCTGCAAATGGACGTTTCCTAGACGTTAAGCTGCCCTCTTGCCAAGGTCCTACAGACTGGGGAGAAGGCTGGATAGATTCGCTATACACCGGCTTTACCACGACCTCCCTCGGCCAGTCCGGTTTCTGCTTCGGGTGGTCAGATAAAGCGCGGAAGCGGTCCGCCCCGATGACCACATTGACCTTTTTGTTTTTTTTTTTTTCAGCTCCGACATGTATTCCTTGGCTTCGTTGACCTTTGCGTCCCATTTCCGGACAGCGACGTGCTTCTGGTACTCGGGCCTCGGCTTCTCGACCTGCAACGTGTACGGCGACCTGACACTGATGGTTTCAATGGTCAGGGTCGCGGCTAGCGGCTGGAGTCGGGCTGCGACGTGTTGTCTCCGGGGCGCCGCCATGGTGGATTATGTCACTCTCCGAAGGGGTTCATTGAGGAATTCCCGGAGAAGGTCACAGTCCAAGCAGGTGCAACCAACTGGGAGTAGCTCATCCCACTGAAGTGGGCGCCCGGGTGGCCCGCGCACGTAATTGTTGAGGTACTGGTCGAGGACGGTCTTCACGAAATCGGTTTCGTAGGGTTGATGTGGAATCTCGGGTTCAAAACTAACCAGTCACATAGGTATATGAGAAATTGGGGTAGGGCATAGTCAAACGCGGTGGACTTTTTGTCCTCCGGGAGTTGTCTTGCATGCTTGATCAGCGCGCTGTAGATGGGTTGGGTGTCGTCAATCAACTGTCTGTAACCACTGTGTTTGGACTATGATGGAGAGCCTCGTAATCTAAGAAAATGTCGCCCTTGATCTTCATTCCCTCCACGACTATGCTGTCCGAAGTGTCAATCACCCGGGAGAGACTGGCCCTGGGAACTTGACCACATGGGATAAGTGATCTAGTGGAGTGACAAGCATCATCATCCGACTCAGATGCCTCTTCTACAAAGGTCGCCAGGAACATTCCCATCCCCTCTATATCACATGCTTTCTGCAGGCCTGCTACTTGCGCTTTTTCGAAACCTTCAAGCCGGTCAAAACTCAAGTCACTTTCCAGGTATTGGTGATTTAAGATATGCAACCGGGCTGTTGGGCAATCGCGAAGCATCCAATTGTACCCTTGCGCTGTCGCGCGTTTGTCCCATTCTCCAAATAGAGGGACAAGTTGTTCCCAGAGACACTTGACGCCCAGCAGAGCTGCCGAGGCGGCATGATACAGGTTGTAGCACACTACAATCCTATAACCGGAGGTCCTGGATCACGTCCGTATAGCATATGGCATCTGTCATTCTGTATGCCGAACGACTGGCGGTCTTGAAAGTGGCCGATTTCCCTTTCCATGTAGCAATCACATCACCGCCTTCATTTTTTGACGGAAGACAGACAGACAAAGTCCCAAACATGCCACTGTCCTCCTTGGAGACCGAATGAGGTACGGGCATGGCACCATTCTCGTCGATGAAAATTTTGTGCGGCCTTATCTCGACCTCACTCGCACGAGCACTCAGCTCTAATTTGGAAAGCGCCTTGGTAAGCAACACTTGCAACTCAGTCTTCCAGGCGGGATTCGTCAAGGTGAACCAATCCGCATCTAACTCCTAGCTCGTTGGAGCGTGGGCCTCACATGTGGTTTTCAGGGTTTCGAACTCCGCCCTGGGACGACTGGGCAGTAATGAGAGCTCTTGCGTCGCGTGGGGAGATCGGCAGACCAATAGGTCCGATACCTTTCACCTCCAGTCCAGGAAGGACAAAAATATCCCTATCCTCAACATTCAAAAAGGGACCTTGTAGTTGGAGAGGGTCCAAGACCTTGCAAATGGCGATTTTTTAGCTCATCTCCCCGGTCCAGCCGACTTCCGTGAGGATTCGGCCGTCCAATACTGGTTGTTCCGGTGATCTTTATCAAAGGTGACTAGTAGAGATTGGACAATTAAGATGTCCTATGGCAATAGCTCATTCGGCTAATTGTTCTGGTATAGCATGGTGAGGATTCCAATGCCCCCCAAGAGCCCGCGGCGCGTCCGAAACGCCAACTCCCGTTACTTACTAGACCACATTGGGAATCAATTATGTCCAACCAGGTCCGCGTAGATCCACAAAAGATTGCATCAGCGATTTATTTTGAATCAACGTACGTGATAAGTCTACGAAGATTGAACAAGTTGATTCAGTTCTATTGGATCTATCGAGTATATAGATTTTTTTTTTCTCCACCGTTGATTGGCTGTAGACGTCGACCCGAGAATCACACCCGGCCCGCTGCTTGTGTACCGTGTGATTATGAGGCGTCCGTGGCCGTAGCAGGGATTGGGATAGAATCCGGCCTTCTGCGAATTAAAACCCCTAGGGTCAACGAAGGGCTGGTAGGCGTTGTCTAACTCCCTGCTTGAAGAGGGGTTATCCGGAGTCATGCCATCCGCATCCCTAGATGAGGCACGGAGACAAATTGCGTTTGCCATTGTATGCCGTGTACAAGTCGATATGGCAACGACAGAGTGATGCCGAGGACGATCAGATAGCCTTCAATGCTGCGTTCGTACTGGCATGACGCCATGTTGACGGGGACCTTTGCCACTGTCCGTGATGAGGCATCTGGTGAACTGGATTCTGTTCCCCCACTTGTAAGAACAATTCAACCCAGATCAAGGCTAGAAGCCTGGAAAGAGAAAGAAGTCCATCGATCGTCCGTCGGGTCCAACAGGGAGGGGTATCAATTGTTGGTGCATGACATGGCGCCCATTCACCGACTGCCAAAACAGCGACCGCCTCACTTTTCGGACTATTAGGCGGTTTCCACTGGTCCGTCACCCACTTGTTTGACTCCCATCTGGATGATCTCCTGTCGTACCCTGCCAGGGACCAATTCGGCGAGTCATCCGTCGGGTTATTTCGGGCTTCTGATGGGCATCAACTAGGAAGCCACGGAGTATAATGGGAGGATTATTGATTCCATCGCGCCTTCCATAGTAGAACTGGGAACAAAAGGACCAAAATGACCAAACACGACAAAATCCCCCATCGTCCCGCCCTAACCCGATCGGGCGATCCCATGATCGGCGGATGATTTGTCTCCCAGTGGAGCCCAAAGTCCTTCCTTCTTCTCTCTTATTTTCCATTATCATTCGATAGACTGCGATAGAACTATGGGCTCGATACCCTCATCTCCTTCCCCGTGGGCGTGACTGATGCAGATGCGGTGAACGCCTACTGTACTCTCCGAAGCGTTCGTTACTGTAGCAATCATTCCTCTCCAACCCTCTTAGTCCTAGGAGGTCCTGGTTGGCTCCATTGAACCTTCGCCCTAGTCTGACGCCGGGGGACCCAGTCTCAACTCCACTGAGCCTGCATCTTCTTTGCTGCCGCTGCCCGCAAGTGGCGTTGGGCACAAATCCCAAAAATATTCTCCTTCGTCAACGACGGTCAGAGCCATGCTCACTCCGATGCCATGGCACCACCAAAGCCGTGGTTTAGATACGGGGACTTTTGTCCTACCATCGCCATGATGGTGTGGAAGGTGGCGAGCGCACCTTATTTTGATCTAGATCTTGGTCCGTGTCTCATGGGATGCTGTCGGGCCTGTCATTGATACATAGAATTTGGCGCACACTGCCCAAATGGTCGGCCCATACGCTAGATGCAACCCTAATGCAGCCATTTTGGACTCTGTTTTGTCACGCATGGATTTACCAACGGAGCAATCGGCCCTTTTCAGACAGAGAGCACAGGAGAGCGCCGTCGGGGTTGGAAGCCCCCAAAGAAAAAAAACAATGGAAGGCAAAGGGATCAGCGTTTTTGGCTATTTTCCTCTGCCCCAGTGATGCTTCCCGAAATGGGCCATCTATCCACCTTTGTCCACCAGGACCCCCATGGCCGTGAGACGTGGTCCAATGGGATTCCATGTCGTTGGGCAGTTCGTCAATGACGTTCCCAGTTCTCACCCGAGCGAGACGGGAGCTCGATTGTCCATCCCACTGGGTTCTCCGCGAACCACGATACGTCGCCTTGCATCGATCCTCAGGAGGGGTTTTTATGTTGTTGGCGGACCGCTGGCCTATGCTGATACTCCCTTCCCCCTCTCCTTTCTCTCATAGATCGGTCATCGGCTCAAACCTGACCCTTCACAGCTCTCCTCGTTTCACAGCCCCGTCTATTCTTACTTGACTTCCCGCATCGCATCATCTGCCCAGTCCCTGTCGATATCCGAACAGGGCGTTTCCATAATTTGCCAATTGATTTCTATATATTGACTTGTCCACCTCCTTCCACTGGTCCCTTGAACTGTCGCCAAGCCGGTGATTCGATGTTATGGCTAATAAAAAGGGAAAGAAGAAGAAGAACAACAACAACAACAATAAAAGGCTTCCTGTAAACGACAACCAATTGTCCAATCCAGAGCAGACCTCAACCGACTCCTCCCCGGCGACGGCGGTTGAAGCTGGTGAAAATGGCCTCCCCTGTCCAGTACGCACAACTTCCCACGTTCCAGTATCAGTCTTTTGAGCGTCATTACCAGACCTTTGATCGCTCTACTCTCAAATATTCTTTCTATCCTGTTGCTGCTGCGTCTTCTTCGGACCCTCTGACGACGCCTAAGGACCAGAACAACAACCCCCCTGACGCAGAACCTACTGCTGCCCCGGAAGCTGCCCCGGAGGAAAGTCCTAGTGATTCTCCGGCGGAACCCTCACCTCCAGAGACTAGTGGTATGTTATTGTTTAATTCTACAACCGCTCTCTCTATTTAATCCTGTATTTTCATTGCTCGAGTCGTGCTAAGTATTATAAAGAATCGACCGATGCGGCAGAACCCGCGGAAGAACCGCCCGCAGATGCTCCCTCAGATCCCCCGGCAGAAGCAACTGAAAGTCCAGCCGATGCCGCACCGGAAACTAATGGCGAAGGTGAAAATCCTCCACTAGAACGCGACAGTGCTGGCCTAGATTCGAATCCAACAGAAGAGGGCACCGTCGATGAGACGAAAGACGAACCTCCGGTAGAAGATACGAATGTAGGGGAAGAATCACCCCCGGAAAAAGACTCAACCACTGCCCCCGAAACAGACGCACCGCAAGATGATACTCCTGAGGACGCTGCCGCTCCAGCAGATCCAGCTCCGACAGAAGAGTCCGCCCCCGCGGTAGAATCGCCAGAAGAATCTGCTCCAGCTGAGGAACCTGCTTCTACAGAAGCGGCTGCTGGGGCTGACGATCCTGCCCCGACCGAGGACCCTGTTTCAGCTGAAGATCCCGCTTCGGCAGACGATCCAGCTCCCGCAGAAGAAGGCGTGGAGGCGGTCCCGGCAGAAGAATCCACCCCGGTGGAACAACCCGCCAAAGAGCCTGCCCCAGCTGAGGAGCCTGCTGCAGCGCAAGAGCCCGCTCCGGCAGAAGATCCCGCCCCCACCGAAGAGCCCATTCCGGCTGAAGATCCTGCTCCGGCAGATCCTGTTTCAACCGAAGACCATACTCCAGCCGAGGATCCTTCTCCGACGGAAGAGCCTGGTCCCGCCGAGGATCCGTCTGCTGTCGAGCAGCCCGCTCCAGCAGAAGAACCTGCGGAAGAGGCTGCTGCAGCCGAAGAGCCCGCCCCGACAGAAGAACCCGCAGAAGATCCTACTCCGACTAAGGATCCTACTGTAGTCGAGGAGTCCGCACCAGCAGAAAAGCTTGAAGAAGAGGCAGCAGTGGCGGAAGAGCCGGCTCCTACAGAAGAGCCCGCCCCCGCAGAAGAAGCGACAGAAGATCCCGCTCCGGCAGAAGAACCCGCCGACGAACCTGTTCCATCCGAAGACCCTGCTCCCGCAGAAGAGGCCCCTCCTGAAGAAAAACCTGTCGAGAAGGAAGAGCCTGCAGAAGATCCTGCTGCGGCGGAAGCGTCTGCTCCACCAGAAGAGCCGGTTCCCGAAGAATCCGCTCCGGCGGCAGAAGTCACAGAAGAGAACGCGCCTGCAGAAGAGCCTACTCCAGCAGAGAATCCTGCTCCAGCTGAAGAACCCGCTCCGGCAAAGGATCCCGCTTCAGCTGAGGACCCTACTCCAGCTGAAGAACCCGCTCCGGCAGAGGAAGCTGCGGAGGAGCCGGCTGCTGCGGAAGAGCCTACTCCGATCAACGACCCAGCTCCCGTGGAAGAACCCGCAGAACCCGAAGAGGCCCCAAATTTGGCAGAAGAATCTACGCCGGCGGACGAGCCCACTCCGGCAGATGTCTCAGCAGACACACCCCAGGACGATGTGCCCGATGATTCTGCCGCCGCCGCAAACCTAGAAACGGGCGAAAGTATGGATGGGGCCAGTTATGGTACGCCTATATATTTAATCCGCTCACAAATTCAACTGACCTTACACTCAGACGATGAATTTCCAGAATGTGATCCTTCCGCAGAATCCGATAAAGTCGAAGCCGAAAAGGCAGAAGCCGAGAGACAAGCTGTCGAGGACGCTAAGGCGGAAGAGGAAGCATTAGCAAGGGCGCAAGATGTAGTTGACCTTGAAATAGAAACCGATATAGAGCCGGCCGATGCTGCACCTGCACCCGAAACTGATGCTATGGACGATGCGCCACATGACGAGCCGGCCCGCGAAGCGGTAGATGAAACCGTACCTGAGATAGCTACCGAGAAGTCTCCTGTGGAGGAAGACTCGCCTAAGGAGGAGTTAGTCGAAGAGCCAACACCGGCTGAAGCACTAAACGACGCTCCTCCGGCAGAGGAAATTCCAAAGGACGGAGTTGATGAGGCGAAGTCCGAGGTGGAGCCGGCTGCAGAGCCTGAAATTATCGAACCACCGGCCGAGGAAGCTGCTCCTGAAGAGCCTGTTGATCCTACGGAGTCTGTGGCCGAGGAACCCACAGCTATCGAAGAACCTGCACCTGCCGAAGAACCTGCACCCGCCGAAGAACCTGCACCTGCCGAAGAACCTGCACCCGCCGAAGAACCTGCACCCGCCGAAGAACCTGCACCCGCTGAAGAACCTGCACCTGCCGAAGAACCTGCACCCGCTGACGAGACACCTGCCGTAGAGGCTGTCAGTCCAGAATTCGACGAGAATTCAGCCCCTCGTGAAGAGGCTCTTCCTGTTGAAGATCCCGATATGGCCGAAGAAGTCTCACCCGAAGGATCCCCCGCGGCAAGGGAAGTTTCAGAAGATCTGTCCGAAGAATCACTGGAGGATCCTGAACCTGCCGTGTCATCCGGAGATGGCATTCCGTTCGAAACTACAGCAGTCTTGGGTTCAGCAGGCGCAGCGGTCGCAGCAGCGGCAGGCCCCGAACTGGCTAAGTCTAGCAGAAAGAAGAAGAGACGCTCTCCTGAATCGGGACGCGAGCATGAACTTGAACGTCACGGATATGAGCGCGGGTTTGAACTCGGATTCGAGCGAGGTCTTGAACAGCTTCGTGAACGTGAACGGGAACGCGGCCTGGGTGGACATGAACGCAGCCATGAGCGTGAACGTGAACGTGGCCATAGCAGACATGAACGTGGACATGAACGTGGACATGAACGTGGACACGACCGCGAGCGTGATCGCGAGCGTGGACGTGGGCGCGAGGAGCAGCAAGTTCAAGTTCAACGCCAAAAGAGCGAACGTGGTAACATCCTAAAGAACCGCTGGACAACAGCGCTCGAAGAAGCGAAACGGCAACACGACCTCAAGCTCCGCCAAGAAGAGAAGATGGTTCGCCGCGAATCCCGAACAGGCGAGCATGACAAGCGCGACCGTGCAAAACGCTCTGATGGCTCCTCTCGAGACAATGAAAATAGGTCACGCCACCATACCTCGGAAAAGTCGGACAGCAACGAGCGCGAGCGAGAGCACGCAGGTCCCAAGCCAAAAGCTTTCCTCAAATACATGACAGCCGGCAAATCAGACACCAACGGACCCCTTCTCATGGTAAATGGCACTAGGGCCGCCGAATATGTCTCGGAAAAGTACAGGCGTTCTTCCACGAGCCCCCGTCATTCGAACGGAGACCGAACGCCCAGTGAACGTTCCGGTGGATCTTACCACTATGACGAGGACCGGCAGGCCCGCCGCGAATACCGAGCCCGCAAGAAGGCCGAAGCCGAAGAGCAAGAGCGACAGCAGGTGGAGCAGGAACGGCAGCGTCAGGAGGCGGAGGCGGAGGCGGCGGAGGCGGCGGAGCAAGCGAAAATCCGCGCATCCAGGGAGGAAGCAGGCCATCGGCGTCATCGCCACAGCAGCGAGCGACACAACGGCGAGCGCCCAAGTGGTGAGGCTCGTCGGCGTCACCATAAACGACGGGAGCCGTCACCTCCGGCGCGGAAACCGTCGAAGCTCAAGTCGCTTATCAAGTCTGCGATTCCTGCTTATTAGTGATGAGGAGTATACGATATTGTTTGATACTGTTTTGTTTTTTTCGTTAGCTTTTTTTTCTTTCTTCCTCTTTTTTTTTTTTTGTTTCAATCTCCCATTCTTTTTCGGGGTACTTACAACTATTCTCCGGTGTGGCTTTATCAACGTTTGAGCGCCGAAAGAAAAAGTACTGGGTGGATTGATCAGCATTTTGTGAGAAGCGATTGCGGCATTGATGGTGTTTCATCTACTTCTGTTTACATGTTCATGTTGGTATACATTTTGTTCTTGTCTATATGTTTATATACGCTGTCGCTTGTGAAAGATGACTCTTAGCCATTTATTCTTTGGTCCCTGTCCATTACGACTTCAATTGCTTCTGTATCAACATACCTTGCACCATTATACACTACTCTAGAGAGGATACATGACTCTACTCCACAATGTCACAGCCCAACATCCTATAATCCCACATAAACCTCAAATCGTAACATTGCGTATGTATATCTAACAAACAAACAAACAAACAAGCACCCAAATCAAACAACAGGCACAGCCATACCATCACCCCGCTGATCACTTCCAGCACTATACACCAACTGCCCATCATCATGATGCACACGAATAATCTGTCCCCGACCGAACCGGCCCCGCGCCCACCCACTCAACACCTCCACACTATGACCCAATTTCCTTAATCCCTCAACAGCCTGCTCACTAATACCCTCCTCCACCCAAACGGTGCGATCAACAGGGTGTCCAATCTCCGGCGTGCCCGCCGCGATGCAGATTCTAGGCGAGTCAAGCGCCGCCTGCGGGTGGTAGCCGAAGGCGAGCATATTCAGCAACACCTGGACATGGCCCTGAGGCTGCATGAAGCCGCCCATGACGCCGTAGACGGAGTGGAGGGAACCGTCGGAGACGTTGGTGACCATCGCGGGGATGATAGTGTGGTAGGGGCGTTTGCGGGGCGCGAGTGCGTTGGGATGACCCGGGCTGAGGGAGAAGTTGGCACCGCGGTTCTGCAGCGTGAAGCCGCAGCCCTTGGGGATGATGGCGGAGCCGAAGCCCTCGTAGTTGCTGTTGATGAAGGAGATGCCGTTGCCGAGGTGGTCGGTGACGGCGAAGTAGACGGTGTCGCAGTGTTGGTGGGCGGGGCTGCCGTGGTCGGGGATGTCGGCGGCGGCGGCGTCCGGGCGGAAGAGCTTGGCGCGCTCGGCGAGGTAGGCTGGGTCGAGGAGGCCTTGTTGGGGCACCTTTTCGACGTCCGGGTCCGTCACGTACCAGCAGGCGTCGGCGAAGGCGATGCGTAGGCTTTCGATGATCGCGTGGAGGTATTCCGCGGAGTTGTGCTGCTCGGGCGTGAATTTGGGAATTTGCCCGCTTTGTTCGAGCTGCTCGAGGATGCCGAGGGCCATTAGGGCGACGATGCCTTGGCCGTTGGGGGGGTGCTCCCAGATTTGCACGCCTTGGTTGGTCTCGGCGTCTGTGCCGGCGGATTGCTTCTGGACGATGTCTTGGCCGGTGAACTTAAGGCTCATGGCTTCGGTGTCCTGGCTGCCGGTCTCGGCGTGGTGTTTGAGGTCCTCGAGAGAGAGGTAGCCTCCGCGAGACTGGACCACCTTCACCAGCTCCTCGGCGACACGTCCCTCGTAGAAGCCCTTCTTTCCCTCCGTGGCGAGGGCCCGGAAGGTTCGCGCCAAGTTGGGGTTCTTCATGATCTCGCCAGCCCGGGGACTGCGGCATCCATTCTTGGCCTTGCTGTCGGCCTTGAGCATCTCCGCGAAGTTAGGAGACGAGTTGCGGAGGAGGTCTTCGCCATCATTCCACTGTGGTTGTGTTGATGTCAGTTATCTACGGCGGAAACGGAACTGAGAAGATGGGAGAATTGTCACTTACGAAGGACGCAGACAGTTCGGAGACAGGGAACCCCTCCTCGCCCAGCTCGATGGCAGGAAGCAAAATCTGCTCCAGTGACACTTTCCCGCTACCGAATCGCTGCACGGTATCGACCCAACCGGCCGCCGCACCGGGCGTGGTCACCGCATGGACGCTTCTCATGGGGATAGCGCCCACATCATTCGGGCCGACATTCAAATCCTTGCGAACCTGCTCCAAGGTCGCCTTGCCGGCCGATCGGCCGGACCCGTTGAGCGAGTGGACTTTCTTCGTCTTAGCGTCGTAGTAGAGACAGAACATATCACCGCCGATACCGGTTGAGGCGGGCTCAGTCATATTCAATGCAGCGGCTGTCTCTAGTTAGTGGGGATGTTACCCCGCGGGGGCTAAGTGGTACATGCCTACTGCCACTGCAGCGTCCTGTGAGGGGTTAGCTTGAGAGATTCACGAGGCAAGGACTGTTCGGCCATACAGCTGCATTTCCGCCTTCTTTCAGAATTCGTTGACCCGCCGCAGCTGCGAGCGGTTGTGAGCATGTTACGATGCCCTTGGTGCTGTGGACGGTGCTTCTCCGGCTAGTGAAAGGCACCAGATCGGCTTGCGATCGGGCGTAGACCGCTTGTGAATTCAGAGGCATGGTGAAGTGAAGTTGGATAGTGGTTCAAACAGACAAACAACAGTATCTACAAAAAAAAAAAGAGACAAATTCAATGGGTATCGCGGGGAGAGGGAATGTTATAAGAAGGCGCCATGGACCCCACTGATCTCAATAGATCTTGAGTAATTGCCTCGGACGTCCGGGGTCACTAGAAGGCCGGAGTGGGTACCGGTACCGCTGGTTGGTACTTGGTACTGGGTGCATGCGATTTGATTCGTTACTCGGGGAGAATAATACTCGTAATTTACCCCAATGATGACTCCACGCTATGATTATCGGCCGACATGTAGGAAAAGTCCGACTTTCCTATAGCAAGTATATAGGCAAGGAGATTCGATTTGTTCATCATACTCGGTATAGATCGTAGTATGAAGTTCTTTAATTCGGAATTCGGTGTGGATTTCCCTGTGCAAGAACGATACGACTTGGTTGGAGCTGATGGCTGGGCCAGACCATTCAATACGATAACCCCTCGTGCTCGAGGGATTATCCAGAAGCTGCAGGAGCACGGATATGCTCTTCACAGTATGCATACATGTTGAGCCGTTTTCATTTGAAATCATCATCCGTATCCATGCCAAACACGGAGAGCTCGACTCGGGCTCTGATGGACGTTCGAATGAAGTACGATGACTCCATCTGCCACCGCATAGACAATACAGACTGGCTCCTGTGAAGATTTCAAATCGTGATGTTCCTGTATTTCAAAGTATATGATCTCGAAGAAAAGTCAGAACGTTGATGACTGGGTCCCTGGCGGGTTTCTTGACTACGTGATGATATATAGACCAGAGGGGACAGCTCTTCGGAGGGGTGTTAACCTGGCTTGATATCGTCGACAGCTCCAGCTCTCAGAAGTGTCAAAGCACATGCCTGCCAGTCAACGTTAATTTAGTGTCTACATGGCATGACCTCACCCCGCATAGAATGTCAGAAGTCCGCCTGTGGACCTGGACGCAACAATGCAATCTTCGGAGAAATCAGAACATGGGTGTTTTCCCTTCGTCTTGGTTGGTGAATCCAATTGACGCTCTCTAGACGTTATACGATTGACTTGCAAGACATTCAGTGGAAGACATCATCCTGTAGTGACAACAAGTGTGTAAGTGGGGTCGATTCCAAGAGACTTGTAATGATATTCGAGATGTATTCAGGTAGACGGATGTACAGAGAAACTCCGACTCGGAATCTCCCCGATGACACGCTAGGCCGGATTGGGGAATTACCCATGTGACAGTCAGCTGACGGTGAGTCAACTGTATGATCATGTGATAGAATATCATGTGACTGAGGGGGACATCGCTGATCGATAAGATAGACAGAAGCGGAGCAAACGTCATGGTGAGATGTCCATTGCAGCCAAGAACTGGAGAACTGGAATCATCTCGAGCCAAAAGAAAGATATCTGTAGGTTCCATGTACTTCCCCCTCCTTAATCGGAGCTAATTCCGCTCCTGGACCCGGATCTAGACAGATTTCTTCCCCCGCATCATCCGACTGGACTGACCATTGTATCGACAGAGTGACTTCGTTCAATACAAAACCATGGACTTGCCGGGTTAACCACGTTATTCTTAGGTTCTTGGCTCTTATTGTTTCTTGTGGTTTTCTATCATTGTCTCTAGCGCACTGTGACCGCGTCCCTACGCTGAAACAATGGTCGTGTTTGTGGATTTAGAGAACGATGGGCTCGACCAGGACCACTTCGTGGAGAACCCACACGCTCTATTCCATCCATTTCCTGGGTCCAAAAATCCAGCAGTGGGCTACGCCTACTCCACTTCTGCAGCGGAGCATACGGATCGGGCACTCGAATCTCCAGAGTCCCGGGCTATGGCAGACCAACCGGCTCTGAACCAGAGCAGCTTTGCAGCTGCTCTCAGCTGCTATCCGTACGCATGCGAATGTAGAGGCTCGATTGTCTTACTGACTCAACATCAGGATCGTCAAGGAGATTGCCCGTGCGGTGGACTCGAATACCATGCACGCACTCTCCCGGACATGTCGTCGATTTCACGCGAGTCTGGGCCCGTACCGCCAACAGCTGTCCAATATGACTCTGCGCTGCGAAAACGAACGCATGGAGACGACATTGGACGTCGATCCCCAGGTGAGGGTGGCGGCCGGTTCGGCCGGTCTCAGACGCGGCAAGTGTGCTCGGGATATGGTGGCCGAGTGTCGAAAGTGCTCGAAGGTCGTTTGTCGGGTGTGTTGTCGACTCCCCTTGTTCCCATGGCCTTGCGTCTGTCGTCCACCAGTCTATGGATATGAAGACACCAAAAACATTCTGTATTGGAAAATGCTAACAAACTAGAACTGCGCCGCCAAACCGGCCACGAACATCATGCTCAAAAGACGCATCCGGCGTCTCTGCACGACCTGTCTCACGGCCCCGCTACCGCAACTTCAACCACCGGCCTCCTCATGTTCCACGCAATCGGCCGTTCAGCGCAACATCTGCACCTGCAAAGTCTCCATATGGCTCTGCCAACCATGCGGCCGGCGGCTGAGCAGCGACGGTCTCATCTACCGGCAGATGTGGAGCTGGCGCGTCGGGACATGCGTTAGTGGGGAATGGCAAGGATTGAGGTGTTGGCGAGGCAAACACTGTCTGGCGGCGCAGGACGTCGAACTGGGGATGGGGTGCGACTCGCACGACTCGCTCACCGGCCTTATGATTCCATCCCACGGTCGAAACGTTGCAGACTCACCCAACGAGGAATCGTGGGAGCACTTCCGGCAGGACACCGTCGGGATCCGCCTTCGCCTTTTGGCGTCTTACGGCGAGGAAGGGGCGGAGGACCTCCTGCGGCACATCTTTGAGCACGGCGGGCCCATCGATCACACGGCGAAGAAAAAGCGCATGACGGTGGGGGCATACGCCAAGGATCACGAGGATGAGCGCCGAACGGGCGAATATCTCATGCGGGAGGAGGCAGATCTGGACCGCGCATGGTGCAACTGGTGCTCGCGAGTGATTCCATCACAGCAGGATTTGAATTGTCTATAGGGACTTTGGGCAAAATAACGTATGTTAACTACTTCCTGCAGGGCACTTTGATAATATTACCTAATTTATTAACACATTGAATGTATGGCGCTGCTTGCGAAGGCCAAAGGTATCATAATACCTTTGATGATTACTTCCCTCTGTTTTGATGCAACAAACCTATACATACAAACATCCATCAACCAACCAATCCAACAATAACACACCAATATTATTAATTTAACTAATTATTATATGGCACAATACCCACCCACCCACTTTCTTCTCTCCCAGAATACAGCCTCACAGATAAACATAACAAAACGGTCCAGCAGCCGTATCCGACAACTCGCGAATCGTCTTCGGCGCAGCCAACACGTTGGACAGATCGATCGGATAATCCAGCGTCACATTCGGCGCCTCAACCCCAAGGCCAGGCATAATGGACGGACCTTCAGCGACGAACGTCCGCTTCGACGGGTCCAGATTCTGCCATGTCCAGAAGGCGCGGTCGATGGCTGCGTGGTGGAGGAAAAAGGCGGGGTCGCCGGGGGAGACGGCGAAGTCCTGTTAATTTCCATCAGCTCTTGCCCTTTTATTTTCCTCTGACATACAACAAAGATAGGAAATATGGTGAGAAGAATAGTAGAAGGAAAAGACTTACACCACCAGGATCCCCCCCAATCGTATAATGGCCACCGGAATGAACACCCAGATACTTATTAGGAAAGTCACCCTGCATACGGTCCTGGAATTTCCCGATAGTAGGATAATTCTTGATCAGGTCGATGACATGCTCGGTCGCGGTCCATCTGGAGGCGTCCGTGGAGATATCACGACGCAGACAGCGCGGGTTGTAGCCCAGGCCGTGGGTGGGGTCGTTCTGTGGGGGTTCCAGGCCGGGGATCTTCAGGCTGGGGAGGACGGGGCCGAGGTTGACTTCCCAGCTTTAATATGGTCAGTTTTGGCTCTTTCGTTCTGATCACGATATATATAGAGAGAAAAGAGGGGGGGGGGGGGTACTTCTTAAACGGCCCAGAGGTAATACAACCGCCTCCCTTCCCAGGCTTCAGGATAATACCAGGGGCCGCCTCGGGGCCCTCATGCTCGACGAAGGACCCATCGCCAGACATGCTGTACTCGGAGCCATCAAACATGGGAGAAGAAAGGGGGTCGGCGGCGTATTTGTTCCAGGCGTAGTAGGGTTGCGCGCCTTTGTAGCCACACTCGTTGCGCAGGGCTTGCTCGTAGGCCCAGGTGAAGTAGCGGTGCCAGGTGAGGAAGGAGCCCTTGATTTCCAGAATTAGTTCCACTCAAACTCATGTGTCTCGGAATCCTGGAGGTGGAGGTGGGGGGGGAATACAGTGGCATGGATAAAGATTGTCTGGTTGATATGCACGGCGACAAAATCATCGTAGCGATTGCGCGCGCCGGGGGCGAACGAGGGGTCGGATTTGGACGGCTTCGAGTGGAGACAGTTGACGGCGGAGGTGTAGTCTTTACGTTCGCGCTTGGATAGAGAGCCCCTGTTTTTCAATCAGTTACCTTATGTCTCTTTTGTTGTATAGTTGATTACTGATCCGGTTGATTGAAGATAGAATCAGATAACATACCACTCGCGACGAACCGACGCCGTCTTCGGATTACAGGAGCCATCCCCCTTGTGTTTCGAATGATAATGCGCTTGGTTGTGAAGCGCTTTTCCAGCCAGCACATCCCAGGGATCAGTGGGCGAGGCAGATGCTGGCGAAAAGGCCAGCAGAGCTGCTGTTGCTACAAGATGCCAGCGCATTTCTTTCCTTGGAGATAGATCTGGAGATCTTCACTGGAGGGGAGAAAATCACATCGAAAAAGATAAGAACAGCAGGGATCGCGCGTTAAATATTGCATGCTCAAGTCTCGTGTCTCAAGCTTGTTCATCCATTAGGCTGGCGCAGGCAGCTAATCTCCTGCTAGTGTCGACGGTGGCATGTTGGCCGTCGGTTAGGGCTCGATCGGATGTAACTCCGCCGGTCTATCCTGAATGCGAATGTGGGTGTCTCACCAGTGGACACACGGGTGATTTTATCCACTTGGTGTACTGGGTAGTATTTAAGCCAGTCATTGGGCTAGATTGTGCTTAGGCCATTTATTAGACTGGATTGTATCTAGAAATTAATAGGAGATTAGCCAAGGTGCTCGGATAAAAGCGTGTGTGGACTGGGGTCTATTAGAAGGACTCCTCACTTTTAAACCATTACGTCGTTATCCAATTAGTGGGACTATAACTGTCAGTGATTATAGGTAGGTATAATTCAGTTAATCAATTGAATCAAAGAATCAGCGGAGAATTTTCTTTGACAGACGCCACTCCACCCCGCTGGACAGACAATCCCAATGTTGGCTCGCCACCCACACAATAGATTGCTGTCTTACACCCCTGTCAGCATATAGATTAACTGGTAAATTGCTAGCACAGTCAGCAGGGAAGGAATCAATTCCCATTTTGAAAGAAATCTCGAGTGATTGACCCTTTGTCTGTTTACCCCACTGGAGTCAGGTACAGACCCGTCGTTCGTGTTCGATCGTCGATCGACCAGAGCACGAGTGAATGTCCGATCCAAAATTGCGAGTTCCATGTTCTGAGTTGGGTTGATTGACCGGAGATCGTCCCTCTTTAGTCAAGAATCGCGCTGACAGGGGATATATGAGTCCACCAGTTATTGCTCAACTTCCCAGACTTAGGGCGAGTCTTAGTATGATCCATTCGATATCGAACCCTAATTGACCTCCTGGAATCAGCTAACTCCACCTTTTCGATGCATTCATTGAATAGAAAAAAGCAACAACAGACCAAACGAGTCATGCAAGTTATAATCCAATGACCCGCGCTTTTGTATCCACTTCGAAGAGACAAAAAGATAAGCTGCCCCTCGTCCCCGTCAATAGTGCATGGCCACTGTAACATCGGCTTCGTATGCGGAGTCTGTTTCAGAGTCCATGGCTTGCATATATCCCAGTCTAGTGGGCGCCTCCGAGGAGCACCGTAGGACAATGGGTCTCCGAAGGGTTGGCTATGGCGCTGGGCTGCAGAGTTGGATAGGATGGCTTAATCAAGTGAAATGAAGCCTCTTCGCCTAGTCATTGAATGTATATTATCCTTCGCTTAATTTTGGGGGCGGTTGTATTATACCGTCGGACAGATGGTTGATAATCCATCTTTATTTACTCTCTTTCTTTGGTATTATAAGTCTCATTTCCTGCCTTCCACCATATGATTTACCTTGTCGACGCCTCCACTACAGAAAGCCCAATGACCCGCTGATATGGCGACAGAAGAGTCGCCTCTGCAACTGGTGACGAGGCAGACCAATTTCCCCCTCGAAACCACCGGCGACACCAAAGCGCCTCGTATCCTCGCCATTGTCGGCTTCCTCACCGGGCTGTCAGCCCTCCTCATCGTGCTCCGTGGCTACGTGCGCCTGTACATCCTCCGCAGATTCGACATTGAAGATGGAGTCATCATCGTAGCCCTAGTAAGCTCATGCGGCCCTTCTTCCCTTTGGTCAACACCCCTCACCATCAACCTAGTTATGCGCCTTTGGAGTCCTCGCGTGTTTCGTTGGTGAATCGTTCCACGGCCTAGGCCACTACAGCGATGACATCGCAATGGCGGATTTTGGGATCCTGAACGAGTGGATGTTCTACCACGCTATTGTAATTGTGCTGGGCATCAGTCTTGTCAAGGTCTCGCTAGGGTTCTTCTTGCTACGATTTGCGGCGCGGAAACGCGCTCTACGGTGGTTTATTATCGGTTGTCTGAGTAAGTCTATCTTGGTTCCCTTCAACTTGCATAAATGATATTGATTATCTAAATCAACAGTCTTCCTCACCCTCTTTACCATCGCCTGCATTTTAACCCTCGTCCTTCAATGCTTTCCCATACAAGCAGCGTGGAATTTTGCTCTGCGCAAAACAGCCAAGTGCTACTCGACCAAGACGTATCTAGCCATCGCGGAGTTTAATAGCGGTATGCTGCATGTCTAATAAGTCTATCTGGGCGTTAGCTGATTTAATAGCCATTAACATCGCTACGGATTTCATCTTCGCCACGCTGCCGGTGTTCATGTTCTACAATATTCAGGTCAATCGCTGGACCAAGGTCTCCCTCATGGGTATTCTCAGTTTGGGATATTTGTACGTCTCTCGCAGTGAATTGACTTCTACAGACTGACTCGTTCAGTGCCTGCGCCGCAGCTATCGTCAAAACCGTTCTTCAGAGTCGGATCTTTAAAGAACATGATTCTTTCCGGTATGTCGACTAGTTATATATCCTTCCAGGAAACATCAGCACTAACATAACCACCAGCGAATGCAACTACCTTATCTGGAACTGGTACGCTCCGAACTCCTCCCCTTCCCCCTTTCTTCATGCATACATATACATATATAGACCCATGTATATAAGAAGACAAACTAAGTCCCCCAGCGCCGAACTCAACATCGGCATAATAGCAGCCTCCTTCCCAACCATCAAACCCCTCATGAAACGCGTCCTCGGCTCAACCCTCAACTTCACCGGTGGCGCCAGCGGCAGCCGCTACGGAAAACGTTCCGCCACAATCAGCAGTAGCCACCCCCTGCACTCTCTGAAACGCAGTCGTACCGACCACGACTACCACGAGCATCTCGTCGATGATATGCAGATGCAAAATAATATCATAGCTCATGATGATAAAAATAACTACTCCGTGCGCGTGGCGAGCGACCAGGATAAGGGGGCGAGTGGAAGTGCCCACTCGCTGGATGGCAGTGAAGAGGGTTTGGATCCCCGGCCGGATCCTCATTCTTACCATTACCGCCACCAGACCCCGTCGAGGCGTGAGATTTTGCGCACGACGGAGGTCATTGTGCAGAGGGAGGATAGTCCGGATTGGGATCGGGATGGGGATGGGGGGAGGTTTGTAGGGGGGAGAATTTGAGGGGTTTTATGGATGTTTAAATACTTTTTATATCGGTTGCTCTAACTCCCCCTTGTTTAACAAGAAGAATATGATTTATGTGACAATTTAATATATTAATCCCTGGTCAGGTTTTCGCATTGATTTTCGCTCGACTCTCGCGGATCAGGTCTTTATATGACTTGTTATGTAAATTTAAATGCCGAGAATCGAACGGGTTGAGCCGTGTCTAACTTTCCTTTTAAGTATATAGAATGGAATAGTAGTTTACTTTTCAACGGCTTCAACCTTGCGTCTCAAGCCATACGACTATCAATCATAGCAGCAAGGTCCGAAAGGACAGGCCCTTGAAGCGCATCGCACTGATAGAGTCACTACCAAGACGCAGGAAGTCATCATCAGCCGCAATAGTCTGCGGATCAGCGTGTAGAACAGCCACCCACATTCTCTGCAGCCGTTGCTCGGTGGGTGTAGCAGGGGCACGGCGGTCCCCTCTGGAAGGCTGGAGCCCAGCGAGTTGCTCTACCGTCCAGCGGGAGCCAATCTGGCGGAACAGGCGCCGGTTTTTCTCACCGGTTACCGTACAGGGGGATAATTGCGCACCTGGATAGTGCTGATTGTCGACGCCGGTGGTGATAAAGGCTGCTAGGATGGACGAGTCAGACCCATGGGGGACGATGAGCGCAGCGGCGATAGTGTTTGTCGCAATAGCTTGCTAGAGGTGGTGCTTTATTTCTCCCAGTTCTAGACGCTGGCCGCGGAGCTTGACTTGCGCGTCTTTGCGCCCTAGGAGCCTCATCTGACCAACGCTGCGGAGGATAACCTGATCCCCCGTCACATAGAAGCGCGATCCCTTGGTTACAGGGAGACTCGGGGATTTTCGCCATGGAGGCGGTGCGATAAAGGCGGTGGCGGTCTTGTCGAGATCCCCGATATGTGCGCGCCCAACGACTGGCCTCTCCACCACGATGTCCCCCGGTGGCCCCACGCCGTGAGACGTCTGATATTGGAATGTTGCTTACACCGAAAGAGTTGCTAATTATATAGGTCATCCCGTTGAGGACGTCATCGAGTATGGTATAGTTCTCTGGGAAACACATTATCCGAGTCACCGCGTCTCATAGTCTATCTAAGAATAGGGCTAAGAAACATTTTAACCAGCCACCGTGAAGGCCGCGCAATCCAACCCGCTCAAACAATTTTCCAACTGATTTAAAACTAACGTGTGTCAGAAGTACAGACGAGGGGACAATGTGCCGGCAGGGCCTCGACTCAACCGACAATTCATCCAAAGCCAAGAGATCTGATATATCTTTCTCTTCTCAATCCCGGGCTTTGAAGAAGTGGACCGTGGATAGAGATCAACCATCCATGCACGGCATCTCAAGTCTCTGGCCCTGCTCCTCGTTCTCCTGTTTTGTCAACAGTGACGTGTCTCGATCAGGTCAAGCCGATTTATACTTTACCATTAGAGTGACCGCTTTTTCCGGCTGGGCTTGGCTTCCGAGTGGTGCTGGTCGATGTCAGGGACTGCTAAATCTCGATCTTTACATGCACCTATAGTATCATCTGCGCCGAACAGCGTTAGCTTAATCCACTCAGTCCAGACGAAGACCTCGCATAGATGTAGATTCATTACATCTAATTACCCAGAACGGTATACCGGGCCCCATCTTCACTCTAGATGGGGATTAGCGTTACGGGCTTTCCAACAGTAGCTCCTATTATCGCCCCACCCGGATCGCGTTCCTCGCCCGGAGAAGAGAAAGCAATCACTTGATTCGGCACGTCCATACAGGAAAACATTTCCTTCCTTTTTTTTTTCCCTTAATCTCCTCAAAGCTTGCTCGCAAACTTCCTGACCGCTTCTTTCTGGGTGACGAGCTATCCTGTGCTGGTGCTGTCATTCACTAGTAGTCAGCCAGCCTCAGTCCGACTGCGTGCCTTTCCCGAGTCTGATCAGACGCCGAGTAAGCCCTTTCAAGCCATGATGGTGCTATCCATGCATATCACAACACGATCCTCCATGGCTGGGATCGGCGCTTAATCTGGTGTCACGCGATCTTGCATTGTGTTTGACGGTCCTTCCTTACCTCGTGTCATGGCGCTATCTGGAATCTGTCATGCGAGGGCAAGGCAAGCGCAAGTACGGAGTAATGAGCTTTGTGATATTGTCCCTGCATCCATGAGACACATCTGTCAAAGTCTGGGCGCAAAGAAGCGGTCAAATAAGGGATGTACAGCGCTGCGGGTCTGGTGTAAAGCGAAGTCGCGGTATTGTTGCTACATAGTAGACGTCAAGATGCGAAATAGAGAGAAGAAGGGCAATTGATATGAAGATAAATACCCTTCGAGTTCTAACGTCTTTTCCCATCCTGAGCCAATTACCTACCATATCACAGCCAATCCACCGCTATATTTGACGTTCTACTCAACGATGACAAGATTGTCTCAACCAGCGTTCAAGGGCGTGAACGCCACAGCCGATGGGATCATCACCCTCGAGGCAACAGGTGACAACCACCCAGCGGTAAACATCTCAGTTCACCAAGACCCTCTTGTCAAACCCAAGCCCAGCTCCAAACACATCATCATCATCGGCGGGGGCGTCAACGGGCTCATGACAGCATGGGTCCTCCTCGATAAGGGATACCGCGTTACAATCTTCGCCAAAGAATGGGCCTGGACGCAAGACTGGCAGAACTCTCGCATCACGTCCCAGATCGCGGGCGCCCTCTGGGAATACCCGCAAGGGGGATGTGGTCTGAAAGAGATCGACGTCACCGAGCCGGGATGGTCAACCAAACACAATTACCGAGAGTGGACGCTCCAGGCTTACGAGTTCTACCACAAGATGAGCACCATGCAGCAGGGTCGGATGGCCAAGGAGTTCGGGGTCGGGATGGTCAAGATCAACCTGTTCTTCTACCACGATCTAACCAAGGAGAACGAGTTCAACGCGGAGGACTATGAGAAGTTCCACATGATCCGGGAGGACGCAAGTGCAAACAAGATCCTCGGCTTCGAGGAGTACTCCCCGGAGCGCGTTCAACAATTTGTCGGGGGCCTAGGATCGGACGACGCGTGGAAACGAGACCTGCGCCAAGGATACGGATACGACGCACCGAACGTCGACTCCGACCGCGCAATGGTGTTCCTGATGTCAATCGTCGCAAGCAAGGGCGCGCAGCTGGAGACGCGCGAGATAAAGGGAAAGCCTCTATCCGAGTTCGCGCAGGACTTCAAGGACAACATGGGCGCCGACGCAATCATCAACGCCACCGGCCTAGGGGCAGGCGAGCTCGTCGGCGACCCCGACGTATTCCCCGTACGCGGGGCGATCATCCGCATCGACAATAACAAACGAGAGCGTTTCGAGCCACTGCACGAGGCGTGCATTGTGCCCGCGCAGATGGACGCCGACGGGCTCCTCCGCAAGGGCATCTGGCTATTCCCGCGCGTAGACGGAACTCTCATTGTGGGCGCCATCGCGCAGCCCGCGAACGACGTGCTCAACCTGACGCAGACGTCGCCGGAGGTTGGTCTCATGTGGAAACGCGCTCGTTCGTTTCTCCCAGCCCTCGGTGATGCGCGCAGCGTTCCTCATTATCCGCTGGCGCAGGGGTTGAGGCCCTTCACCAAGAGGAATGTCAAAGTTCGGGCTGATCTTGAGATCAGTCAGCTGCCGGTGGTCCATAATTATGGGCATGGGGGATCTGGATGGGCGTTGGCTCCTGGAACCGCGAGGACTGCTGTCCATTTTTTGGAGTTGATGCTCAATGAAGGGTATACTGGGAGGGACGTGAACCGCGGATATTACGGCTGTATTCCTGGTGAAAAATAAGTTTAGTCCCGACATAGCCTTTACTTTTTCATAAAAATATAGAAAATATAGATTTCATGACCAAAATCCCTCCCAGAGCCTCACATATCCCAAATATTACGACAAAAATGATAAAAGATAATCACCATACCTTGCGGCCTCCGTCCTCTTCACAACTCCCTCAGTCAGAATAGAGAATATCCTCACGGGTAATACCACTACGATCACACATCGCCCGGAAGATCCCATCCGGTCGATCCCACAGCACAACCGGCGCCTCCATCTCAGCGATCCGACCCTGATCCATAACGCAGATGCGGTCGTAGTGGATGATCGTGCGCAAGCGATGCGCAATACATAGTAAGGTTCTCCCCGCGAAGCCCCGCGCCATCGTCTGTTGAATCTTCCGGTCCGTCTCGAAGTCCACAGAGGATGTAGCCTCATCGCAGACGATAATGCGCGTGTCGCGGACCAGTGCACGTGCAAGAGCCATTAATTGCCGCTGGCCGAGAGAGAAGTTCAGGCCCTCTTCCTCGACGGGGGACTCCAGCGTGAGCTTGTTTGTTTTTAAGTGGGGTTTTGCGCTGCTGCTTGTACCGGGGGGGCAGATGGTGGCGGCGGTGGTTCGGCTGGCTGAGGTGTGGGGGGGCTTTTCGTCTTCGGGGTCTTCGTCGTGACCGGTTAGGTATGCCTTGCGGAGGGCGGACCATAATGCTAGGTCGTTGTGCTCGTTAAATGGGTCCAGGTTGGATCGGACGGTCCCCTTGAATAAGGCCGGGTCTTGGGGGATGATGGTCAGACGAGACCGGAGGGCCTGAAGGCCAATCGTTGAGATGTTTATATCATCTATTTTGATGGTGCCTTCAGATAGCTCGGTGAGACGGAAGAGTGCGAACATGATACTGGATTTTCCAGCCCCAGTGCGGCCGATGATACCAATCCGCTCGCCTCCTTGAATGGTCATGGTGAGGCCCTTCAAAACAAGCGGTAGGCCAGCCCGGTACCGCATCTTCGCGTTATTGAACTCGACGCGGCCATTCTCGGGCCAGCTGGCGGGTGCCTCAATCTGTTGGTACAGCGGCGCCTCCTCGTCTAACTCAGTCCCATAGTAATGGACTCGTTCTGTAGCGTTCATGTTGTTCTCAATCTCAGCAAGCTGACGGACTGTGAACTGCAGCATCTGCGCGATGGCCAGTATATAAGACAGAACCAGCCCAGAGGTACTAGGAGAGACATTGAACCGAGAGGTGACTACCAGAATACCAACAACGAAGATCAGCGCAGTAGAAACAGCATCAAGTCGCACGCTGAGCCACCGCTGGTTCGAAAAGGTGAGAAAATAGGCTCCGTTCATCATGTCGATGGAATCTTGAATCGTGCGCTGGAAGCCCTTCTCTACGCCATATGCTCGGATGCAGGCAGCGCCTGTGATAGCCTCGCCAAATTTGGCGTACACCGTCGACCGCAGAACTGACTCGTGGCGCTTCACCTCGCGGGCGGACGCTCGGTAATAGTTCGCGGCTAGCACGATCACGATCACCAGCGGGACCAGTGCGATGATAAACTATATCCCGTTAGTAAGTATCTTGTTGCATATATGGAGGGGTCACAACATACGTAGTAGAAGAACGAGACGGTCAAAACCATGACGGCGATCATCATAGTCGTCGCCAGAGCAAACAGTCGCATTGCATCCGAAAGCTCATTGTCCAGCACCTGGATGTCCTTCGAGAAGCGATTGGTGATTCGGCCGAGTGGCGTAGTATCGAAAAAGCTCATGGGCGCACGAAGCACACGGGCCATAGCGCGCTGAAGCATGGCCTTGCTGGCATTCGTGTTACAAGTCGTCATGTACGTGGAGAAGATGAATACCAGGAGAGTGACACCTCCACCTAGTCCAGCATAGACTCCTATATACTGACCGGTTGACAGTGCCGGGTACTTGTTTGCGGTCCAGTAGGAAAGCCATATACTGGTCCAGATACTGGCAACGTTTGAAAGACCGAGCAGGATGAGCATCACAAGAGCGCTAGAATAGCCGCCGGAGGCTAGGATATAGGCCTTCCAGACATACCAACCGACCGAAGACGAGCCCTTGTCCTCTTCTTGCATCAAAACAGCAGCTGGCTTTGAGGGCGCGCTCGTCTTAGGACTTGTTTGCTTATCATCCGTCTCTTCGGCTGCTTCATCGGTCGCCTCATCCCCTTCCTCGTGCGCAGTCTCTTGTCCAGATGTAGACATCAACCGCCTGAAGATATCGCTGTTCTGCATCAAATTGTCAAAAGTGTCAATTGCGCTGATACGCCCCTCATCCATAATAATAATCCGATCACATCGGTTAAGCACGTGGAGCTGGTGCGTGGCCAAAATCCGACACCGGTCCTTGAGAAGGCCACAAATGGCCTTGTCCATGATATGACGTCCGACGTGTGCATCGACCGCCGATAGCGGGTCATCCATTAGGACAAGATCTGCGTCGAAGTAGATTGCCCGGGAGATATTCAACCGTTGCTTCTGTCCACCAGACACGTTGATGCCTCGTTCCCCGATCTCAGTTTGGTCTCCATCAGGAAGCATCTCGAGGTCTGGAGTCAGGGCACATGCATCGACCACCTGTTCATACCAGGCCTCGTCATACTCTTTGCCAAATAGTATATTATTCCGCACGGAGGTATTTTGGATCCACGCGTACTGTGGACAGAATGCGCGCGTAGTGCTCAATCGTACCGTGCCATCAGTGACACGCATTTCGCCTGCCAGCGCTGAGAGCAGAGAGCTCTTCCCGCAACCGACTGTTCCAATTACAGCCAGCAGCTCATTGCGGCCGACCGTGAATGTCATGTCGTGGAGCTTGAATGGCTCTGTCAGGGCGTTTACAATCGTGTCATCGTCATTGGGGGTGGACTGCTCTGTCTTTGCATCCGTCGGGAGACGCTCCCATGTGAACGAAGCATGGTCCATCTCGATAGCGTTCTCCATTGTTTCGTCCCGCTTAATATCTTCCCTCTGTTCCTCTGCCAACAAGAAGCCCTGAATTCGATCAAGAGAAGTCCAGGCATCAGTCACTTGGCCCGTGACAAGGGGCAGCATATTCAACGGCGTCCGCATTGAGTTGAAGAGGGCCAGCGATGAGAAGACCAGGGCGGGGTCCAAGTCATGATTTGTCAGAGCATAGGTGATAAAAGCAAGCATTGAGCCAAAGATGGGGATAGACATGGAGACACATAGGATGGCATTTCGAATTGCCAGCAATGTCTGGATGGACCGAATCTCCCGGCCGCGTATCTCTTCCAGACGGTCCAGGAAACTGCTTTCCCATCCAAAATATTTCACAAATCGTACCGCATGCAATATTTCTTGAGTTAGGGACACTCGTTGGTCGGTTATTCTATTGATTTCCTTTCGCCTCTGTATAAGGGATCTCACGGCGAAGCTCAGTAATGACATGCCGACGATCAAGAAGGCGTACCCCGACAAACAGCTGTAACCAATGTTGACCAAGAGCAGAGCCAACGTCACCAGGATCGTGATGGGCGCCGTCCAAACAACATGAAACATCCCCATGGCCAGGTTGATCCGGTCGACGTCGATGCTCATGAGCGCCGTGATGCGGCCATTATTCCATCCGTGACCATCGCCAGCAACACCACCGGGAGCAGGCGACGCAGTATCGGCCCTTTTCTTCCCCTTTCCTGTCTCGTCTGGTCTCTGGCAAGCCCCCTTCGCAGCCTCCAATGCCTCGACCTCTTCAGGTGTCGCCTGGCCCCCGGCCTTCGCCCGCCCAGACAGCTTCAGCGCCTTCTGAAAAATCCGAGAGACAAGGACCGCGCGAATCTGTCCCCCAACCATCTGACCCCGATACAAGAACTGATTGTTGCATAAGCTCTGCAGCGCCTGCATGCAAGTGATACCCACGACAATCCCGATCCCATTACCCACACGGGGCGGCGACGCATTTCCCCGCGCGCCATACGCCTTCGTCGCGAACTCAATCAAAAACCTCGTCAGATACGGCGTGAAGACCAACAGCAGCGCGCTGACCAGCTGACACATACCGCCCAGCACAAACTCGCCCCGGAACGTGTCGTACAGCGCCCAGGCGAGCGGGCGCGTCGTCCCGCTGTGGGTGCGCTTGTCCAGCGACGCCTCCAATCGGCCGGACAGGACGTCGACGGCCCGGTCGGGGTTGATCGTCCATATGTCCTGCAGCTGGAGGGGTCTCGAGTAGCCGACTTTCATCAAGGGAGACATCCAGTGGAAGAATATGATGCTGAGGAAGGAGGCCCCGTGTTCTCGCGACACGGATCGCGCTGTTGGCACGGGAGGCGACGTCTGTGATCGCCATGGATTGAGTATTTGATGCCATTTTTTCTTCTGCACGGGCTCGGTGCTCACGTCCGGAACTTTCGTTACGTCGCCAAATGGTGAGCTTGAGCTTGAGCTTGAGCTTGGAGGGCGGGTCTGCATGTCTCCCTTGTCTGTCACCACTATTTGTTGTAGTGGTATGGGTTTGGACATGTTGGTGAAAGAGAAGGTTGGCCTCCACCAGACAATATCGATAATGACAGTGGTAAATTAGGTATACATTAATTAACAAAACAAAACGAGACAGATTGTGGGGAAGGGGAAGGAGAATGGTTCTGAAAATCGAAGACGGTCATGTTATACAAGGACTGGGTAGGGGCAAGCATGAGCCTCAGGGGTACCACGATATCGGATGCGATATGAGACGCTGCGATGCATAATAATCCACATATTCCTTGCTATAGATTTGACCCCTTGAATAGAGATGACCAGTCACTCGTGTACCTGATGCAGATCGTCTGCGAGTTTGTAGCCTCTGGTGCATTGCAGGAAGATCTATGATCCAAGTATTCGGGAACGAACTTATGCAAATTTCGATGATATCAGTACTACTCAAGCCACTCATTGTTCAATTGTGGGTCTAATTTATGGTAGATACGAGAGATTGAGGAGAAAATGCTGTAAATTGTATCGTCGACGGTTCTATTGAGGCTCGATTGTTCTGCTCAAGTTGAGCAGTCAGATGCAAGGGGCCAGCAACGATCTGGAAAGCTCCCTATCCGATACTCCAGCCAGCCCTGTTTAAAAATAGACCATGGATTGGTTAGCTTAGGAAGATTGAAAATCGATTTTTGAACGGAGTGACATTGATCAGAGTTCCCATATGATTATGCCGTCGCCTGTCTCAAAATTGGTAGGGAAATGGTCTGCGTGCGGCAAGACCTGGAGCAAGAGAGCGGTTCATGTGTATCATCCAGTCACTGTTTAAACTCTCTTGTGCCCCCCAGACAAAAGTCTCTAGTGTTCAACACTTCGGGGGTTCTGTCCCTTGTCCCATCAAGGCCTTTCCGTGTGCATTTCCACATTAACAGAGCTAGATACTGGGTTGTCTTAGCAATTGAACATGCCATTTCTTACTGGGTGAGGCCGGGAGTATGGAGCTTGACTTGTAGACGTAGCTGATCAGTAGACTCTCAGGGACCTTAAGGCTGTCGCGTATGGAATATTGATCTTCGCATCTTGACCGTACCGGTATTCTTGAGCATCACGATCCACCACGATGGCTTCATCAAGATGCCAGTCGATACCTAGATATACTTAAGCATGATTCAGGTGCCTACACAGTACCATGTAAATAGGTCATATAAGAGTAGTGAGACACCCCCATTCTGACATGGTATATCAGTGAGCCCCATTTGCCGATCCTGTGAGTCAGACATATTCTGTCACTTGCCAACGGTGCAGTGACAACTATCTCTATTTCCTCCTCGAAGCCGGTCACTTTATGAAGAATTATCAACTCCTGCCATACTAACCCTTCGGTGGCACTTTCTGTTAGGATATAAGTCATGTCAAGCCCGACCAAAATAATGATCTGATATTTTGGTGCAGTGCCTGTCAAGTTTTAAACGATGAGGATGACTCCTCTGGCTTTCTCTTGAATCATGCAGTCTATCGCTGATTTACTAGTGAGTGGCGCCTGGCATCAGAAGTTGCAGCACAGGATCCCTACCATTTCCGGGGGTGGTACCTCGGGCTTCGAAAGTCGCTTTATACACCCCAGAAGAGCGAACCTGGCAATATATCATAATCCCACGTCTGGAAGTTGTGGATGTCATTCAAAGATGGGTTTTCTTCTCTGATATGTTGGGCAAGATTTGAGTCAACGTACTTGTTGAAAAGTATCGGCTTCGAGAACGTGAGAAAGATTGCCATCTGCACCGATTCTGAACCAGCGTCGAACCTCACAAACAGCCAGCAGTCCCACAGCCGTGCAATTATATTGACATAACGGCTCACTGGATCCACAAAGCTAGCTATACGCAATGGAAGGCTCCATTAGGTACATATATCAGGGGGGAGATCACGTCGCAGGCGAATTTATCTAGAGAGGTTCGATAGTAGAGATTAGTCGAGAAGGACAAAACACATCTCCCAATTTCATTCAGGAGGCAAGTACTTTCCCTGATTGCAGGAGAAGAGGAATGTGGAGGTTTATTATCTGTTGCAAAAAATTGTCACTCAGGTAGAAAATATATCAAGACACTTTTGAGCTTCATAAAGATTACTATATACAGTGCGAGCGTATCAACAGTGCCCCATCTCCACCAACGTTTCTACTTTGAATAAGTGATTTTTGGTCCTTTCATAGCCATCCACAGTTACTTCGTAGTCTATGGTGCCGATGAATCAATTGGCATATTCCACAGTTAGGGTGAATTCGCTGCTATACCCTCTGTATACTATCAACGATGCTTCACCTATCAATCCATCCCCCCAGCCAGCCACCTAGCTCCGACTCATCCAATCTAGATGACCCACTCGGGTATCACATTCAAGGGAGATACCCACTCCTCCCACAATCCCAATCCTGAATCAACAGGACACGCCCGATCAGTCTACCTAGACGACTGTGTCACCCTTGTCAATTACGAGACAATCTTGCCACCCCCTAAAGGCGTATTTAGTCTGCTGCTGCGCATCAAGGAATCCATATCTCGCCCGGCAAGGGAACAAGGGATTCAGATCCACCGGCCCGGTTCAAATCCCCCAACTCCTGGTCATGCGTCGCAAATCGGGGCTAACTCTAGCTCGATTCTTACAATTGCATCGTCCAATCAACCAGCACAAGCCAATCACAACACTTACCTCCGTGACAGGAACAACCAAGCAAGTCAGTAAAGGATTGAAGTACAGGTCTGGAACAGGATGTGCAGATCGTGAGTGCTCAGGACCTGCAGCAGGAATACAGACCAGAGGTAGTAGTGGTAAAGTACATCAAAATCAACGCGGCGATGCTGGCCGTTTCAATCCTGGTGGTCCGTTTCCCATCCTCCCGCCACACTCTGAATCCCAACGGATGAATTAGCACGCTGTTGAGGAGGATGGATGAAGGAGGGGGGAGCTAAGAGTGGGATTCTCGGAGACGTTGATGAAGAACGCCTCATGTCTGTGCGTATGTCGGAGACGAATTGTCTTCGGATGCCGAGTTCTTGGTCACTACTCTATTGCTACTATAACTCTACTGCCACCATTAATCTACAGATACTACTACGACTACACTACTGCTGCTGCTGCAACCCCGGCTATCGATCCACATTCTGGAGATACTCAGGCAAATATGTCGCTGTGTACTAAACTCCGATCAAGGTCCAGACCTCAGGAGGATGGATTTGATAGAACTAGCATGGTCAGTGGATACTCATAGTTGCACGTGGACTGAGTATACGGTGAGGTCCCCTTTTTCCTTCATTTAATTATAATATAATTTTTTTCTCACTATATTGTTAGCTGCGTTTATTTAGTTATATTATATTGTATTATTATCTTATTGGCCAGGATGTAATATTATAATTTTTATTCTTAAGCGCCCAAAAGCTCCGCCACACCGGGTGAGGGGCCATCCTAGTATGATGCCCTGCATGCGAATTGCGGGCCTGAAAACGCCAGACTAACCTGGCATAATCGAGAGAAAGACAGAGAGTACAAGGGTCAATGCCTAAGAGAGCTGGTCAGTATGGATGACGGCTGGAGTAAGACATGAAATCTCAGTCAGTATGTACTATTTTCTTATTCTCAGGTCCTACTGTACGAACTTCTCCAGACAGTCTACCCAGTATGACCTACCCTGTCACTCCCCAAGAAACAACGCAAAAGCACAAGTAAAGCAAAAAGATAGAACCCAAATCGGACCGGTGCAGGAGCCAGACAACAAAAGCCACCCTTTACCACCCTCCCCATTGGCCGATCTCCAGAGGGAAAAGCCAGTAGTCCAGTCCAGTGCATAGCAATTCGTATTATGATCCTCGAATAGCCAATCCACGACAGGCAGACAGACGGATACTGAGCTTACCTCACCTACCGGGGAGTGGTCTGAGATTTGGACTACACTGCACTACAGTACACTACAAGCTGCTACTGCTGCTGCTGCGGTTGCTGGGGCACACACCGGCCCGCGCCATCCTGGATGGTATGGTTCTTGGTCAAGCGGCAAGGATCGTCTCTTCAAAGCCACGTGTATATCAATGTTATTATTATTATTATTATTATTATCACTACTTTTTTGTTCGTGTTTTTGCGAAGATGAAACAAGACAATCGGCGGGTTTGCTTCCCCCTGATTCTTGGGGGCGCAGGGGATCGATGTTTCATTTCGAAGACGCTAGGCAGGGGTGTTTATACTACACTACTATGATACTATACTGTAGTAAACTATTATTACTACCTACTAACTAAGTGGATGTTAGTATGCAGTAGTAGTGGTTATAGTGGTAGTGGTAGTGGTAGTGGTAGTGGTAGTGGTAGTGGTAGTGGTAGTGATAGTGATAGTGGTAAAGAGACATGGAAAGAACGCAACTGCACCCTCACCTAGGCAGAGAGATGCCCAGGCAGGGTGCCTACTATCTTCCGACCGCTTCCCACCATGCAGGTTGTGCCCACCGTCCAGTCCAACCGTCCAGTAGCGTGCCCTAACCCAAAGACCCTCCGCATCCTGCAGGACGACCGTCGAGTCTGCGCCCGTCCAAACTAGGGCCAGCTCTGCATAAGTCAATTTTTCCCCCTGTGATAGGCTCCACTAGGCGAGCTGCTGGTAGAAAAAATGAATGAACTACTATCGACTGTAGTACGGCTTAATTGGTCAAAGTACGGGAGGAAGAGGAAGAGAAGGAAGACGATGATCGCGAGGATCGACTTCCAGATCCGCAATCGGGATGTAATCTTCGTCCTTGACGCTTCTGGAGGTATCGTATCGGTCTGCAGGATGAAGTAGATACTGTAGTATCTTGGACTAGTGCTACAATTACAATGATCACTATGAATGAATGGTTTCTTCAGTCAACTCAGCCACATTTGGATGTGACTATACTAGGTGTGTAACATCAATATGGCCTGTCTGTCTGTGTCATGCCATATGTGCTGTGCAAAGTCTATTTTATATACATCATGTAAGATATAGGGGTTTTGGCAGGATGCAGTTGATATTAATTCAGGATTGACATGGGTGTGGTGTTGAACGGTGGAGTGAACGAGAGGAGTAGTATACTAGTAGTCACCGTACTTTATACCCCACATCGGATCAAATGATGTGGCTTTACGCCTACAATGTATCTCTGCATGGGGAGTCATGAACAGTGTGACCGGGAGTAGAATGCAGCATTTCCTAGGTACCATATACTAATCCAAACTGAGTAAATGGAGGCATATTCAGGTCAAATGTTCACTGAACTTTATTATTATTAAGAGGATGCTACGAATGATACTCCGATGTATGTATACCTCGAAGAATAATGCGAGGAAATAAAAAAAGTTGGATCGTGCCAGGCATCCAGCTCGTAGAGTTCCTCCCAGTCCAGTGGACGGAGTCTACCGTCAACATCGTCGGGCGCTAGGCGATCATAGCAATTACTGGAAAGTGAACTTTACCTCTCATTCGCCGGGCGTCTTCCTTGCTAGTTCGGTCCTAGTCAGGGGGGAACTGGTCGAGGAAAACAACCGACCTACAATCTTGAATATAGGGTCGAAATCAGCCCCTGAATCGCAGTGGAGAGGCACATGTTAATCGCGACTGCGTGCAGTCGGGTGGAAAAGGCGAACCGTCGTTCAGTGTGGATATGACAGACAAGCTAAGCTGGAAGCTGGGAGCTACAGCAGGCCTGAACGGAAGACTTGGCCAGTCACACTGGAGGAACCTGTCGACTCCGGAATGGGGCACCCGGGTGTGCTGGAGAAAGAGAGGGCCCCAGAATAGGTTCCGGAGTCTAGCTAAGACCGCGCAGTTGGTGCTCTTAGGGATTTTAGTTGGACTCCACCGCGCTGTCGGCCAATCCCGCCAGGCCGACCAGTCGACGAGACTGGTTAGACTGGTGCCATGTCAAGCTGCTCGGGACGGCCTGATCTGAAGATGGGCACTGCTTATCAACTTAAGCGGGCCAGTCCACATGCAGTTGATGCGGGAGACGGCAAACCTTCCCGTCGCGGTCGGTGCTTTACGACCAGTTTCTAAGTAGCATAGACGTGCAGATGGACACGAGGACATTCTCACGCCCGCGGACTATGAACGGCCGAATATACGTCGAGTAAAGGCAAGTTAATTACTGTCAGGGAATCGCTGCCACAAAACTCTCTCTCCGCGTCGATCACACCCTGAATCGAAAAAAATGGGTCTCGAGCGGAAAGTTGTCCGCAGGCGGTTAAACATCGCTATCTAGGCGGTAGACAATACTAGCCCCGGCCACATCTTCCGAGTAGACGAACAGCAAGGGAAAACAAAAGAGGCCCAACCTTGTGGAATAGCAATTTCATAATGACAACATTGACAGGGACGATCGAATTCTGGACCTATGCCGATCGGGTGTTCTGTGCGGTGTGCAGAGAGCCTAGACGTGCACTACGGCGGTACAGCCTCCTGCAGCTTGCAGGGTCACGGGCTAGCTGCCCGCGACCAGGCAAGGCAGATTTGGCCATTTCCCGTCGCCTCTCATAGGCTCTACCACCTCCAGGGGTGCTGGAAGAACGTGCATGATCCACGGAGGCGCAGCCCGAAACAAGACGACGATCTGTTGCTGCTGTTTTCCATGTTGTGTTTCAGGTTTGCAGAGATACGGTTCCTTATTTCAAACCGTCCGGGGCCGGGGGGGGTGTGGTCACTTGGGATGACTTCATCCGTAATCCTTTGGTCAGAAAAAAAGCCCAAAGCCCTCCAAGGCGAATACACTCCTGTCTTGATGATGTTGGTGGTGGCAACTTCTGCTTTTTCCCATTATTCTTTTGATTTCTGAAAATGGAGGCTTGGCGCTACTGATCAGCGTAATCAATACCCTTTGTACACCCGACTTCATATCACGCTATCATCTGTCAATTCAAAGCCCGAACCCATAGACCGAGCTTGATAGTAAACGCTTCGATGCGGTTATCCTGGCATCCGTTCGAGACTAATCTCAATAGCACACGAACCCTACATCCTTTCCCTCGTGGGATTGCCTAATACACATTGGTGATTAGACTGTTGACTGGGGAAGAGTGTGAGTAGACGGCAGATGGTCAGCGGGCTGGTGCCGTTCATTTCCAGAGTGGCCCAATATACGAGAGCATCGGACTTATTTGGGGGATAATCTAGAATGAAACTAGGGATTTGATGAAGATGGGAGACCTGGGAAAGGGTGAAGGTTTCAGAGGAAGTGGTGGAAAAAGGGGAGACCAGAGACAAAAGTGACGGGGGTAGATCGGGCCAGATCGGGCTAGTGCGGTCATCTACCCCAGCACATGACCTAGTGCCATACAATCACCTTGACTGAACGGAGGCCAATTCAACTGACAGGTTGAGAACGCGCTCCACTGAAGGATTCGCTTCCATGCTGATTTTCATAATCGGCACCACCATCGGCCATCGTGCTAATCTCAGTGGACGCTTCTGGGACATTGGCACGGGAAATACAGACCATGATCGATTCGTCGATCTGTTTCTCCCTGAGACGCTATTCTCCAGACTGCTGAAGACCACGTACTAACAACGGCGTATAGTTCTGGGCAATACGGTTGCTCGTGCTGTGTATGTACTATCCAACTATCGGATCCATCACCTCCGTCTCCTGGGGATTTGGAGCTGGAAAAGTACATTGTCGTTCCATAAAACTACTGAAGAAATAAAAGTCCTTAGCAGACCCCCGATGCCAAGATACAACTAGTATACCGCCGATATGGGTAGCTGTCGTCTGACCCATCGTTTGAAATCGCAAAATGAGTTCTTGCTTTTGGTGAAACCAAACAAGGGTGTCTACCACCTGTCAAAACTACGTGGTATGGTACATGAATGATCCAAAACGGCCGCGTGCTAACCGGGAGACTTTCGTTGTCGTCATCACCACCACCATTATCATCATATTCTGGTGCTTCCCAGTTAATAATACCCCAGGTTATTGTAATAGTGTCTACTCAAGGGGTGCTTTTGTGAAAAGATCATCTCCTTGTTCGCCTAAACGGCCCACGTCAATTGAAGGATCACAACCTGGTAAAGTCGGAGAGTAATGTCGACATCGACAAAGATGACACTAGTGATTATGATGATTGTGGCGGCGATGGACTGACTTGAATTGACCTGACACTTTGACAGCTCGCGACGGGAGAAGCCGACAATTGCCCAATGGATATCAAATGCAATCCCCCTTCCAAGGTCTTGACTCGAACTATTGGCTTAGTCTGCACTCCACAATATAGGATACGTCCACACCTGATGGGTAATCTTTACGGTGTTGATTGTCTCTGACGTCGCTGGCTCTCGTCAGCTTGACCCCATTGAACGTGCCAACACCGCCCTCCAGATCCCTGGGCCGCCCCGCTCTAGGCGCACTAAAACAAACGGTGCTACACCATGGATGGCGGTTCCCACTGAACAGAGAGAAGTACCCAACCATCTGCACAATGTCCCTGTCTCTCCACTCCCAGCGAGGTCTCTCCAGGATCTAACGCTTTGAATAAATCATTGATCTCAAGCGTAGAAGGTCTGCAGAATGACCGTGGAAGCTGTCGCCGATGCGCTCAACAGAATGTAGATACGACGCACGGAGTACTTCATTTGCTTTGCAAACTTGATGAGGTTGCCATCCATTGTGATCATCATCATCGTCACAGGAGTAACGCTGAGCGTCTGGCCGCAGAAGTACCTTCTTCGCGCCCCCTTGTCCCCTGTTCTTTAGCCAACATCTGTCCCCTCTGGCACAGCCCAGGTCCAGGGAGATGGACGCGGGACGTGGTATGGATCGACTTGGGAGGGGGGTGAGGGGAGAGCCGTGGCGTTGGAGATGCACTGGTCGTGGAGAGCGGACCATCGATCCCCCAGACCACGCCAGACAGGCCTCTAGTTCCGTCCATCCCGAAGGTCATTTCCCGTTCTGTGGGCAGCATCGATCGACTGAACACTAAGGGCAGCCAGTCGGTGAGAAACCACTCCGTCGTTCCAAGAGTCGGGGCCGAATGTCTCGTCAACGGCTAAGAGGCGGGTCGTCTACTTTTTCCCATTCTTGTTCGGAACGAGCTGTAAGACACAATTTCCCCTCAATCTTTCTTTCTCTGTGTCAGCTCTCTGTCAGCGTGTCCATTTCGCTTCCCCCTCCTCCCCTCTCTCCCAGGCACGCCATTGACACATGTGATGTGTGGGTTGACGGTGGGGAAGAAAGCGGTGGTCCAAGACCCGAAGGGGTTGACAAGTGCCCCACAGGGCTGGACGCTGCATCAATCACGTTGCGGTGCCCCGTTCGACGGTGCTAACGGGACGGGTGGACCACTTGACTCAGGAGTCAGTCCCTAGCAGAAGATTAATTGTCACCCCGGCCACATGACTACAGGGGGATTGCGATCGATGGGCAGGATCCTGATCAACAGCAACTATGGCATTAGTAGTAGATTCAGGGGAATCTACGTATCTTCTGGGAGTACTCCTGTAAGGTGTTGTCATCATTTAATATACAGCAATCGCTAAACAATGGATCCAGAGAGAAAACAAGGAAGGAAAAAAAAATGAACTAATCAGTCAATTGATTAGGGATAATGAAGAAGCAAAAAAGGGCAAAAGGTGGAAAACAACGGTCAAGCTCTGACCAGTTGCCCCAAAGAGGTTAGCCCCGACCTCCTTGGCAGGGCAGACCTGTAAGAGACAATAGGTAAGGCAGGTAAGGCAGGTAAGGCAGTCTCATTGTCTCTCCCACGGGCAACCATACCCCTGCGTGTCATACTATGAGACAGTTGAATGGCTAATCAATCAATCCGGATTCCAATGCCAATCCGCGCATTGCAATATGATTGCCTGTCGTCACCTTGCATAATACCCCTTCTCCTATCTCTCCTCGTACTTCCTCTTACATCACCCATAATCCTATATTGATAACACCTAATCAAACCCATTTCCCCTAGCAGTCCACCACAGTCCATCCCCAGTCTAACACCAAGCCAGCCAGTCCGTCAGTCCGTCAGTCAACCGAACCGACCCAGGAATTGGGGATGATGCCCCGTGCTGCTAACCGTCAAGGCCACTAGCACCCCCCCCCCCCCCCCCCCCCCCCCCCCCCCCCCCCCCCCCCCCCCCCCCCCCCCCCAAACTAGACCTAATCGAAGGCTAGTGCTTTCCACCTCGGGACCTACGAACCGTGCTTGTCCCAACGGAGCGCACAAGTCTCCAACCGGACCGCGGACAGTATTCCGAAGCGGGATTGGGGAGTGGAGGGGTGGTCCGTTGCTGGGGGAGACTCCCACTGGTCAATAACCCTGCTGGGCTCCAGACCACCGCAGCGGTTTCCACTTTTGACTATCGGTGCTGGTGGTAGTAAACGATAATCAATTAATAAATTAATCAATAATCAAGTCAGCGATGGATAGATAAATGGAGACACGGTGATTAAGAGTAATTTGAAAGCGCCAATCAACAACTTAGGAAATCTGACTAGGAAGGCTGGTAGTAAGTATCGTTCCTAGCTAAGGCAAGGTAGTGAGTGACTGGTAACTAGCTCGTGGTTCTTAGTACTCCGTCCATCGACTAAGCCATGTACCTAACTCAACCTAAGTATCTCGCTAGTCGAGTCGGGAGGCTTTGCTCTGCAGATGGGAATAAATTTGGGGGGGGGGG